GTGGTGGGGAAAAATAGAAAGACGGCAGGTTTGATATTGCTTTTAAAGAAATACTTTCATACTCGCCTAACAATGTACTATGCCTGTCTAAATTGAAAAAATGACTCAAGTTGCGATCTCGTCGATGTTGACGTTGCACTCGCGGGGAAAAAAACGTCTATCAGCAACGGCCCACGGCACCAGGTGCGGATATTATCGACGCTTTTGTTTTTATTTTCGTTCGATAATAATCCGGATCGGAGCGGTCGTATATATGTATAGGATTACGTCTAATGTTTACAATAATTACATGTTACTCGGTTTCCAATTATCGGGCCCCCATTAAGATTAAAATAACGTCGTCCTCGACGACAAGTGCATAAACCCGGGCCGACGACATTACGCCGAGCAAAAGTGAACCGCATCAATTTAATGTATACTGGGAGACTCACGTCGAGCGTGCCGTTAAGAGTTCTGCAAAAGTAACAAACTGGATTTTTTCAAATTTCGTACGCACTCGTTTTAGGTGACAATCTACATTCTAGAAGCGGTTTTTGAAAAAAAAAAAGAATTAATTGTGTTTTTAGAAAATCTCTTCGTAACTACACTCCGCAAAAGTGTCCCATAATATATTTTTCAACCCTTAGCAATTTCCGTGCTGGAGTATAAGCATGGATGGCTTCTGCCAATTTAATAATTTTTTAATCGATAAATTTCTGATCATAGGCAAATAAACTAGGTAAAACAATGATGTATTAATTATGAAAAGCAAAACACGATATCCATTTAATACCGTGTATTTCATCATCTGGTTCTAATTACTGCTACGTTTTGGCAATAATTCAATTTGTCATCGTATATAAAAATCGTCAAGATTATCCCTTTCTTCAACTGTAGCCATTTCTAGAAGATTCCTTGGAGCTGCATTTCGCATTTTTAACTTCAGTAGTAGATAGTATTTGGATTTACAGCAGGTCAATCAAAAACTTCTAAACCAACCTCTTAAAGGAAATCAGATACAGTTCTGGCCGCGTGTGGTCTCCATTATCTTGCATTAATTTGAATCCATCTCCAATATATGGTTCGAATGATACAACACATCGTTCTAATTGGAGTTAAGTCGCATATTACATTCTGAATATCATTTAGTAAACTGATATACGACGATCAAAAGTGAAACGACTAAATCTAGACTCGTCTGCAAATAAAGCATGTGCCCAGTCGTTAATGGTGTAATTTACAAATTCTCTGGCAAACCTTAAACGGACCACACGAAGTGCTCTGGACTCCATTCTCTCTTAACCAATTACTTACGGTTTGATTATATTTGACACATTGTTTAAGCCATTTTGCAATTGTCTTGCTGCAGGCCGCAATGTCTGTAAACGCAAACAACGATCATCTTGACGGCTTGTGCAGCGCGGACGTCCAAAACCAGGTCTTCTTCTGGAATATCTAGTTTCCATATACCAGGATACCGCTCTCGAGCCTCTGAGATTGACACCAAGTGCGCAATATAAGATTGTGTCCGTCCATCTTCGATTAACGCAACTTGTTCTTCATTTAATAAACTTTCCGTACGATCTGAAAATTTTACATGAGCAGAGTTTTAACCATTTTATTATTCTGTCAATATCCTAACTGAGAAATGCCTACTCGATCTCTAGAGATGATTGTTTTGCACGTTTCTATACGCCCTACAAATATTTTGCAAATACCTGCCCTCTTTTTAAAAAATATATTTTTAATAATTGCTAACTTTAATTTTTAATTTTTGCATCTGTAGCTTTTTTAACATTAACTTTTTGCATGAACCAGTCACCCTATATGTATAATTCACTTCTATCTGAAACAAATCAAAACTAAAACCTCTTAGATCTACAAAACTTAAATAGTCACGCAGCGTTACATGCGTGAATCACCCTATAGCTATATATACGCGAGGAAATGATAATATTAAAATTGTCGGTTTTTCCTAAGCGGTTTTGACGCAAATCCACGGCGTCGGGACGCTTGAAATAAAACCGGACGCTTGGTGTTTTTTTATTTGTTTTCCGTTTCAACGGCTGATACAAGATTCGTTCGTAATATAAGCGCGCGATCTTCCACAGCTGTATTTTGCCTACAGACCTCTAAAAATAAATAACCGCTCTGTAAAAATCCCATCACCAACGGCTCACTGCAACACGAGAATGGACCCTTCTGAATGCTTTAAGTTTGTCGTCAAAAGCAAGTATCCCATGCTCCGCGTTTTTGACGACAATTTTTTTTTCTTTCAAATTCGAGAACACAGTGTGTTCTAGTTTCATTACTTGTTCTCTATAACATTGGTGCGAACGATACAGAATAAGTAATAGCGGCCATTTTGATTCTCAGTTCCTGTTTCCGCGCTCTTGTTATTTTTAACCCACACAATGAATAATATAAATATAAAAATAATATAAATTTTCCAAAGAAACTTCCACAGGCTACTGTAATACTTTTTACAATATTTCTGGATTCCTCCTGCGTCTGTTTTTGCTGAGTCGATCTTGCTGACGTTTCGCCAGTCATCCTGTTGGCTTCTTCAGAGCTTGACTAAAACTGACTCGTGTTTTACTCTGTATCTGCTTATATATTATTTAAGGGGGCGGAGCTAAATGAGTGGCATAAACATAGTCTCGGATGTCTGATTCCCATATTGGTGACAGCTAGAGTCGCGGTTAAGATTGTTAGGTTGTTTGTCCAAAAATCTCTCAACATCTTCGGTCCATCAAAGACAAAATTCCATTTGAGATGCCACGAGTTTATAGCATTCCATGCACATGCGGCAAAGAACACATTGGAGAGACCGGACGAAAAATATCAACTAGACTCAAAGAACACGAAAATTCTTGCATGTAATCAATTTTCTACCCAAAATCCGAGAGTCTATAGAAATCTATAAACAACCTAACTATCTTAACCGCGACTCAGGTCTCTACCTGCCACCAATATGGGAATCAGTCATTCGAGACGGTGTTTAGCTCCGCCCACCTCAAACAATATATAAGCAGGTACAGAGTAAAATAAGAACCAGTTTCAGGCAAGCTCTGAAGAAGCCAACAAGATGATTGGCGAAACGTCAGCAAGTTCGACTCAGCAAAAACAGACGCAGGAAGAATCCAGAAGTTTTGTAAAACGTAATATAAATTCAAAATAAATAAGAACTAAAAGTTCAGATTTTCCCGAAATTATATATTTTTACATAACAATTGTTTGGATTTGGATTTGACGGATTCTAGCCGTTGTCCATTATAGATAAAATTATAAATAAAAAACAAATCCAGACAACAGTAAACTCTATTTATCCGAAACCTAATACAGAACACGAAAAATTTAAAACAATTACATACATAGGAGAACATAGTGAAAAAGTTTCAAAACATTTGTCAGAATGTTTTGATTGTTTAGATTTAAATATCTCTCCTTCATTGAACTTAAATTCTGACAACATTAATTAAGGTTTTATTGTCAGTTTTCGGTATATATAGCAGCAGGTAGTTTGTAAATATTACATTTGATGAAGACTCGGTGTTATCGAAACAATTGTCATGTAAAAATATATAATTTCGTGAAAATCTGAACTTTTAGTTCTTATTTATTTTGATAAATGGATTTTCATCAAGTAAAAGCCCCTCAGTTTAAAAATATAAATTCTTTTAAAAAAAAGTGTGTTATGCTCAGACCACTGTTTCGTTGTTACCTCCAAATCTTTAATCGTCTCGTTTTTAATGTCTCCATCAGATCTAAACTTATTTACTATAAAGTGTAGTTTTTTCGATTTCTTAATTTCTATACGCCGCGCCACACAAAAAAAGTATGCCAATGTCAGCCAAAGTCCTTAAAAAATGATTAAATATGAACGATACCATCTCAAGGTGGCGACAGTGACCTCAAACATTTCTGGGTGATCATTTTGCGAATAATATAGCAAACAGACGGTGGCGCTGCAAAGTTTAATTAGTTTAAAGAGCGAAATGACATGAGTATCGCTAGGTAGGCGGCAGTCAATCAACACTCTTAGCGAGCTGATGACGTCAATGTGTGAGTTCGTTTTTTTTTTATTTGGAAAGACGAAGCTCTAAAATGTTACATCAAATGTCACGATGCCGGGGATAAATATATGAAAAAAAAAAAATCAAACGTAATTAGAAGGGGAAAACGATCGACCTTGGCAGTCTGAAAATAGCCAAACGAGCGTAGTTTTTGCGACTGCGTCGTTTTTTTTTTCTATTTGACGCAAACGAATTAATTCGACAATTAACTCGCCGATAACAATATTAGAATTTTGTTTTAACAGCAACGATCGGCGTCATCGGTAATATACAAGCAGGATGTGTAATTACGGTTATCGTATGATGGACGCCAGATTGTCAACAAATTCAATTTAATATGACGTTAAAGTTACCTATAGATAATAATGAAATTCACGCAATTGACAAATTGACGGTGCGGAAAAATAATGAACTTTTTAGCATACTCATGCAGGCTTCCCACCAACCTGGAACATCTCAATACACTTGCTTCCAGTATATTTGAATTTTGAAAAGGAGAGGTTGGAAAATCGGCCGTGCGTGACAATGCTTTGCTTTATTTCTCTTTTATATTTTTTAAAAATTTTGCACAGATTGTATTTATTATGAGTTCATATTATTTCACCAACATCTGAAACGCAGAAAAACCACTGAGAACTTGAAATTTAATTTTCAAGGTCAGGGAAAACCTCGAACAGTCGGGAAAATTTACGAATGGCGGTTTAATGCGAACTCTGCCACTGATTGACATTAAATGTGAACATAATAATTTTTTAGGTATTCCATGAACCTAGAAAAAGTTAATGACAGAAATTAAATCTAGATCCTTGTTAGATACACGTTAGTTAAATCGCAACCTAACCACATAGATGAATAAATTAAACAATTCGTATTCTAAGTAGTATGTCTTAGTCTCGGTCTTAACTTGGCTACTAAAAATCGTGCCTATGCTGATTCAGACATTTAGTTTGCGCATGCGCGAGTTTGCAGTTTCCAGTGTGATTGTGACCCTAGAAAATGGCTCAATGTTCAAGTTAGTGTATCAAGTTTCCCAATAAATAATAATAAAATATTTACTTACCTTCACAAAATGGTTCAAAATTTATGAGAATCAAGTCGCATGCAAAATGACATTTTCCGCCCGCTAGATCGGTGTATATTTTACAGAAGGGAGTAAAAACACGTATTTCGTTTTTGACTTGGTATTTGACTTAACAACGCGCAATAAATTCGTTGTTTTTTATACTTTAATGGTCTAATAGTCTAATCTATCGTTTTTCTTCCTGTTCGTACATCATAGGAATAAGCGTTACATTTGTAACCGCTCTAAACAACTAATCGGATTCATGCCAAACCCGTCTCTTCAATGTATCAGTCACGTCTTCTGACTTCTCTATTTTTTACCTCTATAATGTTTTATTGTTTGAGTTTTTTTTCAATTGCAACGTACGGGCGCGGCAGTATATCTGCCATAACGTACTCTGTTTGGCGGGCGCAACCGGTGTGTCCCATTCTCTTATACGGTAACCGACCGGCACCTCTTTATGCGACACGCGAAGAGAAAAATCCACACGATAAGATCTTTATGCTTTCTGCAAAGAAATTCTCGTCGTTCTACGTATAGCCGGGTTCCCACGCCTACGGTTCAATTCGTGAGACCAACGGATTTATTACCGCGCACATAATATACCGGGCGATGGGTGACTCATGTACCAACGTGTCACAAAAAATCGGTTAGACAGTAAGGAAACTCTTGAATTATTTTTTCAATATAACTTAAAAGTTTCCTCTACCCTTAATACAGAGTTCATACGTAAAGCGTGTAAAAAAGCTGAAATCCAATTTGTGTAAGGATAATTAAATATTTAAGAATAACAACAGTTAATGTTTAGGGCTCCTGTAGCTGGGGTCAATAACTTTGGAACTTGGAAAATGTTTTACGTGTTGTGATTTGTAAACGACAACTTTGTGAATAGAGACAACGAGTATCTAACAAATTAATGTAAACGACCTTTGGAATTCATTATAATTATTGTTAATGTATATAACTTGAATAATTTATAAAGTGAATTTGCAAAATCTTGTCTATAAGTACGTATTATGAATTAATATACTTACCACAAAATAGTTTATTATATTTCTAAGTACTTAAGAGAATTGCTTAATAAAACTTTGCATCTAATAGAGAAGTTCTATTTCTCACAGTATGTTTAGTTTAACTTTTAAATGCGGTACACAGTCCAGGAATAAGCACCAAAATCAAGGATCACTTAAAATTAATTTATTCATTATAAATAACAATGTTGAATAGACAGTTGACAATAATATGCAAATGATCGTAAACTTAACGACTAAATTTTCCGACCAACTCTTAACTGATACTAAATTTTCCGTTTTTAAACAGAAAGTTGTGTGGCGAGCCCGCCAGCCCTGTACATAGATATAAGGAGTTGGTTAGTTAAACAAATTGAAACCACAGTTCACTGTATCGCCACAGATTGTGGCATTGCATCGGAATTTTCCTGTGAATTGGCAACAATTCGGGGGCTGAAAATTGAAATAAGCGCGACTCTCCGCGACCTGCGAATAACGCGTGGCAAAGAGTGCCCGCGAAACAAGACGTACTAGTCACGTGAAGGCGCGCGCACAGCCGCAACCGCCGACCGCGATCGAGAGAGAGGCTCGGCTCGGCGAGCGCCATGCTGTCTGTCCTAAACGACCTTGATTGTTTCCTGCTCCCTGTCCGGTTCGAATGTTGCTTTTTTTAAACGGCCGACCGAGCACACACACACACACATTCACGCTCGCACGCACAGCAGAAACTCGCTGCACCAAGACTTTTTAAGGAATTTCGCGACCGTAAGTATTGTGCATTGTGCGCACAATACGAAGAAACTTGTGTCCGGGCGAGCATATTTTCGCGTATACCGTCGTCGTTGCTCTAGGCCTAAAAATAGACTCGGATCTAATGTTTTGTTTTTTTATCGTTTTTGCGCGTCTGCTCCGGCGACTCGATTAAAATTCTCTCCGTGATTTACAGAACGACTGATTATTGTGGATGGCTGACGTCACGCTTGTAGCTCTTTTTTACCGTTTCTACTGTACGTTTGTTGAAAAACTCTTCACGAAGCCGGAAATGTTTCCCGGGTGCGATTTTAAAAGAAGAAGAAAACAATGTCACGTGGCGACGCTTGTTTAAAGCGAACACGTGGCAAATTTAATGGCAACGTGAATACAATTTAAGTATGTAATTATAAATCGTGGGAACACTGGGAAACGCACAAACGGAAATGCCGGAACAAAAGAAACTCTGCCTGCAGAGCTTTGAGTTGTAGGTCGTTATAAATAGGACAAATAAGCAATAAATAGAAATTTAACGAATGCATGCGAAATGGCGAACCACAGCATCAAAGATCATACATTGAGAGAATAGACGGTAACCTTGATGTATTTATTAAGAAATAATGGAGGGCGATTTTTGCTTTGGCCAGCGGTAGTAAAAGTACTACATTCCCCAATATGTCGTCGGTACTGATTTTGTAGTTTTTTTTTAATAAATTTATATTGAGGGCACATTCTTGCCAAGACGGTGTAAGAGCTTAGATGCCCGTAACATACTCAATTATACATATTCTTAAAATGTGCGTGGTGGTTTCCATGCGAATAACGTTTAATTTTGCAGCTTGCATGTACTAATTTAAGCGACGGTTTTATGACTTGGCAGCCGCAACTATTAAAGCCGTCAAGTTTTAGCAACGTAAACTCCGAAAGCTTTTAGCGGCTGTTAAATGGGATTGTTTTCGACGTTTGTTATTTTCCTGTGCTCACCGCAACCCATTTTTCAACCTCCGTTTACCTTTATGGCGTCCTACTCCTAATGGAAAATTCGGTCAGCTTCTACTAAGATTTTTTTTACAAACAACGAACAACTGTCTACCCCACAAAAAAAATCTGGCAGTTTAATATTTTAATGCGAGTTTTTTTTTTGAGAATAATCGTCAGGAATATGAATATGAATACGGACCGTAAACAGACCATAAGCTTACCCAGCGCTTAGATTACGACAAACTGCGATTGCGTTTGAGACCTAATAGGTATTTTTTATTTCGGTTTTGGTTAGTTTTTTGGCTATTGGCTACTTGGCGGTGCTTTTGACCGCGCGCCATCTATCGGTCTTGAACCAGGAGTACGTCGCGGTGTCACCCGCACTGTCGATTTCCGCGCAAAAAAAACAACGCTTGTTTTGCGCTGACGAAACTTCGATCAAGTTGGCACGACATATATCGTCCGCGCTTTTTGATATGCAAATGTCGGCCGGTGCAGCTTGCAATTATACGGGATGCGTAATTGATTTTTTCTGCATTTACTGCACGTAACGAAACAGCGACTTGCCTATTTTAACAATCGCGACGTATCCCGACCATTGTTCTTTATGTAAATTTCGGAATACTTTACGCCGATCAGTATTCATGACGCGTTTTGTGCGAATACGTACGTTTATCTGACGTTTCGATCGCTCGCGCGGCTGTTGCGTAGCTGACGAAACGCCGCTGCGGTGGGATCGAGTATATCGCTGAATTCTACCGTCGACTAAATTCGATAGGTCAATTAGCAAATGAGATGCGAGGGAACTCACAACATTTAATGTTTAATACTAGGCGAATGCCCTTTGCTGCCTTGCTCAACGTGGAATAAATGTCAAAGAAAAAGAAGAAGAGAGTCAATAACAGCCAAACGGTTCAACCTAAACTGTAATGGTTCCGGCAACGCGAAATAATGATTTTGTGATGGACATTTTATTTGGAAGAAGATGAGTAGTAATGGGTATTGTTTTCTTTGTCACTGATAAGAGATTGTTTTTTTATATTTCTTAATGTTTATACCTGTTTTGGGATTTGAAGGGTAAATCGCTTGCTAAAAGGTACTGCATATTTTGAATATCCTCCACGTTGTGTCATAGAATCGGTATTTTGGTATTCTTTTCCTATTGAATTAGTTGTCACAAAAATTTAAATTTTTCCGTACGTTGTTTGTTTTTTTTTTTAAATAATACGCATCATATACCACACAACCAATAACTTGATTAAGCATTAAATATGTACATATATCAATTAGTATTCGCTTTTTTGAAGTTTCTTCAAAAGTTGGTTGAGTTTAACTTTCGTATCAAAAGAATATATTGTTTGATTATCAAATAAAACCACGCAAATGATTTGAAACAGTATTATATCAGTAAATTATAAATGGGCAAGAAAAAGACAACAACACCCATTACTAACCGCCTTTTTCTATCACAAAATTTGCATTACTTTTGTATTACGCCGTTGCGAGTCCACTGCCATAGTAACATAGTAACGGACGAATTGTCCTGGGTTGGTTAGCTCAGCGTGTAATAAAAGTTAAAGCAATAGATGACAGGTAGTCCTGACTAAGAAGTAACAGAAGGCAAATATGTTTTTTATCTGTGTTAAGAAGAAAGGCGTTTCAATATTATTGAACCGTGTCGTTTAAACGTAAACAATTCCATCTCTAAAAGACTCTTGCCGTACCGAACCAATTGTCAGCGACGATGTTTGCTGGCGAAAAAACGACGCAAAAACAAAGCAGACTAGTAAACACCACCGGTTCGTAACAGTACAGCTCGCATTATTAATCATATCAGCCGCACAGATCGTCAGTTTCAGCGCGGAATGCGATTAATATAAAACGTCACACAAGAAGCCAACATCTGGCACCGATTATTATTATTATTTATTTCATTCTAGATTAAAGGAAAGTCACTGCGTGTATCGTCCTCTCGCGCATTAAATTATTGGGCGCGATGGGATCGCTAACGAGGCATAGCTATAATTATGATATTAAACAGTCGCGTCTCTTCGCGAAAGCGCCCGAAGGTACTATCCGATTGCGGATCGCGGATTATATATTTACCCGTGGAACCGTGTTTTTACTACGCACGGACAGTCCTGTGCGGTGCAGATACGACGGCAAAAATAGCCCGAGTATGCCTCAATGAACGTGCGAGACAATATGACGAGGTATGGTTTGGTTAAAGTGGCTTATAAAGTACGACGGTTTCTATCAAACAAGTTCCTGCAGGTGCGAAACGCAATGGTCAGAAGTATTTATTGAATTTAAACAACCACTCTGCACATTCTGAGAGTAAAGCATATAAATCATACGATTTATTTAATTAGAATCCCAAAGCAAGAACTAAATTCTCAAGGACTAAAATTTCAACCAACATAACTGTTGTGTAGCTTTCAGAAGCCTCTTTAGTTTGCCAACATTGCTAACCTCGCGATGTTGCCAAGAAGTCAGATTAATAGCCGCTGGCTAGTCAATGTCTTGCAACAATTTTATAGTTAGCAAGTAAAGCTTTAAAAAGTTATATTGCATAGAAATAAAAAACACGATAAAATATTAAGGAAAATGAATGTGAAGCAGTCGCTTTGACCCTAAATAAGAGATACTAGCTTTCGCAACTATATAGCTACTAGAAATATAGACGTCCTGCGAAGCAACTACGAAAAAAAATTAATAAGGTATATGCGCGAGATTTGACCAAAGACCTTGCAGCATTCAACAAACTACATGGATGCTGGCAGATCGTCAATACGTTTAGATGCGGCATATTGCTAGGTCACGTTAAATGTTCTGAGAAAACGAGTTTAGTGTGCGAAAATAAATCGCTATTAAGAAAGAAAATGGCGCAATCTGCAATTCCCTTCTCTACGAAAATAAAAATGCCTCCTGCGACCCATCAATTTTGACGGTAGTAAGGCCACTATATTATCTAATAACTATATATTTTCATCGTATGATCACGGAACATCTTCCACTTCCTCTTCTTTTTATTTCACTGCAATTGGGACCGTATTGCAAAAAATAAAAGAGATCTGCTATATAACATGCTAATAAAATCCCAAACTTAATGTTGAAAAATAAGTAAATGTCAAGGCATTATCGCGTGTTCTTTGAATATATAATGTTATTTGATTTCACGCCCTCAATAATGAATGCAGAAAAATTTGCGAGTCTAAAATATCATCTATATGTCACGCTACTATTCAATAACGACGTAATAAGCGGTCAAAATTGAAAATCGGTCTCGTTCTTCTTCTTCCTCAGATGAATCACCGATCGTCGCAGCAGCAGCGCGGAAGCGGCATTCGAGCGGTGTGGGCGTGTCTGGCTGTCGTCGCGCTGGTCGTGCAGGCTGCCCGAGCCGCTGGCACCCCCTGGCGGGAAACAGACGACGAAGAGCGTGGCAAGCCGCTGCTCGCTCACCATCTCGGCAAACGTTCCTTCTTCAACATCGAATGCAAGGGCGTGTACGACAAGGTGATCTTCGCGCGGCTGGACCGTATCTGCGAAGACTGCTACAATTTGTTCAGGGAACCCCAGCTACATTCGCTTTGCATGTAAGTTAACACGATCGCGGTTGGGGTCTGTGAGTCGTGGTCGTCGTCGCTCGTAGTCGCGCTTGGTCCTTCGAGCCGGATCGGCGGAAAACGCGCTTATAACCGTCGATATTTTTCTTCCAGGAAAAATTGTTTCACGTCGAAATACTTCATGGGTTGCGTGGAAACGTTACAACTCTCGGACGAGATAGAGCAGATACAGTCGTGGATAAAACAAGTACATGGGGGAGAGCCGGGGGTCTAGGTACACGAATTTTTAAAAGAATCGATCCGATTCGTACCCCGTCTAACCCACTAACGTGTCGTCGCGCTGGTCTTCGTCTAACAACTAACGTGTTCTGTGTCATATCGTTTATAATTCGTTAGCATCTGTTTTCTCGCCGTTATACCTAAAGCATGGACAACATCCCGCATTGCATGTGTACGATTCGATAAATTTTCCGCTGTATGAATCCTACTTTGAGAACGTTGACAGAATCGTTTAGCCTAACCGATGTGGATCTGTGGTTGAATTGTTTAAACTAATCAAAATTTATCTGTGGTTGCCGTCATGCGTTAATTTTATCTGCGGTAGGCTTCTTTTAACATTCATCTATAAAACTCACAAATTTTTAGGAAATGTCTTAGTCCCTTTTGTTATATCCTATACCGCCAGCTTGTCCGTCTTATACCGCTTTCTACTAATATATTGTGGTATTCGTTTAAAAACTGTTAATTATACTGTTTATTATGTGCGTACGAAGGAAATTACTTGGCCTTATGAGGATTTATCGGTAGTTCTGTAATATTTCCTAAGTTTCTATTTTCTTCGCGCTATATTGCAAGTTTGGATAGAGTAAAACTAACCAATATATAATCTAGTTTTCCTTCGTTCGCTTTTCTTTTGTAAGATATTGCTCATCGTAACAAAAATTAATTTTTTAAACTTTGGCAAATATGTAATTAAAACCAATTTGCAATGTGCAATATCATAGCAAACAGTTTGGTTTGTGGTTTTCTGTTTCGTGACGCTTTTGACCGAACCGCACTAACCGTTTCCTTGTCTGCACAGGGCTCAATGCTTCACGACGGAATACTTCAGAGGATGCGTCGAATCTCTGCAGCTGGCCGAAGAAATGCCCAAATTTAGGAAAATGATCGAATACCTGGCGAAATAGATGCGCCCATTTGTGTCCTATTATTCTAGTCCCAACCAATCACCATTAGGCGATTAATATATTAAGTAGTTTTTAAGTTCTTTCGACAATATTTCTGAATGTAATTCTACTTTGTTTGGTCCGCCCCTAGCCTCCATACTTTTTTTCTCCCCGCGATAACTTATTTATTTTTAAGAATTTTGCCATTCCCCAACTTTTTCATTGTACAGAATATTACGCAATCAAACCATAGACCAAAGAAAGTGGACCTTAAACCAACCCGTTATGTATTCTGCGGTAATCGTATCACGGGCCTTTAACAAGTGAATATATCGGTTCTCTGTTTTATTTATTTTCATCGATTTCGTTAATAGTTGCACTGTTCCGCGAGGCTGGGCGAATCAGTGCGACGTTTACGTCCATTTTTTATTTTGTTTCATCAACTTAAACTGATATATTTTTAAAAGAAAATTATTTATTATTACATATATTGTTGAGATTATTTTTATTTTTTTAACTATAGGTAGCTTCAGATGACAAGAAAAGGTCGTGCCGCGGCGGCAACGTGGCGTGCGGGATGTCTGCGCGTGCGCATTGTCATCGCGGAACGTTCCGTTAGACATTCCGTTATCAGTATTGTATATTAGCGTCGCTTGCGCCGTTCGACGCCAACGATAACAGCGAGAAATCGCGCCTACGTTTAAAGTCTTGTGGCACAAACGTTTCGAACGACGCAATGCGTAGTACGTAAGATCCGCTATTCCAGTATTTCAGACCATCCTCCTCAGCCAGCAGATGGCGAAAGTTTTCCGCGTGGAGTATAACGACCATGCCAAAAGAACTATGATTACTAAATTTTGTATTATTTGCACAGGCGAAGTATATTTTTGCTAACGATGTGACAGCTTTACATAAAAAAATTATATATTATATAATGAGAGAAGTCCAAATTCACTGAGTTGTTTTTATCGCTCCCTAACCTTATAATCTACGCGTCCATGGAAAAACGGAAGTTTTTCGTTAAATTAAATATGCCGCCACGGTTAATAAATAGTTTTTTTACAATCCAGATGTATATATACAAGATTTTCTAAAAAGGAATGTATACATAAGTACGGGATTCTAGCGCTGACAACTATAGTGTAAAAAATATATAAAAAATATCCACTTAATATAGTAACAAAAATAATATCTAACTAATTTCAATTACAAAAAAAAATCTTTTTGGTTATATCACTTGAATTACTCAATCGGAACGTGTGCTTTTACTACTGCTTAAGTAATAAATACAGTTCGAACGGTAAAAGAACTTAACCCATTGTTCTAGTGGGAAAAAACGATAGAATTCACTGCGGAAATTTATATACCGACTCTTCCGGCTGTGTGACAGAAATTAATGAGCATTTGAAATTTTATACAAAATAACGTTTATGTGGAAGTTTCACAGCAAACATTCACTGTAACAAAATATCACTCTGGAGTGGACATTGTAGCGCAACCTCTTTAATTTATTACAACCGTAATAAATAAAGACGTATCACTCAAAAATACACCACTCGCTGACTTTCAAACTAACCAAAAATAAAACTGTGCGCGGTCGGGGATAAAAAATTACTTCTGCTGCTTCGTCTTCTATCCTTTGGTTGACAAGTTTCAAATCTACTTTTTTTTTGGTAATTCAAAGATGGGTCTAAAACAAAAAAAGAAACGATTACCGCTACCGTACAAAGATGAGATTCCAAGAGCATACTTTCTGCCGCCGAGGACTAAATAAAACGCAAGTCAATGCTGAATCTGTATATTTCCAAAGATTATACCCAAGCAGAATAAATAAGTTGCTTTAACGTTCGTAACAAGTTTTATTTTCGTACAACAACGTTATAAAAACATTTGGCCAACAAAGTTAGGAGTTGCCGCATCGGATATCCCGGCTTACCCACTGTATTTTGCTATTCATATAAATTGTTTACGATACATATTTTGTTCGACGACACCCCCATGCTACTCAAACGTTTCAAAGTCAACCTCAAAAATCGGTTAAATCAGTGGCGTGATATGATATGGGCCACGGGGCTCGTTAAGTACAAAAAACAAAGTTAAAATACTGGCCACGGGAAAACAAGGCACCCAAAGACAATGTTAAACACTAAATAATAACAGAACCCACAGCTACAGCCTTCGACGGTGGGATTATTTTTTGGTTGATTTAAATTACTTATACTACGCCACGACTAAATAAGATGTTATAGAGCGACATCACACTTCCCAGAGACCTCAAGCGACCTCAAGTAATTTATTGCTATTAACTTCAACTTACAAACTTTCGCTTTCATTTGCAATTGTTTTCCACTACGCCTGGAAAATATGACGTCGCTTGATTGCTAAGAGCTTTAAACGATGCCTTTGAAAATCAAAACTAACATGACGTCAGCACGGAACGAGTAGTACTAACTAAATTATTGCTGTACATCAGTTTCCCGAAATACTATGAATCACATTTAGAGATTGAGAAGGTATTATTCTGACACCGACACATTTATGTATAATTTTTTACATTATTGTACAATAAAGTATACGGGGTGTTATTCTAATCAGCGGCTACAATTTGATGGGGGATTTTTGAGCCTGCCAGATTAAAGACATCCGTTTATCATAATGGGCTCTAGGAAACCCGGAGAAATCGCATTGTTGCCAACCTTCGCATTTTAAAACACCTACTTTTCTTTTTGATAGGGAATGGGGCAGAGAAAAAAAAAAGATTGAGTCGACTTTCCCATTTGAGCGTCACCGAAGATAAAACAACATCCCGCATAACGGAGCAAATTATCCATAATGGAATGTACAAACGTAATATCGGCAAATCCAGGAACTTGCTCCCATTTATATACTACGCTTGTGAGAAGAAAAAAAGGAAGCGCGTCACGTAACATTAAATCGATACAGGACACCTCTTGCTGAGACAACATACGAGATTTATATATATTTACTTACATGTGTTACCACCTCTTATCGTAACTCAGTACTTTCGTATAAACAGAAACGACTCTTTCCACGCGTACTAAAAATAAAAAATAAGAAAAGAAAAAAAACTCACAAAAGATTTAAAAGTTAAATAACTCACATGAACGCGTAAGAGGCAGAACTGTTTCAAACAAATCGGTGCAAAAACGCAAGATGTAATAAACAATCGTATGCCCTAAGCCATGTATGCGAGCTAATATAAGTTAAAGGAATCGTAACAGTCATAGTCGTAAAATTAACGTTAATAATCTTTTATTACACCTTGCGGGTCGCGGGTTAACCACATTGACAAAGGGACACAACAGAACGTCGCGAGGAAGACCATTGACGCGTTCTCTTTACAGCTGGGCTTATTACGCGATAAATTAGGCAACGAAGTAAACCAATAATTTTAGTTTAGTATACGGCGACTACAACGTATCTGTTTTTATGAAGGTAAGATAAAACTTTATTCGCAAAATTTTAAGTACTGTGTTATTTCAGATTTGTATTTTTTCTTCACTACTTTGAGTTAGGTTTAGCCCTTATTTGTGTGCGTTTTAAATGTGCGACTTTGATAAGAAGGCGCGGCATCTCTCCCTACATTTACGGGAAGAAGAGAACCGTATCTTTTTTTTAAGGTTGTGATTTCGTCATGACTTTTATTAAAGTAAAATCATTTTTGTTTGAAAAATGGAAAGTAAATATCAAAGGAAGGAAAATGCACTTCCGAGGCGCTTTTGGACCGAAGAATAATTGTAAGAAGTTAGTTCCGGTGAGAAATCCCAAATAGCCTATTTAAACACAGAATAGCTAACGGTCAAAGTTCGAAAAGGGAGTCTGGGACAAGAAGGTAAAGTCTGTTTTCAATTTTCGTCAGAAATATCTTTTTACAGATGTTCTAGTGTATGAAAATGAAAATTGGTAACACAGTTCGTGGGCTGGCTTTAACTTTGCTGAGTATGGCTTGGCTCTCATCATTTTTGGAAAGAGAGTCTGCATTTTGGATAAGGAAAGCTGAAGGATTGTTACTGTTAAGAGCCCGAGGAATAGACCAAGAAGAACCTTCCGAATTTTTCCATCTTTTGAGTGGTACCATAACCAAAAATAATCTATTGGATAAACCGACTCATCATGATATTTTCAATATGGATGAAACGAGTGCTCAATGGATCAACAAACCTAGGGAAGTCTTAATGACAAAAGGTGGAGAAGATGTCTTCACTTCTAAAGAAAGAGGAGAAAATGTCACTGTTGCGGAACGTTGTAGTCCAGACATTGATTTTCAAAGGTGTAAACCAAAAGGCTGGATTTTAAAATGGATTACCAGCTAGATTCAAAGTTTAGGTGAATAAAAAAAATCATCCTTCATACCCTCTTTATTCCCAATAAGACATCTGGTAAGCGCTTATTATTCCTAGATGGTCACACTTTATACAGTACTGATGGCGATCCGCTGCAAGTGGTAAGTAATAGCGATATCGTTATTTTATGTTTAATAATAATAATAATAATAATAAGTTCTTTATTTAGAACTTTGCTAATCAGTATAAACAAAAAAAAAAGAAAAAGACAAAGTATATTCTTAGCTAGCTAAATATTTGTACACTTATTTATTAAATACATTTAAACTTTTTGAATCTAATCAGCTAGAGCATTAAAAAGACAAACGACTATACAACGGATCGTTTTATAAGAAATGTATTGAAATATGCTGGTAACTCTCCACTCTCCAAAATGGATTGCTGGCTTGCGCCATGCAGGGTGAAGTTTACAAAATTTGTCCTAGACTCGAATTGAGAAAACAAAGAAAGAAAATTAAACTTTTGCTAGAATTTTATCGGTTCGTTTTGAAGGGGAAATTTAAATTAATACGAATATTACAGTCATATTTCAAAAAGTGCGGCAAATCTGTTGCATTTATCCTATTTCACCATGTTTCAGCCAATCTTAAATGCAAAAGAAAAGGTTAACAGTAATTTTATTGAATTTTATTGTAGAATAAAAAAACTTGCACGGTTGACATAGCAATCCTCGATATAGGTGAATTCTGGAAGACTATATCACCTACAATTAAAAATTCTTTCGGAGCGAAAACAACGAGATTAAGTAAGACTTTTGGACCACCTATACGAATTGAAACAATCGGGTTATGGAATTTAATTACAACATGAAGTTTGGGCGCTTAATTTTAACTCTTTAAGTACATACTATAAAAATTTAAAAAAAAAAAGCTTAAAAGTAACGTAAACGTAACTTTCCTATTTCCGTTTACCGTTTCTGGTAAACTATCACTGTACAAAGCGCCGGAAATATTTGTTACAGATTCAATGGTCTTCCCCTCATTCTAACGACAACACAAATCCAAAAAATTAAAAAAAAAACAAAAACGGACGCGTCATCGATGGCCCGCGGAATTCGTCATAGCGGAGGGAACGCACAACAATGAGCGGGGGTATGATGAAATGGTCGGTATAAGTTCGATCAGTCTGCTATTACAACCTCCGCGTTGACGTGTGATCATTTTTTGCTCAACTGTAATCCCAATCCACGCGGTTCTTCAACTGCTCCTGATATCCGTTTTGGCAAGCAAAATATTCGGTTAACAATACGCGGGAATATCGCGTAATATAGAGAAGACCGTCAGTGTACACAGGGGTGGAGCGTCTCTTTTTTGTTTTTCAGTTGTTGTTTTTTTATTCTTTTGAAGAACATTTTAAATAAGGGGCCGAAGCGGGCTAGGTTAGCGAATATCAACCGAAAACATCGAACCCTAGGGGAGAACCGCGATGCAATCTATCACAAACTTTCAAGAAAAAAGGCAAACGTTGGCAACACCGTAGAAAGAAATGTGGAAAGGGTTATGGCGATTGGCGCCATAATTTTGGTATGCGCCGGAGTGTTTATGAAATTATTTATATTTTATACTCACTTGACATTTTCAATTTTTGGTTATTATTTATTAATTTTATTTCTCGCTCTAGTTTACTGTTAACGTCAAGGGTCTCCCCTGTGGTTTAAAGTCTGCGGATGCAATGCTACGAAATAAAACCGTTAAATGGAAATACAAGCTATTCTAATGCAATAAAAACTAATAAATACGAAAATGTTGCGTTGTTAGAATGGCACGATGCATCTGCACAGAAACTTTAAATTTATTTTAAAATAAAAGAAAACTTTAAGCCCTTTCCCAGAATATGTTTTTTTTTAAACCCGACAATAAAATAAATAAAATAAAAATTAACACTACTGGCAACAACAAAATACAAATTAGTGCGCGTCTACAAAATGCCACAGATAATGATACAACAAAAATGCTATATTTTTAATAACAGAGGAAGCAAAAAATGTAACAAATATTTTTACTAACTCGAGTAAAAAAATATATTCAGTCAATTTTAAGCGAACATTTTTCGAATAACCTCCCTGGAAAATATGTATTATATCTGTGTGTGTATCTCATAGTAAAACAAAGGCTCACTATAACTTGTCTTGTGAAAAATGTATACCATGCTTATTTTGGTGTAAAAATTAGCGACCAAGACAAGTCCTGAGCCCCTCGTACTGTTTGTTCCGTTTGCCTTGAAGCATTAAGAAACTGGCAAAAAGGTAGGAAGAAATGTTTAAGCTTTGGTGTTCCTATGGTAGAGCGAGAGAGGAATCACAATGATTTTTGATAGTGTAATGTTCAAGGATTCAAAGAACTCGAAAACTTCGTATCGTCAGAATTAGAGGAATCTAATTTCACACCAGATTTCAGGGGGCCTCCAAAGTGTTTAACCAGAGCGAATTAAGTGATTTAATTAGAGATTTGCACCTTCCAAAGGATGCATCCGAATTATTAGCGTCCAGACTTCGTGACAAACATTTACTTGCACCTGGAGTCACATCAAGCTTTTATCGGGATCGCGACAAAGAGTTATGTCAATATTTTACTCAGGAAGGACCGCTAATGAATGGCAACAATATTCCTGAATTAGTTTTAGAATTAGGAAAAAAACAAATGCAAACTGACCTCAGTGGGATAGTCGGGCAAGAGATAGACATTGGACCCAAATAGAATGGCCCTCGAGAACAAGCCTTACACCTGGTAGCAAAAAGGTATTAAGAGATAGCTCATTGGACCCCAAGTCCTCTTCATATCAAACTTGGCTTGATGAAGCAGTCTGTTAAAGCCCTAGACAAAAATGGACAGCCATATCTGATGCCAAGATAAAAGAAGGTGGGCCGCAGATAAGAACATTATTCAAAGGCAAGGATTTTCAAACCACTATGACCAACGTCGAGAAAAACGACTGGGTTTCCTTTAAAGAAGTAATTGATAAGTAAGTTTCTTGGGAACTCTAAGGACGAGAACTACGAAAGTATTGGTCAAAATATGCTACACACTTTTATCGTCTAGGTTGTAATATGAGTTTGAAAGTGTATTTGCTGTTTTCACACTTGAACTATTTTCCTTAAAACCTTGCAGCAGTTAGCAAAGAAAAGGGAGAGAGATTTCACCAATACATTAAGGCGATACCAAGGCAGATGGAGCATGGTGGATGTTAAAACGGGATATGCCCTTAAAAACACGCCTAATGACAAACAACGCTTTAGCTGCGTGTAAAAGTTTTTTTCTCAGTTTTTTTTTTTTTTAACTAGGATTCCACTTTTTTACTGAATAAAAAATAAATTATTTTATAAATATCGTTTTTTTTCTTTAATATTTGCAAAAAAACCTTGCGTGATACAAATAACTGCACCAAAACCATATAAAATCAGTTTTCAAAATAAAAACAACTGTAAAAAAGTTTAATTTTGTAGACCTGTGTTATCGAATGATAATAGTTAATAATTTTTTAATTGAATGACCGACGAAGCTCGTTATTTTCTATTGATTTTCTTTTTACAGAGGTAAAAGAGAATCGAGAACAAGACGATAGTTCGCGAGAGCAACGTATGAGATATAGAAATGTTGAAGGGTTAGACAAAGATTCAAACGTGTTTCTGTTCAGCATCTTTTAGTTTGCATATTAGCTGTAAAATTTAACACAAGAAATGCCAAAGATTAGTTAGCCCAATCTATAACAAGTCATGACGTTGAAATTGGACCCGGTCGTACGTTAAATCTTACTTCCTCAAACAAATCTGTGATCGGGTGACCAAAAATTCGTTTCGCCTGCAAATACCGAACGCAGCATTTGATATTTACGCTATAGCAGTTTGAGGTTATGTGTAAAACAGTAGGTTTTACCGCAGCGTTTCGCGATTCGCTTAAAATCGACTAACTCGTGCTAGGGACGACATTTCGAATGAATTAAACGGTTTTATCACCATGCGGGCCTACGGGCAGGCAAAATTAATGTCCGCACGAGTCTCGTTCGCTACACAAAAAGCATGCACTTGGAACCTCTGCCTCACCGCTTGATCGGCTGTGTACACAGACGATGACCGTCATCGAGCCAATCGATAGGAATGATTTTGCCGTGTAATAACCACTGATTTACAGCTCACGGTAATATTAATGATGTGGGGGAGGTTAACGCGAAGGGGTTAATACCGTTACCGATGATCGCGAAGACTTTTTACGATACGGTTTTTATTTCGGACTCACCATTTCCGTCGTGAGCGAGTTAATCGCGTGCTCGACCACCTTCTTGTGCTGGTGCTTGCTCGGCGGGTTGCGGTCCTGTTTTAGCGGCGTGCTTGGGTATCCTGGAGACGTCTTCGTATTTAGGATACAAACATAACGGTACAGGTAGAGCTAAAGCGCGTTTCGCAATGTCGTATTTTTGTAAATTCGTTTACGGAAGCTGACTGATTTGTCCCCCTCACTATTTTTAATATATTGGGGACCTTTTTTTTTCAATCTGACAAAGCAGACTTAATCGGTCTTTTTCATAAGGACATAAGGACTCAAAGTTGGTCAAAATTAGAATTTGCAAAAGAATAAATAAACTTTTAAAATTTAAAATTTAAGAGCACACAAGCAAAAGTGCAATTTCGCAAATATTTTAGCAATGTTGTTGGCCTTGATATTTTAAATACAAAGATGAATTCTAATTTCAAACGGGTAGAATTCATAATCATAACAACGAAACAAGCGTAAATAAGAAAACATGATTACTCACTTTATTATCAGAAAAAACATTTTTTTCGGTATTACCATACTTGAGCGCGAGCAGCAACCAAAAACGAACCCAATTCGTTCCTATGTTGGAAATTCAAGATTTATGTGCATTAAATCTACCCAACACAACAATAATATGCACATACACGCGCGAAACTTGACAATAATAATTGCAGAATAACGCAAACAGAAAAAGGAGAACCAAGCGCAAAAAGTATCAACAGCCCTGTATATCTTGGCCATCATTGGTGGATTGGTAACATATCTCCCGAAAAGTACGAGTTTGGGAAAAACACCTATCCAAGCTGTAGGTCTTGGGAGTTAAAGTCTAGAACCTCACAGAAACGGCACTGCATCGTGTAAAGAATTTGTAAAAGTGTTATTTTACCCCAGCGACAATAACCAAGCTTATTTAGTTATTTATGTTTATGAACAGTTTGGTCAATCATTATTATGTAAACAACTTTCAAATGCAAACTCTGTGCTAAATATACCAACGGCGCGTTTTTAACAGTAGTGTAGCAACTCAACGGTCTAAATTAGTGAAAACTGCGTTGCTATATCACCAATCCACCAATAATGAACTTTAGGCAAGGAAATTACTCGCGTATGACTTCAAACCTACAGCGAGTGATTGAGAATCTTTGTTTCAGGACTTTAACAACAAGATTTGCGAGGAGGACTCTTGTTTAAAGCAACAACTTTTGTATTAACATGGGTTGAATAGCCTTTGATTTCTTTAAATAAGGTGATACCTTCGAGGCGTCGTTGAAGAATATGGAAAAGGAGAATCAATCAGTTAAAGAAAGAAAAACTGAACATAAATGTCATAGCAGAATAAAGGCGAAAGAGGGATAAAAATGACGACTTTTTGAAGTGCTCCACTTAAAGCCCTGATACAACTACCGCACGGTCCACCCCCACCAAGCTCGAGTTAGTCCACTCACCCGCGTCCCCGCTACTTGAAGATTCGGTAAATGAGGGTGTACCTTCGGTCCACGTGGGTGTGGATCCCTCGACCGACGTGGGCGGGGTCCAAGCGAGGCCGGCGCGCGACGAGTAGCCGCCCGACGACGAGTGCGCGCCGCCAGTGGTGGAACTGCCTCCGGACGATTCCACGCTCAAAGACGACTTGGTGTCCGCCCGAGATTCTAACCTGATCTCCGTTATGCTACGGAAGTTGCGGTGTAAGAAAAAATAAAGAAATTACCAGGCAAAACTAAAGCACGGGGATGCCATTTCTACATGTATCTTTATAAGATAACAATTGTTGTTAAAGTTAAAAGTGCATGAATTTTTAATTGGAAATTCTTATTTTTAATTGGTAATTCTTTGGTTAAAGTTTACAGAATTAAAATACAAGTTGCCGCCGAACAAGGAAGGAGTCCCCCCCTCCCGCCTATCTCGCAATAGGTTGTCCCCTAGATAAGGCCAGGAAATACTGTTTTAAACGTTTTTCCTCTTTCTTTCCAGGGGAAGTCCAGTAGCCCACTTACTAGTAAATTCAATTTCATTTAGGTGTCATGCTTAAAAAAAATGTAAAGTCTGTTGATAGATATATATCAGTACCACTATCGCTATCATCCCCTGTTCCAATTATTATTTGTTCTATATTATTTGCAATATGGATATACAATTGTTCTGCTTTTTCTATATGTTTAACAGAATTTGCTCAACTTTGTGGAGACATGTTAAAAACTTCGGTTTTATAAATTTGAGGACATTGGAGTTAACACGGGGAAAAACATTGTTACGAAGAATGGCAGATTTCAGTTTGTGCCAAACATGTTCAATGGGATTAAATATACAGTGGTAAGGTGGAAGCCTTAAAACTGTATGCCCTAGATTTTTTGCATAATTATCACAGACGTATTCCTTTTGTAGGTTCCAGCTTTGTAGAACCTCAATTAATTGCTTTTTGGTATAATCTTCGTGCAAATAAATGTCGTTATTATACATGTAGTTTTGAATTGTTGCTTTTGTGTCACATGAGGAAGGGGTTCTAGTCAACTGTCTACTGTGACAACTTGCATTGTCCATTACAATGATCCTATTAGGAGGAATGTTTGGAACTAGTTTGTTTTTAAACCAACTTTCAAACAAATCGGAGGTGGTGTCTTCATGGTAATCCAGAGAAGAATCTTTAATATTTTTCGCAGACAGAGAAACTCCATTTGGAATCCAACCATCTTTAGAGCCAGCATGCAAAATAGTTAATCTTTTACCTCTTTTTGATGGCGCGTTTGTTTTACACTTATCAGTTGAGTCAACTCAACCCTTTTCCGGGATATCATAAGTGTGGAACCAGGTTTCGTCCAAGTACATAATTGGCCTTTGTTGTTCTCTGTAAATCCTAATTTTTTCTAGATATTCCAGTCGCCTTTTCCGAATGCTAAAAGATTCCATTAAAACTTGCATTTTGTTAATTTTTTTAAATCTAAAACCCATGTGTTTGAATACACTTCCATGAGGTAGTTGCTGCCACATTTAACACCGGTTTCATCTTTTTCAAGCCTGCTAATTAAGATATCTAATGTAGGCACGCTTTGTTCCTCGTATAACTGGTAAATTTTATGCCGTATTATATCTTAAAAACTTTCATCTACACTCGAGAAAATGTCAGCATCGCTTCTTTTCCTCGTTGAAATGGGATTATTCACAAATTCCCATACAGTTGATGTTGGCATCTTCGTCAATGTGGCCGTTTCTTCTAAAGATGCTTGCTTGCTGGTACCACGTTCAATGAGAGTCAAATAAACATTGTTTGTAACTTGTGTTTTCTACATTTGGGCGGGAGCACCTCATCTCACATATTTTGCATAATTCGCCCACGATTCAACACACGCTGTATTACACACGAAATAAGAATGATTACTAATAAAGTTAACCTAAGTAGTATACCAAACGAAAGAATATTAAAACACAGGTAGGTATAAAATTATTTTCTATTACGGACTACAATTTTACCTGAATTTAAATTCCGAAACTTTAGGTAATAATCATGTTGCATGACCAACCTTGGATAATCCCATTCAAAAGCAATTGGTCACTTTCTTATATCTATGAACAGACCATAGGACAGAGAGTGCGGCAACTTATATTTTAATTCTGTTTTTGGTCTGCTTTGGTGGCCGACATGCATTTTATTCAAGTAAAATATATAATTATTTCGGTGGGTTGAACACTTGCTCCACATTTACTATCCGATTTTTAGTATCAGTATATCATAGTTTTGAAGAGGTGGAAGTACTACGAAATACATATACCAGGTATCAAAGGTTGAATAAAAAAAAACTATTTAATAACACCACCACACATTTTGAATAAGAACCTTCCATTTTTATTATTACAGACTCCGATTCTATAACACAAAAACGTCAGGTTTTTATCAGACGTTCTCTTTTAAATTATCGTTATAAGACGTAATTGCAAAAAAGACGATTTATCGTATTTGTCAAGAAATATACGGGTAAATCTTATGAATCCGACTTTAGTGTTACGATTCTCTAGTTTTGACATATTTCTTCTAAAACCATTTCTAAAATAACCAATTATGATCTAATTTACAAATGAGTGTCTGGAGAGATTCATAAGCGTGTTCGACTACTATTTTTTGTGACGCAATCATCAGTATACCGAAAACATTTGATCGCCCCCGAATTGGCTAGCGACAGTATTTAATGAATGATGTTTTAAAGTGACACTGCGCACGACGCATTAGTGCATAATTGGGCATTTCACAATAAGGAGTAAAAAAATTATGTTAAAACAAAGGAATCGCAAAAGTAAAGTCAAATTCATAACATTGACCCGTGTATTTCTTGACAAATATGATTACAGCGCCATCTACCGAGAATCCAAAAGAAAACTTTGGACAAAACCTGAGGTTTTTGCTGCATAGAATGTAATAAAAAAAAGTTATCCGCTCCTCACCACCAGTGGGTTGGGCGGGGAAGTCATGTTTGGTAGTGGAACAGTTTTCCTATTCAATATTTTAAGGTATTTTTCTGTTTTTCGATCAGTTGTATAAGTCTCGAGATAATACCCACTACATATTTGTTTTTTGGCAATATTGGTTTTTATTGTTAATAATGAAATTCGTATTTTCATCAAACCATCACCTACAATGTAGAGACCATTAGTTGTCAACGTGGATTCATTTCCAAAAAGAAAGTGTTTATGGAAGTCATGCTGATTTTCTATTTATCATTAAATTATGGTAATATTTATTTTTTCATAGAATTTTATTAACAGACATCCATATAACCCGAAATTTCTTGCGTGGATCTTCTGGAAATTATTATTGGACAATAACAATCAATTTCAGCAAACCGTCAAAATGTCTTCTTAAAGTCTCATCTCTGTATATCATGGATATCCCCAATAATTTTAATAGGATTTTATATTTTCAAATTAATAATAATTTATACCTAGTTTTCAATCTTTTTTTTATTTTCTGTTTAAATGATGATTCCTTACCAATGGTTTGACTACTTAAAAAGAGATTTTATAAAAATTTTAAGTGTTATTAAATATCGTTGCGAGAAATATAAATTCTAAAAAATTCAAAATAGTAGTTAATTTCACAAAATAAAATGGAATTGGAATAAAAATTTGCTAAATTGATTTGATTTTGAATAATTTGCGACAGTATTTAAAATTATTAAAAAAAAAAGGAAATTGTTAATATTTTTCCAACTTTTTTTATCTTAGCAGACCCCGTTTTAATATTAAGGCATAACTTTTAATTCTAAATAACTTTTCTTAACAATACTTTGCTAAATTGGTACTTTACCCTTGTGCAAGTTTTGTATTTTTTGTCTTACTCTGTATGCTGTTTGACTTGCAAATATTTTAAGTGCAGATAATATAATTATGAAAGATGCACTAACTATACTATATGTTGTACCCTAAAATGACCACACATTTTCCGTTTATTGACATTTTTCTTCGAGCTTAAACCTGCAAACGCGCGACCAAATTTTCAATAAGGCCACCTACCTCACGGCGTCATATCTCGACCCGTCATCGCGATAGTTCTTCGAAGACGAAGAGTGGGAAGCGCTGTGGTGGTGATGCTGGTGGTGGTGACCGTGATGTTTGACGGATCGCGAGGGGGCGGAAGCGACCTGCGCTCCGGACAACGGCCCCGGGTGCGTCTCCATACGGCCGCCGTCCAAACCTTCCGAGTAAGTGGGAGGCGGGGTGCTACAGCAGCTCGGGATCGCACCTGCACATACAAGCGTGGCGCTACAAGTCTAGCGGGAGTGGGGCGCTGCGCATGCGCAAATCGAAAAAACATAAAATGAATAAAATTAAAACGAAACAAAGCTAACTTAACGGTTCTGCAAAAAAAAGGGCAAACAAATAGCTACGCATTCCAAAATCGTTTAAAAATAAAGAGGTGGGGGGTCGACCTACAAAGCCAATTATACGGATGGTGCATACTTAAATTCGAACGAGTTTTCATAAAACACTAACACACTTACAAAACGTTTCGGGTAATCGCATTACTGCCCTTCCTCAGGTGCAAGCTATGGCTTACAAAATCGTAAAGAGGTGCGCAACAAGGCGGGGTGTTTCAACACTTAATTGTTGTTGATCGGATGGTACTTTTTTGTTCTCGAGGACATGAATGCGAATTTTTTTTAAAGATTTCTCCTGCGTTGAGTGTTAACTTGGTCTTGCTTATGTTTCCGAATATATCATTTGCTGAAGAATTTGATCGTAGATTTTGTAACAAGTAGGGAATCTAGTTTGTGATATTTCGAACATACTGTGTCTAATGGAGGGTCAGAGATGCTTTGAGTAAGTGGTCCTGGTGAAGTGTATTTGAATGTATATCTTGATAATGGTAATTATTCGAGAGAAGATTTTTGGGTTGGATGGTGAGGTAATATTGTATTTAGGTGTGGAACGGTATGAGTCGATTAAAAAGAATGTTTAAAAAGGGAAGTGCAATGTGCCGTCATTTTCAGACAGCGCTTCGAAGCCAGGAATATGTTTGGCGATACGTCAGCAAGACAAAGTCAATACCGGACTCACGAGAAATCCAAAAGGAATGTAAATACGAGTAAATAGACTTTAATTTTGCGAGAGCTTCCAACAAATGATTAAGGTAATCTATATCTAAAATGATGAGTAGGAACTAACTAAACTTTTAAACGAAGACCTCGCTTTTACTATTAAACCTCATCACAGTCAAGTAACGCGGTGAGAATGAGGTTCCACGCATCGGCACGCCTACCGAGTCGGTAACCGACACGTGCGAATTAAGGCCACGCCTAGCACTACCCGACGACCAAGAGTGGTCGTCACTACGCGACGCATGCGCCAAACATGAATCCAAAAAGCAGGTGGGCGGAGAATTTGCGTAGTCCGCGCACTGCGGCGCACCTTTTCCGTTCGGATCGCTGCGTTTCGTTTTGGGGGTACCGCGCGGCGGCACCGGGGGCGGTATCTTCGGTTTCGTTTCCGCGGACGCGGACCTGCCGACCAGGATGGCGGGATACGCGGCAGGAGGTGACGTCACGGGTGTAGACGAGGAGTAGGGCGGGGACGTGAGGATCGAGGGGGGGGCGGACGCGGTCGTGACCACCTGATTGGCGGAGGTGGCGGCACCGGGAGGTTTTTTCGTCGCTGCGCTGGACGTCTCCGTGGGGCTAACCGCTGTCGGATCCGGGCGGATAGACGAAAAAGAATTTTTAATACGATTTGATCCGGCGGGACGTAAGCATGAAAATAAAAAATAGTTTTCTGGTAAGTTTTTAATTAGGACGACGGCTTGGAGTCTTCCGGTGTGATTGCTATGACAAGATGACGTTTAGTATTCATTGCAGTGGTTATACTTAATACATTGTAATTTAAAAATGTTTTTGGTAATGACAATCAAAAAAACATCTTTTAAAGAGATTTTTGTTTTCAAAGGCAAACCGCTATCATATAATATGTGCCCATTTGTATACGCAACCTCTAGAAAGCTGTTAATGACATTGCCGATCACTGCATAACTGAAAAATCCTGAACGCGAATACGCTATTTGGTCAATGAATTTGATGATTTCTTTACTTTCCCCTTTACGGGTTATGGTGCTCAAAATATATCCTAAAAAATAAATTGGAGCGACGACGTTGTTACTTTTCAAAACAAGCATTTTTTATGGAAATATCTTTAAAATGCCGACTAAGGAGCGCTATATGCTCGGGTCATTGTTGTAGCGATTCAAGTTTTAGACGTCGGTGGCGCTTCAGTCGTTTTCGAATTCGAATTAAACAACAACCACAACAACTTCGTAAATGTTTTTAGCCCCGTAATACTTCCAACCCCGGTTATTCTTTAGGATAGCATTAATCTCGTAAGAAAAAAAAACGAGTCGAGAACATGAAACATCTACTAGAAAACGAAAATACTCACTATTCGTTTCTACCTCCTCATGACGGAAAGGTTTTGACAGTGATTTCCTTTTCGACGGCGAATGTTTTAAGGCTGAAACAAAAACCGGAAAATTTCAAAGAGGCAAAAAATAGTCACATCTCCTCAATCAAAAGCAAACATAATCCAAAACATTATAAAAACGGAAAAATTTATTTCGTCCGATTTAAACGAACACGAAAAAAAAAAAAGAGAAAAAGCTGAAACTGCACACGAAACAATAATTATCATTAACAATTAGATTTAAAAACCAACATGCTGTTATCAACATTTATACGGTGAAACATTAAAACGAGCGACAACACAAAAGTTACCTTTAGTAACGGCAGAATGTTTCAATATATATTTTTTATTTGCATTTTGAACTTTGACTACAAATAATAATAATATTTAATATTTTCTAATTTATATTTGCATATTTTCGTTTACTAATATTTATATAATTTTGTATACATTTATTTATATACATTTTCCGCATTACTCCCTATTCGAAACAAACAATTCAAATATTAACATTATCTTTATCGAAAAAAATTTTTTTTTGAAAATAAACAATTAAAAATAAAATTTTAAAAGTTAAAAGAAATCTCTCGAGAGATTTGTTTTGAAAAAAATGCAAAAGTTCAATAAATCCAATAGATAACATTGTTAACATTTAAAAAAATTTGTATGTCAAGATTTTAATGAAGGAAAAAACAAAAACAAATGTTTGGCTTCCTCTGTCTATGGGCTGAGGTTCCAAATTAAATTACGGAAGAAAGGAATGGTCAATACTAATCATCATTATTTAAAAAACTACGATTACTTAAAAACCATTCAAATATAAGCAATCTTTATTTTGGGAAGTTTATCGCATATAAAAATCCTATCGGAATATACAAGGGGAATAACAAAAACACTTTATTTCAGACCATAGAAAAATAAAGAATCGGTGTTGCAAAACATTTTTAGCGAAAAATTAAAAAAAAAACAGAGTAAAACGAAAACGATTAGTAAAATTGTGCAGGCACGAAAAACGATATAAAAATTAAACAAAGTAAACGAAGCGATAAATGAAAAGACAGTATAGTGTCGACAACGTTACCTATATAGCTGGATACCAGGGTGCGGAATTTGCGATGATTACCCTTAATTTCGGGCAAATCCACTACAACGAAGCATGGGAAATACACACAGAAAAATCAGAAACTACCCAAACGCTACATTTAAAATGCTTAGATACATGTAAGTAATAGGATTCGTTTATAACAGCGTTATAATAGGAAACAGTTCATAACAAATATACCGTGTGTATCACAAAAAGGGTTGCGGATACAGTACAAATATCACGGAGTTAAATTTTCTGCGACCTCTCAAACTGTACTGCAGTTGGCACTGTTGAATGTTGAAAGCAAAAATATCTGACTTGGTCAAAATTTTGAAAAAAATAATTCGAAGACGACAGCAAAAGATACAGCAGAAAATTGGCACACACATGGTATGCACAAGTGCAATTTTAATAGGTGATCTGACGAAAATTTCTTCATGGAGAACCCTTTAAATCTAACCGATAAGCTACCGAAAGAGAGCTTTTTCTTTATTTACACCTGTGCACACAATATAACAAATACCACTTAATATAAAGTATGAATGAATGCAAGATTTGAGAAGAATCTTTCGGTCGCTTTTAGCGTTTGTCAGACGGCTATCCGAGCCGAATCATTTGAATTACCGATTCATTTGATTTAAATTCGTAAAATAAATGTAACGACCATATTATACTGTTACTAGTTTCTACATAGTTTCAATAGAGATGCGAGAGTTAGTGCAAATGCAATTACATCGGCACAAACTTATTTAGTTAGATCTGTCAAACGGCTTTTTCTTAAAACCGAATTTAATATATCGCGGCAGTTCAAATGCCCTACCTAACGAAAACTGTCCTCCTACCCCTCCAAGCTAAATTATTATAATCGAAATTTAAAAGCCAACAACAACAATCACTAGAAAAACTAAAACGGGAAAAAATCACAGTTAAACTGTTAAACGCTCAGCACCAATAGTTTTCCGCTACACTTTCAACAATAATCGATAAATCCGTGAAGATCGCGACTGCTCAAACCCTGCATTCGACCGGTAACATGCTGAAGGTACAAAGAATTTACCGAGAAGGATTATCGTAAAAGTGACAATTATGATCATGTTTCCTATGACAGTTATCACATCAGATTCCACAAGAAGGTTGCTTTTGACGTTTTGACATTTCTATTGCACTCCTTTGAATAATTTTTTCGAGAGATGAGACGCAATTGTAAAAAAAGGCGAAACTTTACAATGGCGATATTTGAAAAGGCAACCCTCCCGGAAATACATCAAAATACGGTATTGAGCGATACGCTTGAACTTACGCGATGGTATCTTCTTGAACACCTTCTCGGCCATGAATTTCTGGAACCTCTGCGCGTAGAAGCTTGGCCTGTGTACCGAAACTGTATCCTGAAAATTATCAAACACTGCCAATCCATCTACTATTTGTTAGGAATGGGGTGATAAAAAGGTATAAGAATAAATGGTAAATGGAAAAAGCTACACAAATAACGTATAATTTTGATAATTTGTTACCACTATGTAGATTATGTTGGTACTTTTCGTACAACTTCTTATGAAAAACAACTCTTTCTAGTAAAATCAAATAAGTTTGCGAATTTTTACTTTAGTGTTTTTAATCATTCCCGGGGCGGTAGTTCAAGTGATCCAACTCTATTTTTATTTTAAACCGGAAATTTGATATGAAATTTTAATTCAACTTTTGAAAAACGGATAAACGGAGAAATAAAACTATCTATCTATTCCTGCCATTTAAAAAATGAAGTTCGATAACAACATGCATAGGTAATAGATTTCCGGACTCCTACTACTTGCGTATTTGGTAAATATTTGTTTACATATATTTACCATTATTTGACAGTGTTTGGTAACGCCGATAAAAATTCCGTGGTGCGTTGTGGGTGTCTCTCTAGAGTTTTTTCGAAATGGAATGGTATCAAGAAGCAAAAAAAAGAAGCTTAGCTTCGCATCAAAATTAAAATATCTATGCAATGCAGGGTTAAACTTGCGAAATACAGGAGCAGTGGGAGTACCATACTTGTTGAGTTCAAAAATTGGTGTACTTGCCAAATACACAAATATTTGCCTGAGTTTGCTTTAACATTAACAATCCAAATAAAAGAAAAATTAATAAAAAACTAATCCATCCTAAACAATATGGGAACCATGTTAAAAATACTTGTACATACTTTATTTGCTTGTTTTTTTACTTTGTGTGGTGTAATTAGAAATGTTATTCATTTCATTTGCTGCCTTTTCATATATATTTTTTGCAATTAGAATGAAATATTATGATTAATATATCTTACCCCATCGTGTATCATACTCTTCCAAGTATGCTCGAGCTTCTTCTTCAACCTGTAACTCTGCAGGATGTCGATGATACCGATAAACAGCAGCAGTCTTTCGCCCTTGTCGTTCCGCGCCGGTATTCCGCCCGGTCTGCGAGTTTTAATTAATAAGCCCCGCCCACTCCGCCTCTGGACGGGTCCGTAACACTTACGGGGTGTCGTCGTCCTCATCGATGGGTTCAGACTCCGCTTGGATGCTCTCCATCGCTGTCGAATGAGCGACCAACCTCTGCCTGTTGATTGAACGACTCCTGTTCAAAGTGGCGGCCGCTATCCTGTCTTCCCTTTCGCGCTCCCGCTCTGCCTGCAGCAGCGCCCCACTCGGCTCGCCGACGTCCCCGTCTAGCGGCACATGTTCCACGTTTATTTGAGATTTTTTCTCCTGAAATAGAATACGAATCCCGCAAATAAAAGTGGACACCCTGTACATCGCATTGCCTTTGAATATTTTTCCATATTACAGTGCTACAGTACCCCCATTACTAAACATTTTATTTTTGAATGTATCTAACTGAACAAAATATGGATAAAATGTAAGAATATGTTCCCAAATTTTGAAAAAATAAGAGCCCCAAAAAATATTAAATGCCTATATTTTTAATGAAAACAATTCAAGTTTTTCAAAAAATGTACACTTTACAGTTTGGTAGTAAATTTGTTGGGTCTACATAATTTTCATTTATGCACGAGTTATTTGAACTACCGCTTTTTACGCCAAATTTGGATTGCACACTCACCATTTTTTCTCTTTGGGCCTGGTCCAAATTGTGTATCGCTAGCAGCAGACTATAATCCATAATCTTAAAACTCTCAAGAACCCTACAGTCCCGCTGTATGGTTTTGACGAGAGCATTGTAAGTGTCCGACTCCATCAGTATACCTTCTTTATGGTGCTCCATAAAGTCCAAGTCCTTATAGGTGGGCGACCGTTTTTGTCTCTCAGCCTTTGAAGCCTTGCAACAATTATTATTAAAAACAAATTAATCACAACTAGTAGAAAATTGAATTTACTTTTCTTTTGTAAGTGCTGCCCTTAAGGTCATACTTCTGGTGCATCTGTACGTTACTTGGCAACAGATTATTCATGATTACCAGTCTTACATTCTTACTATTACATTGATAACAATAAAGGCCGAAGAATTTTGGCAACAGCGTCCTCGGGTTTTGGTTTAAGTTCATATAATAACCTGGAAAACAAACACAATCTTAAATATCATTGGTGGGGTTTTATTTTTTATGAAATATTGAAATTGCTATTTCCAAATGCTGAATTAATAGTTAATTGCCTTTTTTATCTACAGCCCGAACAGTCCCCAAGCGGGTCAAATGTAGGTCATTTCCAAAATTTTAACTCACGTCTAGCCCCAGCGAATGGTAAGTCCAATTATCAAAACTCACCTGGTAACAATTTTTGCAGAAATTCACCCTCCTTATGCTGCACAGTCTTAACGATAAATTCGTCGTCGCTTGTGAGATAGAATATCGAACCGCTAGCACCCGGATTTGAAAGCTCCCTGAGCGGCGAATCACACATAGACATCTGCCCAAGGGAAAAAAGTTGGTATAAGTTGAAATTATATAATGTCCCTTATTTTGAAGATTGAAATTTATGCGCATTGCACCGGAATTCAATACTAAAATCCATAAAATAGGAAATTCGACACTAAAATAGATACTGTGTATTCTTTTATGTATTTTCAAGCAAAACAGGAAATAAAAATAAACCGCAAACATACTCTTAGTTCACTAACGTCACAGGACAGTAAACGTATGGAATGTGGTAACCTACATAGGGATAAAAAGATAAGGTGTAAAAATTTTAGTCTCTCCAAAATCCTAGTAAATTTAATCAATTTATCTTCGGACTTTTGACGTCATCATAGATTTAGTATTTATTAGTTAATCATGACTGTTTTCCATCACAGGACCCGTTAATTTCTTTAAATTTCCTGGATAAATAGTTCATTATTGTTTTTCCTTTCGTCATATACTCTATCATACAAACCAAACTAACCAAAAAGTCGTCGGGTTGAATACCAAACAAATCTCTAAAATATCGAAATGCTATGGGCGCGTAGTTTTTGAACTTGAAGTCGGAGTAGTGATGTGCGGGCGTGTGGTTGGAGCCGTCGCTTGGAAAATTGGTCGTTTCGACCGTCATGAAGTCCTGCATCAGCAGATCTCTCTCGGGCTTCGAAGCCAGACCGCCGACGGCATGTTGGATACCTAAAAGTGCACTCGTACAAAATGTAGGAAGGTAGGCTTTAACTACGTCTTTGGTCGCTACGTCTCTCACTTATACAAAAGTTTAAAGGCTTTATAAGTTTTATTAATAACATAGTGATGTGTGAGGAGTACTTTATATTTTACTTAACTGGTATTGGCCACACATTTGTTAAATCAAATCTAAGGTTTACCACCAAGTGCAAAGGAAGAGCAAGAAGAAAGGTGTTGGGCGCTATGTTTGACACTGTAGTTAAGCTGATAAAATCAACAAATACCGCAATTCGTTTCGACTGAGCAAAAGTATATTAAAATTAAGGCTTGTTCTTCCCCAAGAAAACGTCTTTGTTATGGAAATCCTCTGCGACCTACCTACACGAATTTTGTCACTTAAATTCGACTGTATCCTAGCCAAACTGATACACGACAAACTCAATGAGTTCAAGGGATCGTTAATCACATCCATGAATTCATATACTCCAAAAAAAGCTTTACAAATTCACACTGCCCAAAAACCTACTTTATCTCACGAGTTGACACTGTTAAAATTATCAGTAGAGATAACATGGTCTGGCGTGACGCAGTCGATCAGAAATTGCACAAGCCAAGTCAGGATAGATAAGAAGAATCTTAACAAACAACACGTTTTGTTTATAAACGTAAGTTTTTCATAGAATAAAGTTCTTCCATCAACCTAAATGGAAAGGTTTTAAATGAATAATTTTCTCATGGGATTGTTTTGCAAGTTACTAAACAATATTTTTTAAGTTTCTTTTAGAACATTTTTATTATTTGGAATGCTATGGATTGGGGTTCTAACAACTATTAAACTACAGTACCACATACAACCATTAATTATCGCCACATATTAATACTTACCAATGAGATTTCGCTTATCACCAAATAAAAGAATTTCTTTATATTTTCATGATTATATATTAATAAATAAACAAGTTTAAAATTTATACTGTAGGAATACAAAAATGATGACAACTAAAAAATTATACAACACTTTTGAAAGTCTTACCCAGCTGGATCGAGCCCATGATCTGGGTGGTCTGGATTTTCTTGTAAGTAATTTCTCCACCCACCCCGACCCTTCTGTGCCCGATCTTCCTCTCCCTGTCCTTTTCCCTTTCGGCCCGCGTTCTCGCCATGGTTGCTGCAGATTTTTGGTCTCCCTGAAAATGTACACAGCTCGAAATACATATATTTTGTTATTGTCAATTGCTAAAGTTTTTAAGGCGCTAAAACGCGACACCTGCAAATTTTTGCAATTGAAGGAAATTACATTAAAAAAGACGCCAAATAATTACTTGATACTTTGACCACACTGAATGGTAAGCTAGGAATGTTACAAAATTTCCAACCGGTTTTTTAAAAAAGCTATTGATGTTAGTCCAAAGTACATATTTTATAGTAACAGGAGACTTGTTCAGAAATATTTGCCAAACCTTTTGCGACACACAAATATAAACATTTTTTGATAATAAAACAACTCCATATTTCTTCTAAATTAAAAACAAGGACAAAAACACAATGCCTGTCAAGGAATGTTGGATAATTTTTTGGTTCCTTGATTTTGGCCCATTTTCAAAGGTCATCATGGAATATCCAATGTGTGAATAAAAATTCAGCACTCATGTTCTTAATCTTAACTATCAAAATGGGTCTGTTATCATTATCATTCATTATTCATTATTAAAGTTCAAGTTCACTTGTATAATTAAACTTCTGAGAAACATTTATATAAAATGCAGACGAGACTAGCAAACATTTTAATTAAAAGAGTGACTAATACTTACATCCTGAATACTCTTGTTTAATACTGAAATATTGTCTTTATCTGAAACAAACACAAAAGCGTTAATTATCGCAACCAACTTTAATCGTCACTTTAATTATCACACACACGGAAACCACAGTGTTAAAAGGAAGCCAAAACACCTCGTAGCTTGACCTCAAATTTTCGATAGCATACATTCACGCGATCAACATAAAAATCATATAATTAAACGGTAGTTACCTTCAGATTCGCCCGCGCCCCCGGTTTCGTAATATCCACCCGTAGTAGGGTCCTTGGAATTGTTCATGTTCAACGCCAGATTGGAGCCTATGACTTCGATAGTTTCTAGGGTATCGCCAGAAGCCATTTTAGCGCAACACCGCACTCACCGCCGCTTAGGAAAACGAGAGGGGACAACTACGAGCACCTAATTCGGGTGGCATATCGCCTTTCAACACCCGCGACCTTCTTTAAACGCGAAATTTTCGAAGTGACATAGGGAGAGCGATTTCCTCGACGCATTTGTCATCGCTCGCCGTTTGACACAAACATTTCGGATGACACCCACCATGGTAGCCATCGTTGGTTCCAAAGGAATTAAAAAATCCCTGACTTTTCTTCTTCTTTTTAATTGCTGAATATTGGCTTTAGTACTTATGTGTGAATTGCTGACAATAAATTTATCTGGGGAGTACGTAAATCTCGGTGGACTTAATTGCCCTAAGATTAATAATCATAATTGGAATAGCCAAATTAATGTTGCAATGCAATCACAGAAAAAAAAAAGTAGTCTAGGATGCATAATGTCAGAATGTTCATAGCATGCTGCGTAATCAGGACAAACCACCAAAAAAATTGTGGTTTGAAATACCTAAGTGGTATATTTTGCTTTAAGGTTGAGAACAATTTGTACCTTAAAATAAAACTAAGTCTTATCTTATCACAGTTTTGCTTATTACAAATAACTTTATACATATTTACAGGTGAAATTTTAACTAGAAATTAAAGGTCTACAATTTTAAATTGTGCAGTTGCCTTCTCAAAGCAAGCCATTCCATCAGTCGTTGCCATAGACCCTTACTTTCGCCAAGTTTCCTGGTCACTTGCTGAAATTTGTCCTCATTCCTCCTCAAATACATTAGCGCGTCTTTTTCCAACTGATCAAGTTTCTGAGGATTGATTTCTGTCATTTCTAGCATTTCGGTAAGGTATGGGTTGAATCTATAGTAAACATCTGCAGGCAACAAATCAGAGAGCATAATATGTATGCCTAAAAAAAAATTATTGAACTTCTTTTAAAGCCAGCGCTTTTAAAAACTTTACCTTCAGTGTCAGTGGCGCTATCAATAATGGCAAAAAATTTATTCTTCCATGACGTGTTATTGGCAATGGCGGGTTCAGAAAAGTCAATAGGATTCAAAGAAGTTCTTCCGGTTCCAAAAGAAACGACACACTGTATGGGAGTGCAAGGCCACAGTAATTTTGCCTCGTGAATTGCGACAGCTGTAGGATTGTTGACCAATATCCCGCCATCTTGATGTATCATATTTCCGATTTTAAATTCTTCAAAGTAAGTTGGAGCCGCAGCCGAAGCCCTGACCGCTTCCCAGACGGCGTGAACGCAATCCCCCATGTATTGCGATTGCACTTTGCATGGCAAAGAGTAATTTCTAAAGACATAAGCTACCAAACGTGAGTGATTGACTACAGCAGAAACGGCACAAAACTAAAAACATTCACAAATTCAACTTTTTCCTTTCGGGTAAAATGATTTTGGAGTTTATGTCCACAAACCTTGGGACATTTGAGGTTTCTGGCCGTCTCAATCAAAGTCTTGTTTCCCCACTGCTCGCTTAGTAATTTCTCCCATAAATCAGTATCATAATATGAATGAGACCACACAAGATTACTGGTGCCTCGGAGTGGAGATTGAGTAAACACTTGAGAGCTAATCCTTCTATAAATCTCAGACACTTCATCGAGAGTGTGTTGCTTTAAGCCTTAAAACGCACCAGAAATGATGCAAAATATTACAGCTATTCCCAAACAACATACCCATTAGTGTTCCTATTATTGCACCGGTACTGACCCCACAAATAAGGTCAAACATTTCATAAACAGGCTTACCACTGAGTTCCTCTAGTTTTCTCAACATTTCAATTACAAGTATACCTCTGGTACCACCTCCATCTATTGACAAAATTCTTATACCTTTGCCTCTAACAGGATCGGCATGTCCCAATAAAGCGAGCGCCTCTTTTAACGCGCAATGTATGTAATGGGTTTTTGTTCTTTTTCTAACACTTAATAATGTGGATATTGCTCCTTCCTTTAAAAAATCAATGGCAAAAAATTAAATACCCAATGGAGTGTTTTTTCACCTTAACAGCAATATGCCGGGCATCTGGATGTTGTTTAATATAAGATATCAAGTTTTCCAAACCTGCCAATTTAGTGGTTTCCGTCTCAGCCAATACAATTGATGTTAACATGTTATTTACCTTTGTGGACATAAAATCCTAGAACAAAATTCTCATAGCCATTCTAAAACAGGATAAACTTTTTTTTCCTACCTTGGTTAATGGTTTTCCTATTTTCCATTTAGGAGTTTTCACCTTAACGTCCTTGCTAGTACCTGTAAACACATTAGGAAACGTAATAACACTCTTCTCTGATTTACTGGGTGCAGCCATGGGTTCTGATGTTTTGGATTCCGCCGCCGAAGAAAGGTATTTAACTGACTTGTCGCTGATATCATCATGCCTAGCGGAATGAAGCAGCTGGTATAGATGATTCGCCAATCTATGAAAGTCGCCACTCGACTTTGATATTGGATAGGCACCGTTAATTTTATTTACCAACATTACTATTGTTTTATTCTTGTACGTATTGGCTGCATTTATGACGGAAAATAGCACGTCTCTGTAATTATTCATATAAGTATTTGCAAATAAAGGAGATTTTTGCTTTTGCGTCGTTCGATCGTTTAAATAGTTGGGTTCGTGTTCCTTTCTTCTTCAAAATATAAGTAAACAAGTGTCATTAGCGTGACAATGCAAAATAATTTTGAAACCATAATGGTGTAAAATAAGATAGTCAACGCCGCTTGCTGTATAATTGTTGTAAGCTGGTTGAATTTCCCAACGCTACACTGGTCAAATAAAAGTATAATAACTATATATATACATATGCCTTATAATAAACGGGACATTATTGGGATGGATACGAAGTTGCCGCTCATGTCGTCCAAAACAAAGGAAATCAGCTGATCAGGATTCATTCGAGTGTCATTTCTAAATTTAGGTTATATCGTAAGTGTTTACAATAATGAATATGCGGCCGAGGTATATCAGGGAAGAACAAAATTAAAACTTGAATCTGATCCAGTATGGAGGTGCGATCGCCGCTCGATACGATTTTCAACGTGATAGGAGGGCTACCGAGAGGTCACGATAAACCCGTAAAACAAGCTTTGTACAATGCGGTGGCCTTATTATTATTATTCCTATGCAGCGCTGCTACATTTGGCCTGTACGTTATCTTGCAGCCTTTCGTCAAACCTTTGATGTGGTCCGTGCTGGTGGGTTCTGCACTGCATCCACTGAAACGTTCGCTACGGGACAAATTTCAAGACTGGTTCTCTAATCTTGATGAAACTAACACACCGGCGATATTCGGCGTGGTGCTGCTACCTCTGAACATTTTCAACGAAGTGTCCGAATGTGTCGGCCAGTTTTTATATTACAGGTTTAAGTTGATTGCGATCGTGTTCGTGTTAATTATTATTAGTGTTTTGCTCTATTTCTTTGTGCCAAGTGTAGTCTTGTCAATAACATGGAGCCTTATTTGCTGGACGTATCGATTCCTTAATTTCTTCATCGATTCCGCTCATATATCTATCGTAAGAGGGTTAAATAAAATTTCAGTAACTTTTACTCAGCAAAGAACAATTCTAGGTTTTAATTACAATCATCGGTTACACAACACTTGTCGTTTTCGTATGGAAGCCTGAAAACAATATAATATTCCATTATACGTCATTGGTAGTGTGGTTTTTGGTGATGTGCAGCTTTGCCCGCGCGTTTGGGAGCTTTCAAATGCCCATATTTATTTTGCTGCAAGTTGTTTTCTTTGGCGGTTTCATCTCGGAAATTTACGAAGTTTACACCTACATGAATGGAACAGGTTGCAATTCTTTTGTGTACTCAATTTTTTACAAACTTTTTTTTATTTTTCAGGACACTCTATATCCTTAACGGATCTCTTGTTGAACGTTTTTCACAATAAACCTTTAGAGCTCGACGTTAGCGAGGAAGACACATCAGAAATTAACAACGAAGATAAAGCCCAGAAGTCTGAAGTATCGAAACCGATTTTATCGCCAAAATCTCGGAAAGATGCTCCAGAATCTATTAAAAAAGAAGATCCCCAGGCCTTGAAATCTGTTAGAAAAGAAGAAGATCCATGGACTTTGGAACTTTTTAGGGACGAACTGAAGAATAGAACGACAATTGATGCCAAGCAAATAAGGTTTTCACTCATGAATGAAACGAAACCGAAAGAGAAGCCCATGTTTCAGAGGTCCATATCTCAGCCGTATTTCCATAGTGGACGCTTGCGCAGGTCAAATCTCATCAGCTTAAGGAAGAAGATCGTCGTGATGGAACCAGAGGAAGCCTATGAAAGCACTTTTTATCTCTACTCTGTGTTTTGGGCATGCGTTGCCATGTTTTTCTGGAAGAACGTGATGTTTCTGCCATTACTGCTAATACCTATACTTTACTATGTGGCCAAACATTTTGGAATATATTTAGGAGTTTGGATGTACCTGTCGGATAAATTTTCATGCCTGGTTCAAGTTATTTCTGATTGGTGTGACGAAAGGCATGACGCCCTGGTTCCTGTGCCGGTCAGGGGCCTGTACAAGGTCGTCGAGAAGGTCAACGCTACTGTTAAGAGCAGTTTGAAAAGCAGTATTGATACTGTTGCCAGCTGTGTAGTCATGTTCGGCATCATTGTGTTTGTGATATCCGCGTCCATATTTATTTTTATTCAGGTTAGTAATTGATCATCGCACCCAGTTATAACTGAAATAGGCTTAAATATATAGTAAATGGGGAAGCATGAACTTTGGTTATAAAATAACACTCATATTCTATTAAAGGCGTGGCTAGAATGAAGGACCCTTCCAAGTATCAAGTATAACCTTAACAAAAAGGACATGTATAAAAAGTCTCATTTTAGGTCATGGTTAAAATGAAGAATGTATCCTTTATTGTATAACAAAAGAGGTATGGCAATATAAATGGCACGCCCCTTAAGGCGTTGCAAGAAGACCAAGGACACGCCTATTAGAATGTGGTTAGAAGGAGGGCTATGCCCTTATTCTAGTCACGCCCTTAAGGATGCGACGTTTATATTTCATAACCTTTTACGAATGCCTCAAAAACAGTTTGAAAGTTAAATAACCAATAGTTAACTGGCCAAGCAACTTGCAGATATACGCGGAGACGATAATGCTCATACAGTTGACGGGCAACGCAATCAACCAAACGGTAGTCCATAATCCCGAGTTACGTCAATTGCTGCCGCCATCTTTGGATGACACGTTGGATTCAGTTTTGGAAAACGCCTATCAATATGGACGGGAGGGCATTTCGAAGGCGGTACATATGTCATTCTCGACGTTGTTGTTTGTATTTAACGTTTATCTTAGGTCAAGAGTGTCATGAGCGACGTCGATTCGACCAAATCGGCAAAAATCGAGCAACAGGTGCTTGAACTGTGGGACAGGGCTTACCAATCTTGGATGTCATCGGACGACATCAACGGTCCGAAAGTTACCGACGATGCGGTGGCGAGTTCCTGGGAAGCATTCGTCAGGGATGTTCAAAAATCGCCTGGTATGAGTGTGTTTTACTCTCAGGGTCTATTTTTGTGATAATTTAGTTTGGAAATGTAGAAAGGAATGGAGGCAAAACTGATTTTAAATTTCCATAAGGTTTGACGCGTACTCAGTATTGCCTCCCATTGGTTCAAATTTTGCTGTGCGTGTTCGCCCCAAATTAAAACAATAATGTTTCAACTCTATATAATATAAAAATATTATCTACACGGACTCTTATGGATTGTATTTTTTGATAAATTTGATTCCAGTTTTCATTGTACGTTTTCACATGGACAGTAAATATGAAGGCTTAATTCTTACAAAACTCCTGGATTCCTCCTGCGTCGAACTTGCTGACATTGGGTCATTGTGTTTACAGAAAACCTACGCACACAGACCGATACCTTAATGCATGGTCACATCACCATCCGGACCAAAAATCATCGGTTATCAACTCTCTTGTTTACAGAGCCGTAAAACTATCTCAGCCTGAATCACAGAACCCGGAATTAAAACACCTAACCTCTGCTCTCCTCTCTAATAATTTCCACATTAAAGATATTAAGCCTTCCATCAAAAAATACACTTCACCACAACCTTCCAATAGCAATGAGGCCGAAAGCGATCCTAAACTTGCCACTGTGGTGCTTCCTTACATTCAAAACATCACTGACCACATATCAAAAGTTCTAAAGAAGTATAACGTCAAAACTAGATTCACCACGAAAAATCTCTCAACATCTTCGGTCCGTCAAAGACAAAATTCCATTTGAGATGCCAGGAGTTTACAGCATTTGCATGCATATGCGGCAAAGAATATATTGGAGAGACCGGACGAAAAATATGAACTAACTAACTATTTGTCTTAAGACTAAGACAAATAAACTCATCAGCTGTTGCCGAACACACTCATGAAACCGGACCTAACATTTTATCCCATAAAACTAAAATTTTTGCACGTAATCAGTTCTTCTACCAACGTAAAATCCGAGAGTCTATAGAAATCTATAAACAACCTAACAATCTTAACCGCAACTCAGGTCTCTACCTGTCACCAATTTGGGAATCAGCCATCGGAGACGGTGTTATGCCCCTCATTTAGCTCCGCCCCCCTCAAACAATATTTAAGCAGGTACAGAGTATAATACGAGCCAGTTCCAGTCAAGCTCTGAAGAAGCAATTAGGATGATTGGCGAAACGTCAGCAAGTTCAACTCAGCAAAAACCGACGCAGGGGTAATCCAGAAGTTTTCTTAAAAGTATTACAGTAGCCTGTGGAAGTTTCTTTGAAAAAAAAAATGAAGGCTTAATTTTGCATGACTATAAAAGAGGTTTTTCGTAAATATATTATTAGCATGATAAATAAATGCAAAGTCTGCTAATTAGCTTGTAACAATTAAAAAACGCACAAAAACTGCAAAAATTTATATATCAATAGTGTGTTTGTATCCCACACGTTGACAGTTACCACACTAAATGGTCGATGCAACATCATCACTAATATTGCATAATTGCGCGTATATCTAGTGTAGGTAAGTTCGATTTATAATGGCGCTCTCGTTTTTTTCTGCAGAGATATTCAATATAAACGGCTTGTTCGACTTCGCGAAACAAAACGTAGGCACCCTGCTCGCCTTGCTCGAATCTGTCTGGGGCATCGTGGTCAATAACATTAGCCTAATCGTCAGCTCTTTCAGTACCTGCCTGTCGATCTTGCTCGGTGGAGGGACCGCCGTATTAAATTTCATCTTAAACATGGTAATTAATGAAACACCTTAATATCCAGAGGGGACCCGGCAAATCATCAATATTTACTCAATTGCACCTATCAAATTATAATTTATTATAAATTAATGGTCTTAAAAATATCAATTATTGATGAAGATGGATATACTCTAAGGGGCGTCATTACAAAAAAATGATAATGCCTCGAATAAAGAACGCGACCCGATAGATGATTAGGGCTGAAGGTATGAATTAGAGGGCGTGGAAAAAAGGTGAATTTTATATAATTAACGATTAATTAACTTATAATACATACTTCATATGTTTCTATTTTTAAATAGTTACTTTAAAAAATGAGGTGTTCTGATATGTTTAGAATGACCTTATATGTTGGCTCCTAAGTGTTCTCGGGTCTCTTCCAGATATAAAATTGGTTTCAAAAGTAATGTGACCAGAAATGAATGTCCAATAAATCACATTTCAGATCGTATTCCTCACAACCCTGTTTTACTTGTTGAATTCGAGCTGCGACATTTACAAGCCTGTCGAGCTGCTAACGAAGTTCTCGGCCAGCGGTCGGAGATTCGGGCACGCCTTGGAAGGCGCCATATACAGCGTGTTCTCGGCTTCGTTCAAAATGGCGTTGTTCTACGGCCTCTGGACCTGGTTCATCCACAATTTGTTCGGCGTCAAGATTGTTTACTTACCATCGGGTAACGTTTAGCCATTTTCAAAATTTATCGCAAATTTGAGGGTGAAAGACGTCGATAAAATTCGAAGGAAATGCTTATAAACCTTTCCGAAGTCATCATCAAAAATGTTAAATGTGTTAAGTTGATGGTGTACAACATTTTGTGCAAATTCTTAAAAAATAAGGATGGGAATTTGAGATTATGGACATTTTAAGGTTCATATTGTAATTGTAAACGCCAAAACCTACATGTCCTTCTTTACCCTTTGAGGCATTTCTTCCTAATTTTAAATAATTTGGGGTTATTACTATCTTTCTTTAGTTTTAAGTTCTGAATTTGAACAGAGCTTAACAGGTTCGGCTATAATGATTTTGCCGCTAACACATATTTGTGTTCCAAATCCATCTCACTTGCTTCTCACAGTAGCAGTGTGTGGACTTCATATACCCCAGAGCTATTCTCAAGGCCTTGAATTGAATTTTGTTTAATTGGGAATGGTCTTTCTTGAACGACCACCCGAAAAAGTGACTCCATAATCCAAATGGGGTCTGACATAATCTTTATAAAAGGTTGAAAGGGTAGAGGGATGTGCCCCAACCAAATTCTACTTATTAATCGCATCATATTTAACCCGCCTGAAGCTTCCTGTATCATGTTTCTAACAACTTTACATGAAAAATCACTCCTAGATATGTGGTGCATTTTCTCCATGATGTGGTTCGAGTGTTGAGGTACAATCTGGAGAGATGATTGTAATTCTTCCTGGAAAAAAATATAGCTGCAGGTTTGTTAGGGTCAATCTCAAGTCCTACAGTCAAACAACAAATATGTATATTTTGCAAGCTTCCATTCAAGTTTGAGCATCAACCCCAGTACTCATCAAGACGGTATCATCCGTAAAAGTCTTATGTTTTCGGGAACGGTTTCCTTAATTGAGGAGGACCCTGAGGCACGTCTTTGTAGATGAATCCTTAACTTATTAACGTATCTTCCTGTTCGTGAGAAAATCTTTAATAAGCAAAGTCAAGTCTCTAGCTATGCAAATTTTGGCCAGCACGGACGTATCTAATGCATACGATAATATAATGTTGACTTATTAACATTATATTATCGTATGCATTAGATACGTCCAGCATCACCAGTGTTGCCAGTTGGTTGCAACCCAAACGACAGAGAGATTGTAAGGCTGTCAGAAGTTCCCTTTCCCTTTCTGAAGCTAATTTGACGAACGTCGACTTAACCTTGGTTCTCTACGAACTATTCCAGTCTGTTTTTGAGCATAATTTCAAAAGTTTTGCTTATGCAAGAAGCTAGTTTGTTGGGTCTATAGGAAGATAACACTGAGGGATCTTTCCCCGGTTTAGGAATTGCGATCACCATTTGTGTTTTCCACCTCTCTGGAATGGTAATTTCCCTCCAAAGAATTTTGTTGAAAAAATTAATCAGAAAGACTGCTTCTTCAACAGAGCACACTGAAAAGCACTTTATTCACACAATTATATATTTTATTTTACTTTTCAAGGAAATTGTTATACCATCAGCACCATTTGGTTTACCAGCTCTTAGAGAAGAGAACTCTGATATTTTAAAGTTAGGGTTGCGTTTAAGTAAGGTTTCATTGAACATTAAAATCTATAGTCCAAAATTCCTTTTGACTTTAATGATTGCATCTTTTTTTTCAGCCCCGCAAATGTTCCAGTGAACAATATTCATTATACAGCAATTATAAAACACTTGTGTTTAAAACTTAAACTTAGTTATACTATGTAAAAACTACTGTTAGATTAAAACTAGTAAATAAAAGGTAGGTCAACTGCTGCCATCCCTGCATCTCCCCATCCATAGGACAAAAGAACCAAAATATTGTTTGATATTGTTGACACAATTTTCATTCATATTCTTTATTGACATGACTTCTTTCCTGAAGCCTTCAAACCTATTGCAGACTTCTTTCCAGGCATTACCTCGGGGAGTTACTTCCATTTCCGACTCTAATGTCAAATTATCACCTATTTGTATAGATGAGACTTTTCTTCTTGCACTTGCACTTGCACAAAATTTGTTCATCGGCTATTTTATTATACCATTTGATGACTTGTGTATCAGGCCTTTTTCTTTTAAGTACTGATGTATATGACGAATCGCCCTGGGGACTTGTTGCATGAGGAGTTTTATTTTGAGATTTCTTTATTCTGGTTTTCGTGTAAAATCTTGCTTTGCATTAATTAACCGTGGATGCAGTTTAGCTGCTTCATAAGAAGAAAGGTGGTAGTACACTTTTTGGTCAGGTTGTTAAGATGATCTGCATGTCGTTTCGTTTTTTCATTGCTTGCTCTCTTTTTTCCCAAACAAACAAAAGGTGATCCGTACAAAAACCACAACGAGGTGTGCCTCTACAATTATTTTTGACATGCCCAAATCTGCAACAATTGACGCAGATTATAACCGTGTTAACATATTTTTACACTTTTCTTTCATTATTAAAAATATGTACGGTTTGGGATAATGATTTGCCTTTAAATATTACTAAATAATCGTTTGTAGGGATGGTATTCATTACCGTTACTCATTCAGTTTGACAGATGCACCTCAGCTTATAAAGGGTGTCCCACAAAAATGGTACCATTTTGGCAAATCCAATTAACAACAAGATTTTCAAATGGAACACACTATATTTTTATTCAGATATCAATTCTAGGACAAAAAATAAGTTTACAATTTTTAATAGAATCATCCAGGACCTGTCAAATCACGGTGTTCTAAAATATAGAAAAAGGAAGAAACTGAGCACCCTTTTATTAAAAGAAACTGAATTGAACGTAATATTATACTTCACTGAATTTCCCGAAACTTCTTTGCGAGATGCAAGCAGGGACCTGACTTAACTATTTCAAAGCAACAAAATAAAACCTGATAAATTTCTAACAATTCAAATTTTGTTTCACCATTATTTTAATGCCAGACAAAACTTCTGCATGGTCATGATGGACGAACATTTTGAGAGAGACATTTTTAACAAAACATTATGGACCGAATTAACGAACTCTTTTTAGTTACCTTAATGCGTAAAAAAAAAGGTTGTAATGTCATAGCCAACTACATTTTTAAATATTTTGATATTTCTTTGTTGTTTTGATGCCAGATGAAACGAGCATTTTAAGAGGAACATTTTTAATTAAACTTTATGGACCGAATTAATGCACTCTTTTTAGTTAACTTGTTGTTTTATAGATTTATTTATTGAAATTTGTTACCTTGTTTAATCTATAAACTTTAATTATTTATTTCTGCTAGAATGGATATCTGAATAAAAATATAGTGTGTTCACTTTGAAAATCTTGAGATTTTGTTAATTGATTTCGCCAAAACGGCACCGCCTATTTGGGACACCCAGTATAAGCTGAGACGCATCTGTCAAACTGATTGAGTAGTACATCATTTTTTTTTTTTTAGTCTGTGGTTAAATTTTCGTTGCAATACCTGGATCAGTAGCGTCACAATACAATTTTATATGGGGCAATCAAAATATGAAAAAAAAAACGCATAACCTCAATTTCTTCCTAAACTATGCAAAATTCGAATAGAAATTTCTTTAAAAAGTGACCTTTATTTTAACGAAGGATTGCAAAAATGACGAAATATACGGCGTGTTCCATTTAAAATAATAAAGTTGATGTCGTGGGGACACTTTTAGGATACCCTGTATCAACAAAATTATAATATTTTAAATCTTCAGGAGAGTCCAAGAAAGAAACTTTTGTAAGAAACTTTTGTTCGTATCTCCTATGGGTTTCCAGATCGTATAATGGATCATTTTATTTGGCACACGATGACCTATTATAGCCTCTAGCGGAACTAGAACTTTCATTTTGCAAAAAATTCATTAATTTTCGTAATACCTTGGATCAAAGTTCTGTGCAAGGTTTTGCCAATATTCATGTGGTGAATGTTTCCATTATTATAAGGAATGGCCCCCGGTCACTGAGCTCAAATATATATTTCTGGTTAAGTTCCTCCTTATATTGACTGGAATTCTTGCAATTTGATTGAGGGCATCCTGATCTTCCACAAACACAGTTTAAGGTTTGTAACTACTCTGTCTCTAATAAATCTATTTCCTCCTTACTGGATGTTAAGAAATATCGACTTCTTACCTAAAGGCGAAGAATAACCACTACTCAAAGAAGTAGAAGCTTGGTATAAGTTTAGTTGAGCCTGAAAGGACCTATCGGATTATTAACTATGAGAATGCACTATATCCAGTGGGTCCTTTTCCCCCGAAGCACATGGCACTATATGAAAAGCGCTAAATTTAACGAACAAAATGCGAAAAAAGTTTATATCAATTTTCAATATCGATTACTCAAGGTATTATACCAATAATACCTACCAAAAAGTTAAAATATTTAGGAGTGTTTTTTTATGAGAACCTTAAATGTGATGACCATTCTATTGGATCTCTGTGAAAATTCGCAAGTTATTCTATAAATTTTATATATTGGGTCAAAGTTTGTCAGAGAGTTCCCTTTTTAGAATATGTATTTGGGGTGCTGCAACGAATAGGGCTCTTCAAAAATCTAGAAGCGTGTTTTAAAAATAATATTACTCAAAAACTAACTATAGCCTTCTAGAAAATTGTATTAACAAAATTTTCATTAAAACAGTCATCAGACTACTAAGTTTTTAAAAAAAAATCGTAAAGAAAAAGGCGGCCATTCAATACAAATCTATCAAGTCGGGCCATCCCATGCGGTATCAATTGTAAAATTTACTTCAATGCAGAGGAGCCCTGTTTGTAGCGCCTAGAATGCCCTTCCCTTAAATTTGAATAACAGGAAACATTCCAAAATTAAGAGACTTGTTGAGTGCTGGTTGTTTGGTGTTGGTAAAAAAGGAGATATAAATTTAATAATAATGTAACTTAAATTAGCCTATCTAGTAAGTTAAGTTGCATTAGACTTAAAAAATGAACGTTCAGAATTTTTCAAATTCATTGTGCATTTAATGTCTTTTGAGTGTATTATCTAATTGTTAAAATAAATGTGAAGTATACCAATCAATAGCTGTCGGAAAATTAACGGGTTGCAAAATTCTCCAGCGCCTTCATCAAAATTCACTCTCGATTCATGCGAAAGATATTGTTATTAAAAATATCTATTTTAGAATGTTTTTTGGGATGTTTCAGCGTTCGCCACCATTCTGGGCGCCATCCCATTCCTCGGCACTTACTGGGCATGCGTGCCGGCCGTACTGGACCTTTGGCTCGCCCAAGACCGGTGGCTTTCTGCCATTTTGTTCGCTGGTGTTCAGTTTTTACCGACGTCCGTTGTCGACACCTCAATTTACAGCGAAATTAAGGGGTGCGTAGTTGGACAGAAGAAATGCCGGAAATCGTAATTATTTTTTGCAGGGGTCACCCGTATTTGACGGGCCTTGCGATAGCAGGGGGCATATTTTGTTTGGGCGTCGAAGGGGCAATAATCGGTCCTCTATTGCTTTGCGGGCTCTACGTTGCGATAGATCTGTCTTCGACCATTTTCAAGGAATCGCCGGTAGATGAAAATGTTCACCTGAGGTTGTCAGTTGAATATCGGTTCGAAATTTTTACTAAATGAATGTTTGCTTTGCAGCGTCTCCCGATGAGTCGGAAGTAAATTGGAGGAGTTTCATCTCAAAGAAGTTAGTTTAAGTTATAACAATTATATTTTCACTTCGTTTGTTGTTTTTCTACGTGTTGTCTCTAAAAGAAATTTCATTTTCAACAAATTTGTAACAAAGATACTTAAAACTTTCTTTTACGTGAATCAAATGTAAATTAAAGGAAACAGCAACATAGCAAAAGTCAATGAAAACCCGAGAACAAGCAGCATCTTTCTTTGTGTCAGCTTTAGAGTGTGATATGCTCCGCGGGGTCGCCAATTTTTTAATATTTCTAAGTTGGTTGTTAAATTAGAATGTTGCGAAGCGCTTGAAATTTAAACGGGTGTATGATATAGCTCCTGGTAAATGTTTGCGATTTTTTTGTTGCGCATATAAGAGTTTGTTGTTTTTATATTAATCAAGTTGTTTTTTAATTGCAATTAAATTATTTTTCGTAACAGTTGTATGGTTTTTATGACTTGTCAGTTGTGGCGGATGTTATTTCTTTAACAAAAACGTGGCTGGGGATGGGTCGGTTCAAATAAACACCAGACTGTGGAAGGCATAGGCGACACTGAAGATCTCTATCGCAAATTTTCGCACTAGTAGTTCAAATAATCAATTCTATTTATTTTTCGCCTTGAAAACATGTTTTTGCGTGTGGCATTGGGCCGGAGGGGGCGGGGGGGGGGGGGGCTTGTCACTTTCGAAAATCGAATTTTTCCAAAATATCCACGCTCTTATAAAAATTTGGTATCTCGGTAATGGTAGGCCCTATGGGACCGCCACTGGTCCAAAAAAAAAAGACCGGAACAACTTTGCAACCGTTTGAGCTACGAAACTGAGATTTACTTTCCTTTTAACCCTCCTTCAGATACACATGACAAATACCCTCGATCTAACGTCGGCATTCACCTTTTTTTTTTTCGTGATTTTCGACTTATTTTGGACATTGCTATGAAACACGATAAGTGTCCGAAATTTGAAGCAATCTGTTTCATATTTGGTACATATATGCAGCTTTGACCCGTTACAGAACCTATTCAAAAAGGGGGGGGGGGGAAGTATTTAAAAATATATATACAGAGTGCGCCGTAAATTCAAAAAAACTGAAAAATAGGTCCCCCTATTATTGAAAATTGGCTGTAGTGTCAGTTTGTTTTACATTACGATATAGCCCGTATTGACAGCTAACATTTTTGTATTTTAGGTTTTCACCTATTGTACAGGGTGTTGGCGATATTCCGTGGTATATAAGAAATGTGTTAATGTGCCTTAAATTTGCAGACATCAACTTTAAATTTAGCAGAAACGTAAAAAATTTTTTTTGTTATTTTGGGTTCCAGAAAAATATGTTTCCTCCAGAACGAATCACCCGATCGGCAAAATCGGCATTTTTTCGATTATATACAGAGCGTTTTAGTTATGGACAAGTCTAATAGACCTTGAAAATTGTTCTTTTCGGGAGTAAATTATTAACCGTTAATCAAAATTCGTAAAAAATATGGCTCATTGCTGCAAACAGTGTGATAGGCCGCATGAAGAGCTACAATTTTTGTATTTACAGTTTTCGTCTGTCATATACGGGCTCAGTCTAGATGCTATGACGTCATTGACTATTGTGGCATACTGCATAGTTTCAGAAAAAAAATATTTTCTTGAAAATCATTTGCTCTATTGGAAACATTCTTGTCTGTGTCTTGAGAGTTTCAGCTTTCATCATGCATGGTGCGCGAGATACTTTTAAAACTGGAAGCTATTTGTACAATTTTTTATATTCATCAAAGTTTGTCGTGGCTTTGAATTTCGGCGATACGTAAAAGACGCTTTATACAGGTTTCCATAGTGGTGCGCAGGAGTATGATAGAAATACAATGCGTCCTTCTAGGACAAGAAACCGCGAAGCGGCTTCTTTTTGAAATACAAAGCTGCTTCACATTATGCGCTACGAACTTGCCCCGCCCAGCTACGATTTTTTGAAAGCAAAATATCCAACTTTGTTTCCAATTCAAGCTATGCCTTAAAATACAACTCTAGTTCTATTTATTTAAAATTTCAAATAACAACGCGCCCATTTCAGAACAATATATTTTCTCAAACCTAATAAAACAATAATAAAACGCTACTTCTTTCTATATTTGAGCTTATTTTTGTATTTCTTGGGATTGATACCGTAAGCAGTGAGTCGCTGATCAGATATGCCTATATCCAGGGTCGCTCCTTGTTGACCTCCCATGGAAACTTTTCTTTTCCCAGATTTCTTTGCACTTTTGACATTCTTTTGCTGCTGCTTCTTTTTCTTCATTTTCTTCGGACCGGGTTTAGCTTTATGCACCAAGCCTGCAACATCTTTTGTCAATCGATCTTCAGTAACCTGTGTTTCTGTTTTCTCTTTAATCTTTTTGGTTTTTGCAGGCGAATTTTCTGTAATACCATTCATTCCGATGCCTACGTCCAATGGGGCGGAGTCGGCTTTCTTTAACCGTTTTGCTTCTTGTTGGCCTCCTATGGAAACTTTTCTTTTCTCAGATTTCTTTTCAATTTCGATGTTCTTTAACTTATTTTTCTTTTTTTTTTCCTGCGGATCGGGTTCAATATTGAACGCAATTTCAGCGACCTCTTCTTTTGCTGATCGACCTTCAGCAACCTGTGTTGCTTTTTTCTCGTTATACTTTTTCTTTTTTGCGGGCGAATTTTCAGCGATACTGTTGGTTTCTTCAACGGGCTCCGTTTTAATTTCCACTTTACTCTTTGTATCCTCCTGCTCATCCTCAAACAAACTCGGTAATAACTTTTTTTTTAAAGCGACATTGTTAGCTTTTTTCGAATATGCTATTTGCTCGTACCGTTCCACATTCTCTGGTCGAATCTGGACCGCCTTTTTGAGTGAACACCATCGATTCAGCTCCCTATCTTTCGCTATTAAAATCTGCAACAGACCATAGTTAAAATATAACTTTCTCAAGTTTAACAAAATTTAAATATTTTTTTGTCTTACGAGTTTTTAAACGCAAATACAAATTTAATTATATAAAACATTTTGTACTGTAATGGTTATACATTTTTTGGTTCAAGACATTAAATATGGTGTTGGTACGCAGTGCCATTTTCTATTTGTTGTTTTTATAATTAATGAATTAATAAATGCGATGTGTTGTTTGAAAGCATGGTAGTTCAAATGAATACCACACAGCAGATGCTTTTATAATCTGGTCATCATTAAGTTTTGCTTAACATAAATCATTGACATAGTTAATAAAATATTTCTTTGTTACCACTAATAATCTATTGAGTATGTTTATGCTCTTCCTTTTATTTTTTCTAATACGATTTTATAACACTTACTTCTTCAATTGTTAGACCAAAGTCATTGGGGACAACCTCTCGGTATTTAAATCTACAGGGTATGTCCCCGATGATGTCCTCGCAGTCAAGTTTGTAGTATTCATCAAAATACTGATCGTATGTCTTATCCGCTGGATCAAATTTCGGTTTAGGCCTTTGCAAAGCTTCAGCCACCTTGGACTTCCTTTTGCGCTTTCGCTTACCTTTGACCTCTTCCAGATCCTTTTCTCTGGGCGCCGTTGGGTCGTAATCAGCGTCCATCTGCAATGATGCTCCATTAAGCTTAAACTTCAATCTCACTACAATGGGTTACATTAAAATCGTCATCTTCGCAGTGGGGCTCCTCCTTAAATGCTTCATGGTTTCCGCCCCACTTATCCCAATTTTCGATTTCCAATTCCTCATCTATATCGGGAAACTCGGGTTTTTGCTCTTCCCCCTGCGTTTGATAAAACTGGTCGCTGAACATTTCCCTCATTTTTCGATCATGAGCTTCCGGATCAAAATCTCCGTCCAGATCGTTTTCATTAAATTCAAAGCTTTCTGTACCTGCCACCTCTTTCAACTTCTCAATTTTTTCCTCAATCTCTTTTCGTTTTAGCTCTCTGAGTTTCCTGATTTCCGCCATTTTTTCCTCTTTCTCTTTCTGTTTTCGTGCTTTGGTTTCCGCGCGTTTTAATTTTCTCCTATCATCTGTTTTCCTCATCGACTGTTCGATGGTCCTTGGGTAACGTTTGATCTGTTGAACAAAAACGCCCAATTGACAACTTTATAAATTAAATCAAATGAAACTCACAAATTCTGGGTCGGGCTCCTCAAATCGGAAATTATATTTGTGTTCAAACTCTTCTTGCCTTTCAAGATGTTCTTCATCCCCAGATGAACCTTCCTCCAAATGGTTCACCACATCATGGTAAGTCGGTATATAATCTTTTCCTTCATTGCTAATATACCTAACACATTGTTCCAAGCCAAAATCTTGCGGATATATTTTATTAACTTTTACTTACCTCTTGTTTAAGAGATAATCTTTAAGAAATTTTTCACCTTCATTCAAATGGGGGTCATTCCAGTACTTTTTTAAGGGCATTAAAGCGGTTTCCACCTCTGTGTCTGTGACTTGTTCAATTTCACCCGCCAGCCATTTTTTAAAATCTCCATCCTGGATTTTCTTGTCCCCATTTTCTCTCACTTTTAGAAAATCTTCATCACTGTCCTCGTCGTCATCGTTGGTGAAAAACGACTTTGCAATTTCACTGTGTTCTAATCTGGAGTAGAATCATGTTAAAGCAATGCCGGAAAGTCCTAGTAATATTACCTTTCTTGACTGCCAAGTTTATTATCCTTCTCTACAATACCCTCTTTTCTCAACACCATTTCCCTCTCATAATCCTTTATAGACAGTGGCGCCTCCTTCTTCTTATCCCTTTTGCCTGTAGTATCGGATGTAAAAAAATTAACATTGGTATCATATATTTTGGGATTTTTTGTTTTAAGATATGACAATGTTTTGAAAAAATCTTTCTCAGTTGCTTCGGTTAACTCTATGGCTTCCTCGTCGTCATCCGAGGAGCTGGATTCTGAATTTTCATCAGAGTTCAGATCCATACTTACATCACCATACTTCGTCTTCACTAGAAACGTTGTATTACGAATAATGTTTTTAAATGACTACACACCTACATTTGTTAAGTTCCTCCTTTTTTCTCCATATATCATAATTCTTCGCATATTCGTTTTCCGTTTTAACTTTAAAATCGTCCACGTCCAATGGGTCTTCATCGAACAAGTCCAGTCGTTTTTTTAATCCACGGTTCATCATATCAGTGGTAATGGAAATATTAAACAACAATTCTTAATTATTATATTAATTTTAATTTGTGGGTGATAATAAGCCACAAACTTTGACAAGAAAAACATAGGTTAGGAGCACAGATTAGTTCTCTTCAGTTCTTCTTTTTGGGGTTGGCGCTGCTACTAGGCAATTTGCCAGCACTATTTGGAACTACCCCAAATAATCGAGACTGTTCTCCTGCGAAGTTTAATTTACATACTTCTATTTCTATTTAAGAGGCTTATATAAAAAGCTGCTGAGGCGATAGGGTCCGTTAGTAGGCGGGTTCAGCGCACACAAAAACTAAGAAAAACAGTTAAGACGCTCACATTTAAAAAAAAAAACAAAAAAAAGGGACAATCTGCAGCGCTCCTGGCCTATGATAGACTATGGGACCAGGCTCGTCAGATCTGAGAAAAAACAACAGATTCAAATATATATAATTTAAAATTCCCTAGTATTGTTACTAGGGAGAGGGGGTCCGACCTCGATTCCAAAAGTTTTATCTTATTAGAATCTAAAAAACATATGACAATTTGTATGATCCCCGCACGTGGGGTGCTTAACATATTTTCAACACAAAGTGGTAAGTTAAGCGCATAACTTCTAAAGTTTACGTATAAATCCACACCCGGGACATTCAAAAAATATATGATTAAGGTTCTCAACCCTGCCGCACTAGCAGAAAGGAGAGTCCCTAACCCCAACCCATGCCAAGCGTTCCCCCAACGCGCAGTGTCCAGTTCTCATTTTAATTATAGTAGTTATATGGCGTCTGTCTATGTAGGCAAGTTCAGAAAACCATCTGCTATTAGGAAAATTACGTTGTATTAACTTTCTATATCTTTTGCCTTTTTTTTATATTGAGTTTTTCCACCGTTCTCGAAAAATATTAGTAACATCTCTAAGAATTTTATTTTTCGTGTCTTGTATGTCCAGTTTGATATTCAAGGGGATGTTTAAGTCTTTTCCTATTTTAGCCAGATTAACCACTTTTTCATTACCTTCAATACACGAGTGCCCCGGTATCCAGGCCATCATAACATCTACTCCCATACTTTTAGCCCTTATCATCATCTCTCGGACCTGTAACGTTATGTAATCCATTTTAGTGTCAGAGTTTCCACTTGAAATTTTAGAAATCCGGCTTAAAGAATCTGAGAAAATAATAACTTTTGGAAAGGCTCCTTGTAGTGCAACTCTCAGTCCTTCTTTTATTGCTATCATCTCTGCTAAGGCAATACCCATTTCTTTGTGAAGTTTTGAAGGTTTAATAAAAGAAAAACTATATATACAATGACAAATATTTGTTATTTCATATTTTGACAACGTAATGCGTCGTACAAGCGGTGTTTCTGGTCCATGAGATTTTCTACTTCCTCGCGTTCGAGGATAATTTCGTCGTCATGATCCTTTTTCAGTATCAACTCACAGCTCTCTTCTTCATTCGAATAGCTTACCTCGATAGTGTCCCCGATGTAGACTATTATGTCGTGCCAGAATATAATTTCCCCCACATCGTCCTCTAGGAAGTACAAAAAATACCAAAAATCCTGGACTTGAAAATCTATGTGCTTGTTCTTGAACATGAATCGGACACCTGAATTCTGTATTTCGAAAATCGTGTTTTCATCGACAGTGACCACTTTGTTGCACATCGCGACAAACAGACTGACTTCGGTATCAAATTCAAACGTACTTATACATCAACAACCCCCACTATTGGTGTAATTACGCGAGATATTTACATTTGGTCAATTTGAATAAGCATTTTGCCAAAAGCGGCAAACACGCGCACGTAGTCGCATAGAACGGGATTAAAACAGTGTTATTGGAATTCTTGAGAGCGATCGTTTACCATTCGTCGTGGTATTCGTACTACGGTTCGCGAAAATCAAACGTACCTTGTAATTTAAATACAGCCTATCTGCGGTAGTGTTATTCGACAATGTTACGCTAAAATTTTATAGCTTGTCGGTTCCGTCGACCTGAGCGAGTTGCATACTCGTCCATGTATCGGCCCAAATGCAACGATTATTATGATTTTTGAAACAAATGAACGCTTCAATCACATCGTTAGGTTATATAAAACGTTTGCACTTAACAAAACCATGTTTCTAGCCCGAATGAAACTATGCTAGATCGCGGTAACTGCTTTTATAACACTCAAACAATAATGACATTTATTCTGCGGAGGTGCGGGCCGTCGATATGTATTTTGCTGTCCGGTCTGTTATAGTGAACAAAGCAGGGCAAATGAGTTTGCAATTCAACATTGTTGCGATGTCGTACTGGTAACTTATTCCACATATTCAACAAATCGTGCGGTCTCAAATGCTCCAAGAAATGTTGCACAGGAATCAATTCAAGTTGTTCGGTACACAAGCTTCTAAAATCGTCGAAGAAAACTTCTTATTCATTGTTGTAAAAGATCGATAACTTTCTTAACAAATGTCTAATTTGTTTAAATTAATTCTGACGAGACTCAAGTGTATTTCACCGACACTCGTTAATTTATTCAGAAATTCATTGTATTCGTAATACGTTTTTTCTTTGAAAAAATACAAATGTCCGTTGGATAATCGAAACGCTACCGACAAATCTTCAAGCAGACCCGGAAACAGTTCCGTAGTGAAACCGTGTTGAGTCGCACTCAAAGAACACTGCGCCGTAGCGTTTATCGTAAAATATATACGTTCGACCGCCATACGTATTAAAAATAGCATTCACTGTTTTACCCGCAGGTCCACCCAGTCGCTGGACGTTGGAGTGGAGTAAATAAATTGAATCACCGGTGACAACCAAAAGTTGACCGTTGGGTCTTTGGTAGATATGCGAAATAGGAGCGTAAATAGGGACATAATCTGATATCATTTTAGGTTCCATGTGGATTTTATCAAATAATCTTATTATCCAAACCCATTTGTCGTAAAACAGATACATATGATGGATAGACGTAACCAAAAATATGGATGGATTTACGTGACACAAACCTGGCACTTTTGATTCGTTTTTCCCTATCGGAGGTTTTGTAGTTGTAGTAGTAGTGATAGTGGTAGTAGTAGTTGTTATTGTTGTCGTCGGAGTTGTTACGCGGACGTTACTGGGTGTGATTTATTTACCATATAAATGTTGAAGACCTGCAATATCGTCGTATGACAATATCTTTATTTAAGCTATACCAACATAATGGCATTGCGATCGTTACTGTGCGCCAAACTCAACGTATGTCCAATTTCGTGTAACAAAACAGTAAACCAGCTCGTCGTTCCTCCCGGCCCAGGCACTTCTAAACCGTGCATGTCCTAATATATTATCTCTTCCGTCGAAAGCAAAAGGGCAGGATTCGTTTCCTTTACATCTTTGCTTTGTAAGTGGCTCTGAGTAATTTAAAAAAAATAAACAATTTTTAAAATTATTTGATGACCCCACTTACTGAAAGTTTTGTTTAAAAAATGTGTTTTATAGGAAACGTGTCATATACATACTTTGTTTTGTCCTAGAAAAAATCGCGGTTTGTCCTTTTGACAATAATTCGCTTTTTTTACGTTGCATAATAATCGAATTAAATTGAGTGTTTTTAATATCGTTTAAATGACAGTGAATTTAATGTGAATTTTGATATGCGTGTGTAACTTTTAAAAAATAAACAATTTTTAAAATTATTTGATAACCCCACTTATTTAAATCATACAAAGAGTACCGGGGGTTAGAATTCCCGGTACGACATCCACCGGCAAAGGAGTGTTGGTCATGGGAGGGTGAGGCACGTCCCTCGTACACACTAGAACATCAAAAGGAATATCAGCAGCAAGAGCAACCCGGTGGATCGACCCGGGTGGGTGGTCGACAGAGTGGGACGGGGAGGAGGGTACTTCATATTTAGATTTCTTGAGGGAACGGGAACAAGAACTCAAGCAACAGGAACAATGGGATGGTCGACGTCGGTGAATCGACGCAAAAAGAAGAAACCCTTTGCCAACATCACCGCATCCCCGTGCCGCACCGTTATCGCCATCTGCCGGGGAATATTGGCGAGAGGCGCGCGCGCGACATCTAGCAGCGACGGGCGGAACCGAACCATCCCGGACATGCACCGGGGCACACAGGGCGTTACGTAAAGAGGGGTTTTAAAAGGCGGAGCACACTCGGGTACACTAGGACGGGGACGGAGACTGAGGTTATGTGCGGTTTTCTGCTCTATAACCGGTGTTATTTATCTACTCACCTTTTTTGGATTGCGGATTCCCTCTCAAACTCACATGGAGAGTACTAAAAAAACCCTAAAACCCAACCAACCTCCTAAACGTGTATTATGAAAATCCATAGTTGCATGCCCTCTGGCGTTACACCGTAAAATTACAAAAAATAATGCAATAAAGCTTTAAACACGCGGACGCTAGATGGTGCCATTCAAAAACTAGTTTAAAATTGATACTACAATATCTACAGCCGCGCTTTCTTCCACGGCCTCTGGTTGTCAGCGACTACAACTCTGTTACGTTACGTTTGGTAGGACTAGCGGTGACCGTGAAGGAAAAAGCAGCTAATGGTTACGATAGTTTATTCGCAATTAAATTTTGTTGACCTTATTAGCAATTAAGTGCTTGAATTAAAACAATGTCGGACGACGAATTACTTTGAACAGCACAACAAAAGATGTCTCTTGGTGGTTAAACCCATTATAGCTCCTTAATAAGATTATATAAGTGTATTTACCAAATGCACGTGTGCGGCCACTATATGTTCCTCAAGCGAATAGGCAGCTTTACAATAAACTTTTGACAAAGTAAAATTGGGCGGTCTTAAAAATACTTCATAAATGAAAACTAACCAAAACTAAACAACTATGCTTTATCTGTGTGTTTTATTAAACATTTCGAGGAATACTAATTCTATGGTTAAAAATTTGAATTTTCAATTAGCAGATTTCTCGTTAAGGAAAAGATTTCCACTTAAAACTGCAGGATATATAAGAATTTGATTTGATCTTAGTAAAAAATAATGTTATGTAAAAAGTCAATCAATTAAAACAGTGTATAAAAGTTAACAAAAACCCCATATTGTAAGTTAAATTGCATACCTAAATCCCATTATCTACCATAATTCGCAGGCAGAAACTTTGTCTATAAAACAATCTTTGAAACCCTTGATTGCAAATTTGCACTTGTACCACTCTGTTTGTCCATCTTCCATAGTAACTTTGCACTCTAAATGTTTCTCTACTTCTTCTCTGTCTTCGCTAAACACTGAAAGGTCCTTACAACAATTACTAAACTTGTTCATGTCATTGGTAATATTTATTTTCATTTGTTTTGCCTTTGCAGGTATTGCCAATGGTAAACAGGACTCAAACAAATCCTCAGAATGCATGTCCAATTTCCCTGAACAACATTTTTTCATGTATAAAAATACATTTGTACAATTCATTGACGCGTCTACCGCTTCCAAGAAATCTTCAGATAAGAATATATTTCTGCAACAGACGAATTATTTACTATCCAAAAAGAGCAAAATTTGTTTACCTTAAAATTCGTTGCAAGTATTTTCGCAATTCTTTTAAATGGTTTCTTTCAATATGACCTCTATCTAACGCGCACACACTTATCGTAAACACTTCCCTGGCACAATGAGGTGTATCACCAAACACAACCAAAACTTCCTTAATCACGCTATTTGGTTTGGAGAAATCTCTAATAATCCAATTATTTATTTTTTCCAAATTGTCGTAGACTAATGAAACGTTTCGATAATGAGTTTCTATAGCGTAATTCCTGAGCGTAATTCCGTTCTGTTTTTTCCTGCGTTTCTCCACCATGTCTTTCAGTCGCTCATAAGGATAAGGAATCTGGTTCTTTTGGAATAGCAATCCTTTTACAATTTCGTATATTAAAGCAGCACATGCGAAAGGCGTAAATACCACGTCTGACACATTAACTTGAAAATCTATCATTTTTGATCTGCTCGGTACAATAACTCAACGCACCTTTATATTACAGGTTCTTTGTCTAAACACGATTTTAATTCAATTCAATTTGGTAGTCGTGCCCAACAGTTTTCTGTGAAACGCATCATTGAATTGAATTGAATTGAATTCAAGTCAATTCAATAATGCGTTTCAGAAACACTGTTGGGCAAGACTCCTAGGATCATTTGCCCATTGCCGACTTTCGTCGACGATTTTCGCTTCTGGTCATTGACCAACACAAACGAAGAAGAAAAATAACCAAAATTTGCTCAGCTAGCAAAAAAACAGTTTTGACCGATACCATAAAAAACCGGCATCCCCCCGCTTCCGCCAAGGACCATCCGGCCTCCATACCGGCGTGAGCGGTTAAAACAGCGGGACCGGCGGAACTTTTACACTTAAAACAAACACCAAACACTGCCGAAACAGAGTCATACAAATTGAAGACCGATACCAAGGTTCTTCGAACGAATACAGCGGATTCTGCTAGGAGCGAACGGAGGTTAAACCGCCGCGTGCAATGCTCTACCACAGAATTAAACACGATTCAATTCAATTCAGTTCAATGATGCGTTTCACAAAAAACTGTTGAGCAAGACTACCAGGAAATTAAACACGATTTAAAATAGGTTTATTTTTACTGCTGTCGGCCTATATTGCCAGGATCATTCGGCCATTTTCTCTGTGAATGGTGACTTACTTCAAAATTTTAACATAGGTTATAATGTAAAAATATTTTCCTATACGTTTAAATAACAAAAAAACTATATCACCATTGGCTACACTGAAAGTGCCTTAGCTAGTAAATAAAAGAGAAAAAATATTAGATCCGTTCAGCTAGGCAGGCGCTAAGTGCCGGTATCAGCCGAACGATTCTTCTTCGTGTTGGTTAAAAAATGAGCGGTATAACTTGATATTCTGTCCCGATTCAGTAGTGTAGCATTGCATATTGCTGTTGAGCCTCCGCTTCCTCCGTGCAAAATCGGTTGAATTCGTCCCAAAAACCTGGAATCGGTCTTTTTTCGTGTAATTTTGTTTCAGAAGTGTTTGGTGAATATTTTTAAATATTGTCGACTCGTTGTTCTGTCCGTTGGGGGGCCGGATCGGCCCGGGTGAGACGAGAGGGTAGCTGGGAAGTCGGTTATTTTGGTATGAGCCAAAGAACAAATGTTGATTATATTTGTAAATTTTCCTCGACGGATGTCGGTCATGGGCGAACGACCATAGTAATCTGCCTAACTGAGTGAAAAATATTTTCTCTCTTGAATTCTGTGGTGGTGCACGCGCCGGTTTAACCTCCGTTCGCTCCTGACAGAATCCCTTGTAATCGTCCCCAAAAACTTCGAAATCGGTTTCCACTGGGTGGATTTAGTGTTTTTAGTGTTTAGTGAATGTTTTAAATATTGGTTATATTTCTTCTTTATACGTGTTCGTCTAATTTCAAAAACAAAAATTCTCGACGAAAGTCGGCAATGGGCGAATCACCATAGTTATTTTGCCCAACAGTTAGTAAATAGTAAGGAGAAAAGAAGAAGAGTATATTTTCTCTCTCACTCCCTCTCTCTTTTTCTGTGATCAGTACTAATTTATAATGGCGTAAAGTTTATACTATAATTTAAAGCCATGAAACAATTCGTCGTCTAACTGGTAAATATATTTTGAATGACCTGGAAAAAACGGTTGCGAAATGGCGGTTGGAACCACCAAAGTTATCCAAGTTACGAACATAGCCCCGCAAGCCACGAAAGACCAGATGCAAGTGTTGTTTGGCTACTTGGGTAAAATCGAAGATATACGTTTGTACCCTACGATTCGGGACGTATCGTGCCCCGTTCAATCGCGGATATGTTATATAAAATTTATCGATTCGTTGACTGTGGGCATAGCCCAGCACATGACGAATACGGTTTTTATCGACCGCGCTTTGATTGTTATCCCTGTCCAGAATGGAGAGATTCCTGACGAGTATTACGCCCTAGAAATGACGAGAAATGGAACCATTGTGCCTGGACTTAACCTAAACGAGCCCAAACTGCCGCCTCATGTCGTAAACACAGTTCAAGGTACAGGAAACGACCAGGTCATTCTAACAAATGACTGTCAGCTAGAAGCGAATGGTCTTTGCGGGTACCCGCCTCTTCCCGCCACTTACGACAGTTCCAAGGTCGAGGAAACGCGAAGGACTGTGCTTGTGCAAAACATAGACCCTTCCGTAACTTCGGAAGAGCTGATTGAGTTCTTCACTACTGCTGGTGAAGTGAAATATTTACGCACTTGCGTCCATACTCCAGATAACTCAAACCATGTGCTGATTGAATTTTCGGAACAACCGAGTGTCATAAATGCGCTCAAAATGATCGGGACAGAGTTCAAGGGTCAACCATTATCAATACAGCACGCCACCCAACCCATAATAAAACCCCAAGCAAAAAGTAACGAGGCGGCTCAGAAAGAAATTGAAGAGGCGATGACGAGGTTTAAGGAGGCTCAGAACATGATCAACGCGTCGATTGAACCTGTTATAGGGATGCTTACCAAGGATAAGAGAAGTTCGAGAAGATCCCGATCTCGATCCAGAGACAGGAGGCGGCGGAGGTCGAGGTCAAGATCCCGTTCGCGGAGGTCGAGGTCTCGCAGGCGACGATCCGCGTCCAGAAAACGGTCTCGGTCAAGAGAACGCAGGAGAAGAACAAAATCCAGGTCTAGGAAGAGGTCGCGATCAAGGTCCAGGCGCCGTTCGGGATCGAGGGGTTCCAAGACACGCCGAAGTCGCTCGAGGTCGAGAAAGCGCAGCAGCAGGGATCGTTCGAGGGATAGAAAATCCCGAGAGAGGTCTAGGGATAGGAAATCGAGGGCCAGATCGAGGGATAGAAAGTCAAGGGAGAGGTCGAGGGATCGGAAAGCGTCGAAGGAGAAGAGTCGTCGCAACAGGGAGGATTCCAAGGCAAAGGAAAAATTGAGAGAGACCAAAGATAGAAAGAGCGAGGGTTTGGACGCGGACAGGAAACGTTCGAGGTCAAAGTCCAGGAGTAGAAGCAGGAGAAGGTCGAGGTCGAGGGAGAAGAAAAAAGAAAAGAAGAGGTCGCGTTCCAGAGGTGGTAAGAGGTCGCCAACGCCGCGGGCAAGAAGAAGAAGTAGGTCTAAGAGTAAGGATCGGGAACGGGAGAGTAAAAAGAAGGAAAGAAAGGAGAAAAAGAAGGATAGATCGAGAAGTAAGTCGAGGGATCGAAAAGCGGAGAGGGCGAGGTCCAAGTCTAGTTCGAGGTCGAAGGCGTCGAAAAATCGCGACAGCAAGAAGGAGAGCGCGGTTGAAAAGGAAAAACTGAAAGAGGAAGTGGAGTGCGCGGATAAAGATTCAGGGGAGAAGTCCGATAATATGGACATTTCGAATTCGCCGTAGGGTTTTTTTTGCATTGTGTCACATGTCATTGAGTATGGAGGGTGGAATAAATTTATAAATGTGAACAGTCCTTATTTAATTTTTAAACCTCCGCATATATTGAAAACTGGAACTGCCGTTTAAGTAGAGACAGCAATATGAAGACGTTATTATCGCATTTTCTTCACTTTCATTCCCCATTTATATTGTAAGATAACAGGTTTAGTTCTTTCAACCAGAAAATGGATCTAGCATTGGAAGGAGTGATAGGATAAATTTATTTTATTGTTGGCGACAATGCATGAAAGGATGTCATCAAACTGTGTGACCTCTACTGCTTTGATCTATGGCGATTATTAATTTGGGCTAGATGGGATTGGGTTTATAACATAAACAGAAACAATTGAACTATCCTCTATTTAAATAATTATCTTTAACAATATGTGTTTTGCAAGTGACAGTCCGCGATAATATTATCTCGGCGATTGTAACCCATAAAACATTAAAACCCACTTGTCCTTTAAAGTTAAATCGAGATATATATATATATATATATATATATATATATATATATATATATATATATATATATATATATATATATATATATATACACCTATACATATAAAAAATATAAAGTTGAAGACCAGAACGTTGGTTAAGGAGAAAATTAGTAACTGAAAATAAGATAAAACCGATTCAATATATTCCAGCGCGACCAAGGCTATTCGCGTAGGAAAAACGACTAAGAATGGATTCGCGTCGCAATGCTACATGAAGTCGTCGTAGTCGTCAAAGTCGTTGCTGTAGTCGTTCACGTAGGCGGAGAGTTGATGCTGAAACATCGCGTTTCGTTATGACAATCTCAAAATAAACAGCAACAGGGAACAAAGGACATACAATAGCATTACTTAAATTGATATAGGGTGATTTTTGATGGTAATAGGTAATTGTAATAGCGAGATTGTATATTGTTTCTGCTAAGGAATAGAAGGTTAAAATTTAAGGATAAAAAAATAAGTTAAAATTTAGCAGGCCCACGAAATTATTTTTATGGCTCTTTTTTTTTTCTATCTTCAGTCATACTTTTATGATGTAACATTACTTACATTATCTCCCTCCAACTTGAGCTTGGCCTTGCCCTTGCCCTTGTTTTTCTTAGCCTTATCCCCCTTTTCGATTTTCTGCTTCTCCAAATAAAGGTTGTCCAAAGTGTTTTTAATTTTCTTTATGTCCAAAGAAGACACTAAAACATTTAATAAGTTACGCCAGGTGTCTAAAAATTAGCACGTTAAGTAACAGACTTGGAGCGCACAAATTCCTAGTCAATTCCTCAACGAAGTTTACGTAATCTGCACTCTTTGATAGCGGCAACAAATTTTTGGATAATGTTTCGGTAAACTCTTCAAGTTCTTCCTTGCTTGACGGTAACTTGATGCCGCCGACTTCCTTCACCTCTGCGCCGCCACCTTTCATTCCGAACGTCGTCTCGAGGGCCAGCTTCAAGTCCGACTCTTTTTGCATTCGGATTTTCTCCTCTGGTGAAATTTCTTCTTCCTGTTGTTCTTTGAGCCGCCTTTCGAACTCCTCCTGCTTCAGCCTCTGAAACAGGGTACATGACATCACAAAGGTCATTTTTATCACTTTAAGGCCTCGTTTGAGAATTTAAACCTTTTTCGACGTTTTTGAGCCCCTCAAAACGTGAATTGTTTTAAACTCTTAAATAGGTGATTGTCCGGAAGGCAACAGTAGCTTAAGAAGTGTGTGAAGTAAACTGTTATGCTCAGCATAACCTCAGTCTTCGAAGCTAAGAATTTTGAAAGTTGACATACTTGACTTAGTTCCCTAGCCGAAGCCAATGGCAATATTATAATTCTCTACATCTTATTTTTGATAACACACAAAACATACATACATACTTTTGTGAAACTACAATACCTATTGAAGAAGTTAGAAAATTGTATCAAAACAATTGTTATATTTTTACTTTATGCAATATTAATTACTTCATTTATAAATTTTTGTACAATTTACCTCTTTTTCTGCTAATTTCTCTGCGAGGCTCTTCTTTTTCAACTTCTTGGCTTCGGCTGCCTTTTTTTCCTCTTCTTCCTTTTCTTTTTTTTCTTCATCCTCGTCTTCCCAACTTTCCTAAAGATGAAAATATTATAAACAGCATTTGTTTTTCCAAAATCCACAAGCAATTGTTGTAAAACATGATCTAATACCTAACCCATAAGCAACAGCTTATATTTTAAGAACAGATTTTTATAATATAAAGGTTATTTTTTATCCGAATATCAATAATCTGAACGTAAGTAAAATATACTTTGAATAAACAATCTTATAATATCCCATGTACAGGTCATGTCTATGGAATGAGGTTATTGCTAAATATACACCATATGGTGTGGGTAACAAACTTTTTTTTTTCCAAACATTACCTTCACGTCATCGTCCTCATCTTCGCCCTCCCACTTATTATTCGAAGTGACCACCCTTGGAGGCTCAAAATCCTCGTCATCTAAATACCATATTATGATTACATAAATAAATTCGTTCGTCCCGACAATCAAAAAAACTCACCCCAAGACTCCATTATCACAATATTTCACAATTAATAGTATAATCGCTTCCTAAATCCGATAGTAAAAAACGTGCTGTTACCAAATGGACTCAGCTGCGCGTTCTCGTACGCGCTCGGGAAAACCGGGAACCGTAAATTTTATCTAAATTTGGTAATATCAAACTGCGCGTTTAACTCTTTTATGTCTTTTATTCGAATTTACTATTTTCTTGCACGTCGTAATTTTCTCGGTTACTGAATTTTCGTCTGCTCTCATATCCATTTCCCAGTCGACAAGTGACAAAATCACAGAACACGAATTGACGGTTAGTTTGGCAGGATCATCAAACACAAAAAAGCAGAAAATATGAATTTAATTAGAACAAGTCACCTATTAAGAACTGATGTCTGAAGCTGAGGTTATAACTTATATTTTTTTAGATATGTAGATCGAATTGAGTACTAAATAAAAAAAAGAAATGTATTAACAGGAATGTTTTAAAAATGCGTCTCAATCACTAAGACAGCAATTGTTTAAAATGATTTTCATTACTAACATTGCACTATACAACTATGGTCCTGTCACCCTTCAAGGCAAAATAAAAACTTGTAGGTTAATTTTTGAGCCAGTCATTCCGCCTCTCTCAACTGGCTACAATTCTTAAACGGAAATGGCAAACATAAAGGCGGTTACAGACGAAGCGAATTTTCAGGCCGAACTGTCGGCGGCGGGGGCAAAATTGGTGGTAGTCGATTTCACCGCCACTTGGTAAGATAAAACGCCCCACGTTCACTTGAAAATACATGGAAGTGTTTGTCAGGTGCGGCCCTTGCCAGAGAATGGCTCCGATATTCCAGCAGCTGGCGGGTAAATATCCTCGGGCATCTTTTTTAAAAGTAGACGTCGATCAATGTCAAGAAACTGCCGCTGCGCAAGGAGTCTCCGCTATGCCTACATTCATTTTTTATCGCAATAAGGTGAAAAAATGAGTTCAAACTGAGGTCACTATAACTAACGAATTCTTTTTTGTAGACTAAAATCGACAGGCTTCAAGGAGCAGATCCAACAGGTCTGGAAAACAAAATTCAACAATATTATGGATCTGAAGAAGGAGAAGATGCGGAGGGTATTGCGGGGCATGTAAGTTTGAAACTTTGCCATGAGCCGGCTAGATACAAACTGTATTTTTGTAGATGGACTTGTTTCCCTTCATTATGAAAGCACAATGCGAGTGTCTTAATGAAAGTGATGAACACCCTCTCACACATGCTTTGCAGTCTGGTGGCGGATTCTTACAATCCGATTGCGATGAACAGTTGATTATTTCCATTACTTTTAATCAATCGGTCAAAATACATAGTTTAAAGATCAAAGCGCCTGCCGACAAGGGACCAAAGATTATTAGGATATTCATCAACCAGCCTAGAACCTTAGATTTTGATTTGGCAGACAGTTATACAAGTGTCCAGGATGTTGAGTAAGTACAAGACTAGATTTTTTTGGATTATTTCTTCAGTAAAACTGAGTAAAATTTTTCTTTTATTAATTAATTTTACTTATCTAAATATTTTCCTTTCATTTTGTGAAAGTTATGAAAATAAACAACGCTAGTGACAAATTATGACTAAAAAGAAAAGGGATAAATTAAGAAATTGATTAATCTGCTCCCCACTCTTTACAAACTGCTAAGTGTTTGAAAGTTCTTATCTTATGACAATTATATATGGCTAGGAGGTTGTTTAAAACTGCCGCTAGGGCTGTATATGCTCTACCTATCTCCACCTATCTCAAAAATTTGAACTACTATAAAAGTAGATTTTTTTCCTGCACTTTTGCATTGCTTAATTATTTTGTTTGAAATAAGGTCGCTGCGCTTATTTGGAGTGAGTTACTACTGTTTATAGGAAGAGACTAAACAGAAAAGAAAAAAATTAAAAGGGCTAAGAAACAAAGGAAGTCGTGCTCCCAATTTTGTTTTTCCCGCAGACTGACGCCCGAAGACCTCGAAGGCAACCCTGTCAACCTAAAGTATGTCAAATTCCAAAACGTGCAGAACGTCCAGTTCTTCATCAAGGACAACCAGGAGGGCGGAGACGTCACGCAAATCGACCACCTCGCAATCGTCGGCTCGCCCATAACCACCACCAACATGGGCGACTTTAAGCGGGTGGCGGGGAAAAAAGGAGAGAGCCACTGACCACAAATAACTAGGGACCTCATACAGTCGTTTTTTCTATTTTAAGGTTAATAAACAAAATTTACAAAAATCTGGCTATCTCCGCGATTTTTGCCCCATCGCCGCCTCCAACATTTTTATTCTCTCCTTCGTCTCTTTCCTTATGCTCTTCACCTGACTCGCCATGGTGTCATTCTTATACTCTTCTGTCTGTTCTTCATCTTCCGCCTCCTTGAACAACGTTGTCACATTCATTAGACGTTTCGATTTCGTTGACTCGGTAAAATTTATCCGGGACAACGGTTTTCTTCTTCCACTCTCGAAGAGGCCAGTCAGTCTTCCGTCGTTTTGAGACTCCAGTACCCATGCGGCGTTCTTTACTTCGCACTTGAAACGCTCTACTTCCTCGTGGCTGACGTTTTTGCTGACGTTTAAACCTTTCTCGAGCGGGTTCACCACGTACATCGGGCTGTGGTCGGGTTTGGTGAGGTGGACAGCTTCGTTCAGGCACACCGCCATCGAATTGAAATCGAAATGACAGTAGTACTCGAAGAAACCTACTAGCAGTTGCTCCAAGCTCCCGACATTCGACTTTGCAAAAGTTAATTTTCTTAGGTCGCGGGCGAAAGTGCAGTCAGTGCCATCTTCGGTGACGAACGCGTCTTCAGGTCCTAAAAAGCTATGTGGTGAACACGAGAGGCAGATTTAGGAGGCGTCCATTAATGACATAGGGCATTTTAAGAAGCTTTATGTGAATGTTCAAATTAAATTGTTTTTTATTCTTTTTTTTTTTTTGGAATATCTACAAGGTGGTGACTTTTAAGTCATTTGGCAAGGAGTTACATAGGGGTTTATATTGATGTAAACTTCACCTGGAGAGAAAGTAAAATATGTTGCAAATAAATTGTAAAAGTTAATCCACAAATTTTACAAACTGAGGAATATATTAACTTTTTCCTCAATAAAATCTCTACACCAAGCATTGCCAAAATCGATAATAAATTATGGGATAGTGGTTTGGGGAAATGCTGAATCGCCTATCTTAAAATACGAAGATAAATAAAAAAGTAATATATTGTATTTAAAGACTTACTAATGGATGATAAATTAGTTATATACTAAAAAAGCTGTTTTCCGATTTATGGTAACATCTGCTTACTAGCTTTGTTTGCGGAAGCGATCCGTGACTCGCTGATAAATATCCAAAGTACACCTGATTGTAGATTACGCGTGCGAGGTTGGACAACTCTCCGCGAATGCGAATGTCGATTACGCGATCATCGCGCAAATCGCATTAAAGCCAAATACGTGAAAACTTCATAATTAAATAAGTTTCCAAAATATTTAGGTTTGCTGTGCAAGTCGTTAAGCCTGCTACACACGATCCGGCAGGTCTGTCAGTTCGAACTGAACAGTCTGCCTGAACGTGTATATGTTCCGGTCGAACTGTCAGTTAAGACCGTTGAGGCAGACCTCCTTTTTTTGAACCAATCTTTGCGGACTGTTCAGTTCGAACTGACAGGCCTGCCGGATCGTGTGTAGCCGGTTTTAGACAAAATGGATTAACAATGATATATGTCAGTCATTTTTCTGGGTCCGCACTTAAACTTAAAAACTTAAGTACAAGTGGACTTGGACGCGCAGCCTCTGAGAATACCTGATGAAATTTTCGCAAAACGTCAGGCAACCAATCCTACTCATGGTAGGATCAAACAACGATGAATATCCGGATCAACACCAGCATACACAGAAAGAGCCTATAAAATGATATAGCCGACACCAATCAAACCGGAGCTGCGACAAACGATTTTAAATATGCAAAGATAATTACGAAAATTTTGTGGAAGAGAAAGATCCTGAAGATTAAGAACTAATCATCTTTTAATTCGGACGATGGACTAGACTAGATTTTTAAAGTCAGTGGTAAAAAAAATCGTACTGACCGACAGACAAGAGAAGAGTGAAGATTGGAACGGATGGGAAAATTGAAGAAAAAAATTGCATATAAACTAGATTCTGCGTTTGTTAATATTTTTGATACCTTACATAATAGGCTAGTGTTAGCGAATCTTTTCTCTTTGTTATTAAGAAGGAAGTAAATATTAAGTTCTTATTTTTTTCATGAATAAGATGCCAAATTTATCTGCTGACAGTTCTGATCGATCCAGAACGACCTTAGAGTTGGCGATCTTTGTGCCGAAGAGCGCAGTGAAGGGAAGTGAAGGGAATCGCTTCCACTAAAGATGTTTTTATAAAACAAATAACTTTTATGGACTTATCATGCGAAATGCAAAAAAAATGTTTTTCAAAGTTCCAGGCAGACTATTTACTAAAACACGTTGCCGGAGCTAAGAATTATAATAGTTTACCCGTTTCGATTAGATTTAAGCTCACTTACTACCAATGCAAAAAAAAATTGGTTTGCAAACCAGTAATTATAGTAAATAATGTCTAGGTATAACTTGACAATAGACTGGACTAAGTAGTTTATCAGGTTAAATCTTTAAGTAAATTATTGTGGTTAAAAGTTGCAGCTACAGCATCTTGGATGCAATTTCATTTTTTTTGGGTATTCCTCATAAGTTTATGTTTCGGTTAAGAAAGTTGTTTCTGCTAAAATTTGGTATTCTTTAATACTGTAGGATTATGAACTTCCACTCCCGCCGAGTAATTCAGCGTTTATTTCGACCCCACATCATCAATAAAGGCCCCGCCCTATAGGAGTCAAAATATTAGTCTACCTGCTGATCGAACCAACGAGTTTAGGCTAGGCAATACGGGGTGGGAGTTTGGAGGGTTCTGAAGGTAGGCCAGAACTAAAAGCGTCAAAGTAAAATTAGTGATCCATCTGCCAGGCGACGAGTTGGTTAGACCTACTTCTTTCGCCCACCTTCGTATCGTAAAAATCAACGGCCTCACCCTGTAATCCATCTCGCCAAACATGTACAATAGGTCTGACATGTAAACTCCTGACCTGAAATTTACGGGCAACTATGGGCTTTGTGTTCAATTTTTTTTTGTTTTTTAGGATTTAAAGCTAAGTAGTACTTACACAAACATATATTTCAATGTAAATGTTAATTGAGTATATAAAAGATTAAAGTTTGGCTAAGTTTAGTACCAATTTTCATTATTTAGGAAACTTAAGGATTTGGTTTAAAAAACAATAAAAATACTACATTTCCCTGTTTGAAATGAAAGTTTCAAGCAATGCAGTAAAAAAAAAATTAAGCTCACACTTTACTGCGGGAATGCTTAACATTCAGATGTCATCATGATAAAATAAATCCTACTCACATATTTGTCATGGACAAATCACATTCAATATCTGTTAATTGATGATGGTATTTTATGATGGGCACCCGAGCCTGTAGTATGCGCCGAACCTGGGTACACCCGGGCAAAAATAAATAAATCAAGTCTCCAATAACCTCCATGTTTTTTTGGTTAGCGCTTCTTTCTGAACTCGATGATGCTTTGCAGTGGTACACCAACCGACTATGTTCTTTTTCCTAAAAAAAAACGAGTTCAGTTATCGCAAATGTAGGTTATGAAAATTTTTACCTTCTCATCTGTGAGTCGCAAAATCAAATCTAAATCACATCCCATTTTACCAAATCCGTTGACAGACGAACCAAATGGGTAGGCCCGAGCCTTGGGAAATAGTCCAGACATCAAGCCTTCCACTTGCCTGGCAGTCAAAAACCTCAACCTGCTGCCCATCTCATTAAGCTTGGTTAGTTCGTGAAGTTTCTCCATTTCTTCTGAAATCTTTTTTATTGAAACAATGGAGTATTGTTGCAAGTTTTATTGTTATTACAGTTTCGCATTTACTAAGAGCTTCATAGAGTTTGTCATCTTTGATCATGGCAGTTCCGTTTGTGATGAGCAAGCAGGCACTTTTGTTTTGCTTTAATTTGGGCGATTTTCTGTTAGCCGCCCTGAACCAGAGGAAATGGGAACTGGTAGGAATAGTCTGACCATCTATTAAGTATGTACTTTCCCTCAAGACATTGTTTGTGTGGGATTGTTCTTCAAATTCAATTAAAATAAAATGCTAAAACACACAAGTACATTTTGCTCCATGGGTGGTTAATACAGGAAATTACAGATGGGTCAGTTCCCTCTCTGTAGTGAAACATATCCTTGACTATACCCAAAGTGCTGCAATAGGAATAGAGTTCTTTGTATGAATCTGCCGACTGAACTTGGACCAAAATGCTTCGATTCGCTTGCTCCCTCCTGTTCTCTAATAATTTCATAAATGGAATAAAACTTTGAAGACTTGCGCAATCTAAAATATTTATGCAGGAAGAACCAAATGAGCGTCATGAAGGGACGAACCGACTTAAAAATTACCTTTTTTAGAAGAGTATGCAGAGTGATTTCCTTTAAAAAATCTAGTAGGTATTCCTAAACATTGTAATCTGGCACGAATCATGTATAAACTCATGTTAAATTTGTGGTGTAAGGGAATAACAGTTGTAAATGCAAAACTCCTAATCACGTTTAGTTAATAATATTGTCATTTGCCAGAGTCACATCTTTTATTTAAAATCCAAATTTCAAAACTGTTCCATAACCTCTAACCTCACTCGAGGTTCTCACAGAAGCATGGAAAGAGAAACCAAATACTATCTTCACTCAGTTGGGCTAACCTACTAAGATTATACGCCCAGTATACTTCATCCACCGAGAATATCTTTTTCGATGCCTTACTAACGTAGACACATTATTATAGTAAGGCCGTATTTTCGTAAAATAGTCTCCGATCAGTTTTGGAGTATGTAGAGATAGCTTTTTAGAAAAAATGGTGAAAAATGCTGGTTGGTTGGTGAATTTAGAGCAATGCGAGAAAAAATCTTCCCTTCTCTACGAAAATATCAATGCCACTTGCTTATCTAATGGCTATATGCATAACAAAGTGGCCTTACTACAGTAAAAATTGATGCGCCGCATGTTCTAAGAAAATGCTGCTGCAAAATTGCTATAATTTAATATATTATACAAATGGCTATGATAATACATGATTCATTGACATTTTCGTAGGGAGGTTATGATTTTCTGCGAATACCTCTATATTTCACCCTCTAACCAGCACTTTACGCCATTTTCTTTCTAAACAGCGAAATTCACACATTTAGCTCCTCTTTGTCTGATGATTTAATGGTATCTGAACATATTTCTATAAAATACTGGCGTCATTAACTAAAAGCGAGTTTTTCAATCCATCTACAAAACGGTTTGATATCTACAAACAGAAAATGTTTAAGTAGGTCCATCAGCATTTTCTAGTGTCCGAAAAGCTCTGTTTGTTTCTTTATATGTAATTTTTGAATTATTTATTGCAAGGAATGGAGCTAAATCCAAAATCCAACAAAATATCGGACTACAACGTAACCTGTGTGTGATATTTAAAAAAAAATTGAGGTTTAATTATCATAATTATTATTCTTGCACATCAAGCTGACGTCAATTTGTAAAGTATGATTGATCAACTACAGTATGTTCAGGATTTCAGGTAAGATCGTTAGAAATGGCCTTTAAAATGAATGCGTCAACATATCCATTAAATTGAATATAGGGACGGAATGCGCATATAAAATAATGCTTTTCGCGACTATTGTTATCAAACTTTATAACTATATATTATTTTTCCATGGCTAGAAATTCCAGTCTACCTCAATCAAGAAAATAATTAGTAACGAAGTAAAGTAAAAAAGTCAATAATGACAAAGAAGTATGAAAACATCTAAAGAAAGAAAATAGAAAGTAAATAGAAACGCCTTCAATTTATTTCGCTAGCTAATATTTTACAATCCAAGTACTTCATCCACCTGGAATTTTTCGAAAACTCTTCTTCGTGTCTCAGAGCGCAAAGCGCCCGCCCTAAAACTAATCTGTATCTTTTCGCAACGCTCGACTCAAAGTGCATATGATGGAGCCATTCGAGTACCTAAAAGTGAAAACCGTTGGAAAAGTAGCGTCTGTCCTGCCGGTAAACTTGGCTCTCGGATTTTTAAGAACGCCGACTTCGTAAGTTTTTTTTATGTTAATGACAGCTATTTCGGCAACACCGTGCCTTGATCAAACACAAAATATGACGATATTTAGATTTTTAATTTTCGGTGTAAGTTTAACAACGCAGACGCATTTAAATCCAATCGGCCATTAAATAGTAGATTCGAATATCTCATTTTGCTAATTTCCATAGTTTCCAACAAATTTAGTTTTTTGCACTTTGTTTGCTTATGTAAAATACCAAAATTATCGTCAAACTTCTGCATTTCCGAATTTAAATAGATGGCATAATTAGAATCCGAACTTTTATTTTTATACACCCTTTTATGTTCATTAATGCGTTTCTTAAATGTTCTACTTATTTGCCCGATATAAATTTTGGGGACATGATTCCACATTTTAACTAGTAGACTCCGGATTTTTGAGTTTTTCGTAATTTAGTTTTTTTGCTTTTTAAAAAATGTCCTATAGTGTTTTCAGTTTTAAAAGGAACCTTAAGACCAAATTTAGTTAGATGTTTTGAAAATTTCTTGTTAGGTTCTTCTAGGTATTTTAGTGTTTTAATTTTGGGCTCAAAGTTATTTGAAACTGCGTTTTCGTTATAATGTTATCTAGCAAAGAAGGTTGTAACCACTGTTAAAAGCTATTTGTTTTGTAATATTTAATTCTTTGTCTAAATTTTTTGTGGTAAGCGATATATTAAGTAGTTTGATAAAAGCATAAAAGTCAGCCATTTTGTCTGTGCAATGGTAATTTGAGTTATTATGCATTATTGGGTCAATGTGTGAGGGTTTATGGTAAATGGAAAAATCTAATTTGTTCTGTAGTTTTGTTATAGTTAAGTCCAGGAAGTTTAAAGAGTTATTTGGTCCGTAAATTTAAACGCTTATGTATGAAGTTAATATGATTCAAAAAGAACGGCAATTGTCATTCCGTTTCGGTGAAACAAGCAAAACCATCATCTACGTATCTATACCACCAAATATATATTTTATTCAGAGGATGTTTGATGTTTGTGTATGACTAAGTTGGTTTACCATAATTAAGTCTTTAGCAACATTAAATTGACCATTAAATTCAAAATAAATTTTTGTCTAAAAAAATTATTAAACTATCTAGCAAGTCTTGTTTTATGACAGGCTTGACTTGCCTCTGAGTGAGAATCTTATCTATTATGTTCATTATGTCAATTAGTGGAACGCTAGGAATTTTTTTTTGACGTCAAATGAAACTAGAATTGCCTTAGGATAACATATCTAGGTTTAAGACATGGTGTTGCCCAAACAGCTGCGATAATCTGAACATTTTTTGTTCTAATTTAATTGTGTTAAATGGACCTTCATGAAGTAAAAGCCAGTTCACTCCAATTACAGTACAATACCTCAATGTCGGCCACCCTCAAGGAATCAAATATTGGTCGGTTAGGAGGGATGATCGCTTAAAAGAAAAACACAGAAATTAAAAGTCGGCCCTGGTATTACAGATGTTTTACTCATTATATTTTTTTTTTCGGTTAGTATTGGTTATTTTTGGTTTTGATATACCTGCTAAAGACAGACGTTACTGTATTGATGATTTCACTTCGGGAGCCAAGTTCGCCGGCTGACTAGACGTTAGTGTTCGAAAGCCCAGATAGAAATAGTTAAAGCCTTTAGAATTCAATACTAACTGATTCGAATCGACTTCATAATAGTGCGATTTAGAATGTTTCTGCTGTTTTTTTTTTTATTTTATTTATGTAGGTGCTTTTCGCTAAAATCGATTTGAATCAGTTAGCGCTGAGAAATATGGTTTCCACCACCGGTACCGATGCTGACCTGGGTTTTAAGGGCGTCCCAACCGGTTTCCGTCATCAGGACGGACAACGCGGCCGGAAACAGTTCTCCCGCGTTTTCGTAGTTTTCATTTAAAAACGCGTAAAACCCGGAAAACGTGACCGTCGCCAAGATTAACACCTCGCACCAATAAGAAATTTCTCGCTGAGGCACTCCGTCGGTCACTTTGACTTGGATTTGTCCGAGAAGTTCGGGAAGCCAAGAGGGCGAAGCTGGATTGTGGACTTGCGTTTTTACCGCGTCGACGATATCAGCGAATATCACGTCTCTGCAATGGCGAGTAAAACGGTGATTACTCGGGAACAACCGTGGAAATAATTTAACGATAAAATTAAAATGATAAATGGAGAAAGAGTATTCAAAATTATATATTTGTTGTGTCAAAACCCAAAACTCTTTTCGATAAACAATAGGCTACTTGCTCTCACTAAATATTTTTAGTTGCTGGAAATGTTTATCGAATTTTTGAAGAATACCCGCTGAAATCAACTGGGAGGTGGTTACTATTCTCACGGGAACGAAATTAAATGCATAACCTCTAACTTAGGACCGAGGATGGGTCGTCTGGCAAGGTACATATTTACAATTCTAATGAAATTATTATGGGTAATAACGACTTTAATTTTTTATTAGACTAAGAAGATCTTAGTAGCGACAGCATAAACGTCATTTTTTAGAAATTTGTCACAATGTCAAACTGCAGCTTGCGAACGTTCATCGATTCGAAGAATTATTGGCGATTTTACAATTCAAAATATTACTATCGATTGCAAGTAAAATTTTGAATGGTTGCATTGTTTTTTATGTTGATACTGTTTAAAAAAATTGTTCGGTATAGTGCGCGATTCAGTGCCGTTATGGACTCATCCGAGTGTTCAACATTATACGAAAATCTTATGGGTTTCAAATCAAAATACAAAAGAAATTTTTCTATTTTTTACGTATGCATCATAATGTTAATTAGCTATGAAATTAGAGACTGGGCTTTTATATTTTTTAAAACTGTTTGCCAGTCCTTTTTTCCTTCGCTGTGCTTTTGGTTTACTGTTAATAGATAAATATGAAGTGCAAAAAATAAACCCATATTATTATTATTATTATTATTATTATAACAAGAATCCTTATAATTGTTTTTGGTGTAAAAATATGCCCTTAACTTATCAGTGCCTGGAGTAGACCCAATTAAAATTATATGTTTTGCTTTTAATTTTTTTTTGGCTTCTACAAAACTCTGGCTTTCACATTAGAGTTGAAATATATGATTCGTTTGAATGAGGTGGTCAAAGGTTCATTCCCATCAGCATCAAGGTCAAAGATAACGTTATTGGTGTAAAGTTCGCAAATTACCATTCTCAGAAATGCGTATACTCACATTTCAAGAATAACTTCCCTGGGTGAGCTTTAAGATAATTAGGTAATAAAATTGTCATTAAAAAAAGATTTATGATGTTTCACAAATTACAAATAATTTCGATAATTCTATTTTTTGTCAATTTGTATTTCTTGGTTAATATTTCAAAGTGATTTTAGATTTTAGACGCGCAAGCTTACCCGACGTTGTTTTTGGCCGCTGCGTCGATGACGTCGTTTAGCCAATTCAGGGGGTTCGAAGACACGGATGCGCTAACCAAACGACATCGTATTTTAACGGTTTTTAAAAATTCTCTGTGGACAAACAGGCCGCCCGTTAGTTTGGCTATCGACTGTTGGGTGTCGCTAGAAATGTGCGGCAAACATTCGAGCATGTGCGGGAACGCCTGGTGAGAGAAACATTGAAAATGATTTTCAGATCTTTCTGGTTTTAAGTCGATATTACTAACATTAAACCGTAAAGTTAAATCCTGATCTCGATTTACAACATCAACAAATTACCATCATCTGGCAAATACGAAAATATGAAGCTTTTTGATTGACTAAAGTTTTCCAAGAAGGGTATACCACAGGGAACTGTGCAAGGCCATCTATTATTTAATTTATACATAACTGAATTAGTAAATTTAGATAAGGCAAACAGAATCGTTTCTTATGGGGACAACACAATAGCTGTTTTTGGCGATGAAAATGGAAAATGGTTTAAAAATATTAATGACGTTTTTGGACACTTTTAAATGATCCCTTAATATAAGTAAGACTAAATATACGGTGAAGGGCTAAAATTAATTTAAAAATCAGGTATTAGATTTCAAGCAAAATGCTGGCACACGTCCATCATTTTTTCTTGTGCAGTTTTTGCAGTAAACAGGGTGAGTCAAAAAATAGATGTCGATACCAAGTTCCCCTTTTTAAATGGAAGACCATTTTCGAATTCAAATTTCATAATTCTTGTAGCATATCCTCGACCAATTTCTAAGTTTTTATCAACAAAACAAAAATTTAATTTTGAAATAGGTAACTTGCTAGTAACACTAAAGTTGTTAAATTGTTGCAATTACACCCCTGTCAGTAAAGAAAGTGAATATGGCGCATCTATATTGAGAATTAAATTTTTTTTGGATACGGAAAAAAAAGAGAACTTAAGAAGTTTGTAATTTGTTGATAGCCAGAAGAGCCATTACAAGATCCATAGATATATGGAACTATGGTGGAAATAAGAAAGTTAAATATATTTTTTTATTGTCAAATACTGTTTGGTAAATAAACAAAATTTTAGGTATTGAAGTACAAATAAACCCCGATGGTTGAGAGAAAATCATACACATTATCCTCAAAAGAGTAAATGTTTGAGCAGGGATTATGAATAATAAATCTTGCTTTAGCCCGATATTTACAATTTCTTTAAAAATCAGCCTGACACGCGAGATAAACAGATTTGGTTTCAATAGGATGGTATTCTGTCCCATTTTGATCCACAACATATTTAAATACGGTATTTCCCGGACAGTGGATTGCTAGAAGAGGATCAATAGAATGACTTGCAAGGTGCTAAGATAAATTCTCCACTGCATTTTTTTCTCTGGGTATATTTAAGGAGAAACCTCCAAATTTAGATGATTTAAAAATTACAATAAGATAAGAAATAAAACAAATTAATGAAAATATCATGATGGTGATCTAATAAAATAATTTCTTTGACATGCCCGTTTGCAATGGGTCATTCTAGATATTTTTGAATTTTCGATTTGTCTCCATATCCAATAAAAATTTAAAATTTCAATTCACTGGGTTTTATTTAGAACGCCCATATTCACTTTTTTTACTGACAGAAATGTAAATGTAACAAGTTTAGAACACTGGCATTAGCTATCTGTTCATTTAAAAATTATATTTGTTTTTTATTCTTTTCCTCATAAAAAGTAAGATAGGTATACGGCATGCTATATGAATTATGCTTGAAATTTGCCGCAAAATTCTAAAATGGATTTTAAAAAATAGTGTTTAAAAAAGAACTCGCCATCTACTGGAAGAATATGCAAGAAAAACTATTCTTAAATGAATTTGTTCCATATTTTAGCCATTCATTATATTCAGCGAATATATAAGCTATCTACTTTCTATGACGAAGAAACATCATCCCAATTTTTCACAAATACATATTCACAGTTCAGCAGAACCCAATTTAAGAAACTGTTATAAAATACTTGCCAGTGATGGTTGATAAGCACATTGAATGGGATGAGATACCTAACAAAAAAATCAATTTTTATGTAACGAGAATTTTTTTCAAAAAAATGCTAAAGTTAAAATTATATTTGAAAGACTGAAATTTTCTTCTATTGCGTTACTTTATAGTACAGATATTTGCAGTGTTTGTACATTGTTTACCTAGAGCACATGATATACATTCAGAGACATTCTTGCAGATACGCACCAATCAAGAACTATCAAACTAGAGTTACCATTCACAGAAATGTTATCGTCCCTTAAAGTAGTAATGTTATTAATCAGCAGTAAGTAAAATTAAAGCAACTAAGATACTTTCTAGAGTAGACATATTTTGGATAAGTCTTCCATACTTGTCTGCTATGATTAGTTTTTTGTATTTTAATTATTTTATTAAAAAAAATTGAGAGCAAATTGTTACAAAATAATAATTTCATAATTTAATTAATTTTTGGGCTTGACACATAAACCGAAGTATCTAGATCAAATACTGCGGCATTGTAATTGTATCTGAGCTTACAAAGTCTATTAATGTGTTATAAACTTTGTATTTTATAAAAACAGCATGGAATAAAGTAAATTCCTCGACAATTAAGAATTGTTTCGGAAAAGCTGGATTCAGAAAAAGCGAATGTAGCTCAGAATTTACTGAACACACTTGGTGAGTTACTGCGACATGCAAAACATTTAGACGATAGATCTTAGACGATAACATAACAACAATAGAAAGTTATTACGAAAATTGTCTCCTTCAGGAAAATATGGCGAAATTTCGTCAGACAAGCATTTTAGACTTGTTTCAAAAACCTAAGGAATAATGTTTTTTTTTTAATTTTTACTCCATGTATATGTTAAAGATAAATACATAACTAGTTTAAAAATGTTGCCAGTTTCAGTTTCTTTTTCCTCTTATCATTACATTATGCATTGTACATATTTATACTTACACACTATCTTTAAGCGGACACCTCTCATAAGCGGACAAAAGTTATGGAACCGTGAGTGTCCGCTTATATTAAAATAAAATAAAATAAAAATTATAATTTTATACCCGAAATTATACTAGAAAATCAACTTACTTCCGACTTCGCGTCAGTCGCCGAAATAAGCCCAACCAGAACCTCTCCCAAACAATTCTTGTTAATGTCCTGCACGTTCTTGTTTTTCAACATGTCATTCGCGTCGAGCAACACGCTACGAAACAGCGCAGGTTTTTCATCGTATAGCGACAAAGCGTACCCGAAAGACGCCTGCAAAAACGGTTTCAACGTCCCTGGCTGAATACTGTTGGCCAAACAGTCGAGGTTTCTGAAAACGATCGTTATCTCTGCGTCCTGCAACATGAAACGGTAGTTAAGCACCCGCCGGCCAGAGGTCGATGGTATATGCACCTGAGGCTTCTCGGCGAACGCGATTATAATATTCTCCATCAGGCGGCGCGCAGATCCAGATAAGACCACCTGATGCGAGGCCAAGTCCAAACAGTGGCCGCGCATGTCGGGCTCATGGACTAGTTCCTGCAGGAAGCACCAATCGAGCGGCGGTAACGGTTTCGGATATTTTTGACTGAGAATCTTCAAGCACTCGACGTAGAGCCTCGCTTTGTCCGGATTGTCGGTCTGCCATGTTTTATACTATGCCCGGAACAACGACGGTAAAAAAGGATAGACAAAACAGAATGAAATTTGAAAGTTAGCTCACGAAGGTCCGAGTCCACTTGTACTTTAACAATAGTTATGATTTAACAATAGAAAGCTCGTTTAATTTTGTTCATATTAGATTTAAACTGACCAGAAATTATTTATTTTTATTTTAAGTTTATTATAGATATATATGATATACGAGGGTGCGGTGAAAAGTTTCCAGCCTGACTAAGAAGGACGATGTTTTTAATTTTTGCCGATAAAATTGTTTTGGAGTTGGTTCCCCTTTTGCAACCAACTATTTTGAATGTCCCTTATTTTCAGGAGTGTAGTAATGGGTCCAAGTCTCATCAATCTTCTCTGATAAGGATGGACGCACATTGCTTTGGACATTGGACTAAACTGTTCAAGTGATAGTTGTAAGAGTTAATTTGTAGCCCGATCCAATACGATTTTTTCTTCTTATTACTATTTAATTAAAAATTAATACTTGGCGATATTGAGTTTTTTTATTATTCGATTTCCACTGACCCTGCAACCCGATGGGTTCCAGATTTCCTCATTAAATTATATAGTATCATTTCAATAAACCCCGTATAAGAGTTTAAGGGCTCACGTTTTTAAAATTTCGCTTCAAAAACTCCCCCAACGCTCTAACTATGCTGTGCGAAGGCAAGGCAGCGTAATTCTCCGGCTCACGGTGGCCTTTCACTTGGTATACATATTTAAGATAGTTCGCCACCTCCTTCGAAATCAAACGCGTTACGAAATCGCTTGCCTCTGTAGGGTGGCCGCATTTCAATAAAAAAGTCAACCACGTTTTCCCTAAAAAAATATCACATCAAATCCTCACATGACAAAGACAAGAGACAAACCAGGTACGAGTCTTTGTCCTCCGACGTACAATTCTGGATTTTCGTCCAGGTACATTTCAGGTATGTGTTCACACACGTTCTCGAATGAAAACAGACTGATGACTTGGAATGCGGATTTTACCACTTCCGAGTCGTTGTTTGTTGACGCATAATGCCACAGCTGCGATAAAACGTCGGCATTTAACGCCTCGTTGTCTTCGGAGTACTGCAACTGCGGTACTTCGCTTATAAGCAAACATAAACTGAAAAGATAATATTCCTCACAAGTGTAGACCCATCTCAATTTTAAACAGTAATAGTCAAATTTTAGTAAAATTTTTTAAAAATAGCTTAATAAAATTTAAAAAAAAATTGAATATTTTGTGTGAAAATCAATTTGGATTTCAGTATGGACTTTCAACAGAGGATGCCTTAGTCAAACTTAAAAAAAGTATAAGCAAATCAGTAGACGATGGTGAAAAAGTACTGTGCGTTTTTGTTGATTTGGCTGACGCGTTTGATACGGTTGATCATCACAAATTAATTGAAATCTTGGAGAGGGCCGGTGTCAGGGGTGAATTACGAAAAGACTAATTTTATGCCTTTTGGATGTTATTCCGACTCTCTCCCATACTTCCCAGAACTGAATATCAAAATAAATGCTAATCATTCTGTGCCCATAAAATATAAAACCACAATCAAATATTTAGGGATTATACTTGATCGGCATTTAAAGTGGGGTGAACATGTAAAATATACAAGTAATAGCTAGTAATAGATCTTTAATCAGAAAGTTTAAAGAATTGAAAACATATTTTGAAATTTTGTACTTGAGAACCTTATATTTCGCATTTGTTCAACCACATTTAACTTATGGAATAATCGTATGGGGGGGAGTGCTGGATGCTCACTAAAAAGTGGATATTAAAAATAATTTATGGCAAGAATAAACTATATCCAAGTAATAAGTTATTCCGACAGAGTGAAATTTTAGATATTCGTCAACTTTTTGTGCAAAGTATAGCAATGCGACAATATAAGAAAAATGACACGTTACAAACCATAAAGCATGTTCATAACACCAGGCACAAAGTAGTAACAGGTTACCTTCGTCAAACCAAGACCTCACCCAAATATCCACAGTAAGCTACCGATTGAAATCAAAAATATAAATTCTTTAACTTTGTTTAAATCTCTTAAATGGCTGCTAAGTCAAGAGAGACCCAGAATTCATTCACTGCTAATGAAAATAAGTGGCTTGCTTAAAAAGTACGACAAAAAAAATTAATTCTCGAATGTGTCAAAGTATCCCCAACAATGATAAAAACACATAACATATAATAAATTTAATACAATTACATTCCAAATCAAGCTTGTTATTACAACATGATTTTATCACTCCTTCACTAGCTTATTACACTACGTCTTCTGTTTCATTTTCATTTTAGTTTTCATTCAATTTGTTACCGGTCGATTTTTCATTACCCTTCTGACTTTTCCAATTTGTATTGATTTTCTTTCGTTATTTTTCATTAACACTTTTTACTTGCCATAATTATATAAGACCTATAAGTTTAATTCTCACCGACAAGAAGTATTTCTTTGGTGTTATTTTAGTCTATTTATCAAATAATCGTAATTATTTTACACCCACTTCTTTTGTTTTATTTTATTTTTTTAACTTTTATTTTTTTGGTTATGTATTTACGGGAATTAGTATGAATAGCGTTATATTGTAGTCGTGATACTGACTTGTATTGATTGATAAATAAACTTATTATTATTATTATTATTATTACTTATTATAGTGTAGGATGACACATAGTGTTGGGAATGTTGGAAATTGACCGGTCAATTCAACACTTCTTAATGCTTTTGTGATGTCCAATTTACCTATAACCCTCTGCAAGGAATATTCGAATACGATACTTTGCGATTCGGGGAATCCCAATAATAATAATCTCGACTCCATTTGGTTCCCAGAACGACGTAACGCACAATATACATAAACAAAAATTTCATGGTATTTTCAAAATTGTCTCGGGCAGAAAAAAAATTGACCGGTCAATTCCACAACCCTAATAACACATAATTCTCAGCTCTTGAGCCGTGCCACAATTTAAGTATATTCAATCGGAAAAGATTACAAGTCTTGGATAAAATCAATATACGGAAATTGTAACTTCGCATACCAACTGCGTTTTGCAAACCTTTTTATGACGCGTCGTCTGTCGTCTTCCTTGAATTTTTTCGATAATGTCGTCCACGTCGTCGCAACGTTAATGACGTCGCTACGGCACAAGGCCGCTATCCCTTCGATGGCCAAAGCGCACGGCAGCTCGTCGTGTTTCGAATTGCACTCGTTTAACAGTTTGGATAGCTGGGCGACTAAATCTTTGCCGTACAATTCGGGGCTGAAAAGTGTCCATTCTATTGTACAGGGTTGCTGGTTAAGCCTATCTCAACAAGTCGTAGAGAATCGGGATGAAAAAACTCATGACTAAAGCGGTCAGAAGAAAATGGTGAAAATCATTTTTAAATCAATTTTAAATGCATTTTTTTGGAAAATTATATTACAGATAACTTTACACCATTTTAAAATTGAGATAGATTCGATGATTTTTAGTAGATGCTCTACTTAAGAGAAATTTGGTCAAGCCTTATCCACACCAAAGAAACACAGACAAACATTTTGTTGCTGGTTACCGCAACCTGTTCATGGAAACAGAAACAACAGCCCCAAGTTTCGTAAACATTCTGTCCACATCAAGGGGTGTCATTCTGGTGCATGTTTCATCGTATTGTTGCAACAGGAAACATTGTGCGATGAGGATTTGCAGGAAGCAGCAGCTGCAATACTAATTATTTTACAAAAACAGACAAAAACGAGTCCGTAGATGTTAGACTAGACCAAGTCTTTTACGTCTTCTAAGTTTATTAAAAAAATATGATATTCGAGGATGGCGTGACCAAGTCTGACCAAGAAAGACAATTTAAATTTTTTTTTTGCTTCATTTTTTAACATAATCTCCATCACTACTGATACATTTCTCATAACGGTGTTCTAATTTGGTTATACCAAGCTTCTCAAAATAGCAATTTACAGCTTCAATAACTTCTTCGTTGCCCTTAAATCTTTTACCGCCAAACCTTGTGGCATTAATTCAAACTTCAATTTGTGGATTTTGGACACAAAATTTTTTTCTTCGCCAAATGAGGTCGTTTAATTTGCATCTCGCGCTTCAAACGTTGCAATAACTCTGCCTAGTATTGACCAGTGATAGTCTTGCCCTTTTCAAGATAAACAATGTATATAATTTCTCTCGCATTTCAGAAACCAGTAGCCATGACCTTGTTTGCCGATAAAATTGTTTTGGAGTTGGTTCCCCCTTCGAGACCAACTGTTTTGAATGTTCCTTATTTTCAGGAGTGTAGTGATGGATCCAAGTTTCATTAACAGTTAAGAAGCGACACAAAAACCAGTTTACGCCTACAAAGCGAAAATTGTCGGTAAAAAGTTTTTTCCAAGCAATTTTTGTGTTAGCAAACGCGGCAACCATCTTGCACACACAGCTTTTCCATACTCAAATCGTTGTGTAAAATATTTCGCACTCGTTCAGCTAACATCTTACAGGTCTCAGGTATCTCAGGCACTTCCAACCTGCGGTCTTTCTACTCTATTTAATTCAAACATTTATGAAGTTGTGACCTCAACAAATCATCCCACACGAGGCTCGTCAGAGGTGCTCACGGAACCCATTTTAAAATAGATAAAATAGTAGAAAATAGAAGTATTTGCTGACAGCGCGTTTTTACAATTATTCTATTTTTACGAAAACAACGGAAGGGTCTCGCGCAATGTGGTCTCAAAAGCAAGATAGCGTAGCGATTAGGCTGAAACTGTACCTACAAAAGTAAACCTAGAGGCGCCACCTCTTGGTCAGGCCAGAAACATTTCACCCCACCCTCATGATATCTGAATATATTTTTCTCTCTGTAGAATTTTGCCACCAAGTTTTATATTTTTTCTCTATCCACAAATCATGTTATTGATAACGGTCTTTATAATTTTTATCCCGCGGATTCCACAAACACTCGCCATTCTCATATGAATCAAATAAAAATATTATACTTTCTGTAGCGAAACACACAATGTTTCCCAATATTTTTGATCTTCGCCCCAAAATATGAAAACAAGCGACTTATAGGAGCTTTTGTTGCTGCAACCGCAAAAAATTTCAAAAAACTTTTGCCAACATTCAGAAACAAATATTGCAATACAATATACTGGAAATAATTAAAAGGAATAACACAGATCCAAGTAAAACCTTTACGTTTTAATGCGTGTCACATAGATTTTAAGAGAAACAGTTGTATCTATACTTTAAGATTGTTTCTCAAAAAAAATTGGTAAGTTTCTCTCTTAATCTATTATGAAAGGAACCGCGTATTATATTCTGTGAAAAAAGACGAGTACCTACCAAGATTCGCAGAGCTTTTTAAAAATATTAGCTTTTGTCACGTTATACTGCCACAAATCGTTCAACAGAACGGGTTTCTTCATGGCGAGCAGTGATTCGAGGTTATGGTAATATTTCCGGTCGATTTGCCAAACTTCGTACATCAAAGATGCGGCGACGCAAACCAATTGAGGACGCTGCGCGATGGCTTGCAATGTTGCCACGACTTTCGGACTGTTGTTTTTGTTGTGAGCCATTGCGGGAAGGGCTTTGAGCAGTTCGAAGTGTATATTTACATAATCAATATCCGACAATTGATAGAGGATTATGGTGAGAGCGTGGGACGAGAGGTGGGCGTATTGACGCGTGCACTTTACTATCAAAGAAAGCAGTTTGGTTTGGGTTGAAGGTGGCAATTTTTTGTACAAACAGAGGCTACATACCAAGGAAAACAAACGCTTAAGGAGAAAGACTGGAACCGTTTCTAGTTGTTCCACCCATACCGATAAATCATCAACAGAGATGGGCTCTAATTTGGAGGTTATACTCGTCGTCAACGCAATATCAAAATTGGTCTGCATTAAAAAGTCAAACCCGCTTAGGGACTCTGCACTATGATTATCTGCATTTTTATTGTGTTTGAAGTCGATTGAGAGTAAATCTTGTGCAATAAGTAGAGCATCTTTATAGAGGGCACATGGGTTTGCTAACCACACTAAAGCTGAGTATTTTACAGTTAAATAGGTTACCGGATGGATGTTGTTGTTTAAGATTATCATTCTACCTAAAAGAAAAAATCATAATAGAAGTAAAACTTGAATTTAATCACCTACATAATTTGAATAAATCCTGAAGATATTCCGGAGAGCTTATAGATATTGTTTGCGACAGTAGAAGTAAAGATATGTTGGCAATAGGTGAATCAATATCTGATGAAACATGTTTCAACACATCCAGAGTTGAATGACAATCTTTCCTATTGAGCATTGAGTTATAGAGTACCGACACCTCAATTAAAATTAAAATTTGATTGTTTAAATCATGTGGATATTGAAAAGTTTTGTTTAACAGGTGGCTCGTTAATTCGATGCAATTATTATTTCGTACCTGAAATAGAATAAGGGTATAAATGTGACTAAAAACATTGCAGAATTTACTTGTATCCAACAAATTAGTTTTAGCAACACCTGTGGATCCATCCCAAGCAAAAACATCCACAAAGATTCTCTAATCAATCCTAAATTCAAACTGAGTATAGTATTGCAAATACAAAACAGATAGACAGGTTCGTACATTGTTGTAATTAAAGATTTGAACCTAAAATCAAATAACCGACGATCTACAAACAATCTAAAGCAACATTTTACTTTACTTTTCATCTCTCTTGTATGTTTGAGCAATTTCGTTATAAATACACATCTGGGATTCAGGCCATTCCATTAATATTTTCACAAACACATTTTGATTGATCTGCATTGCAACAGTAGTATCCAGCTTTGTGACTCGATAATAAATGAGACTAGACAAAATTTTTATCAATCCAGTGGAATACCTATAGAGTAAATCTCGGTTTGTGCAAAGTTCAAACATTACTTGGAATTCATACTTTCTGCTTGACGCAGCGACCAAGTCTGCTAAAAACGGTTCCATTCGAATTTTGCCTGCTTCTATCAAACGCATAACCACTTGGCAGCATATGCCACTGACGAGGGGATTGTCGCAGCAACATTTTTGCAGCATGAAAGTTATCATAGCCGGGTTTACGTCGTCCGAAGACCGGACCTTTTCAAAAATTTCTGATAGCACTCGGGTCACCAAAATTGGATCGTCGGAGTTAATTTTTTCTTCTAATGCGTCCATTTCCTCGTTTCAACTCATATCAGATTTTAAAATTATAACCGCACTACAAATGCAATGGTTGTTTTTGCTGTTATAAGGCAAGATGGCAAGGATCATTCGGCCAACTTGTTTCGTCTTCCTCTTTTACTATCAATTGCCACATTTGCATGAGGCCATTTGGCCAGCTTACAACAACAAGTAATTATAAACAAAAATTCTTAAAGGATGGACTAATCCATCATCCTAAAGATTTGTTAACATATTTATATAGTGGAACAACATCTAAATAAATAGTCATTAAATGACATATGATCCCATGTAGCCTGGTTACCAGCGTGAATATAAGACATCCAAATATGTATTAACATATACATAATGGAATAACATATCGCAAATCCATAGACACCCGCTAAGAACGAACACTATTTCCCAAATTTTTAGGAACTGCGTATCTATAACTTCAGATTACAAATATTTAAAATATATTTTAAATCAAGCGACACTAACTTCAACCAATTTCTACATTTTATGGAACGGAGCAGGAGCAACGTCCACCATGTGCAATGGTTCCCTACGTTCTCCACAGAAAGAGGTTAGGAACTAATTTGTTTGTGTTTTTTTACGCTTTATTTGGCCACTGATTCATAGGGCAATTCGGCCAGCTTACAACCAAATTTTAACTTATAAACAAATTTTTAACGAATACACCCAAGGCACCTGGTGGGAATTGAACACACAAACTCCGGCAAGTCGAGTTGGCAGGTCTAACGCCTTACCAACCGAGCCATCCTCGTACAGCTTATGACAAGTATGAACATAATTCAAAAATCGTAAAGGATGCCTTCCTAAGAGAAGGGTCTGGACCAATCCATCATCCTTCAGGTTAATTAAAATATAACAAATGGAATTTCAACAAAAAAAGGTTCTTTGACCGATAGCAAAAAACGGCCTTCCCCACTACCCCGTGGCCCAACCGGGCCAATCCGGCGTCCATACTGTCGCGAACAGAGAAAAAACAGCAAGGCCGACAACGATTACGACATTAAAACATTCACTAAACCCTAAAAACACTAAATCCACTAAGTGGAAACCGATTTCAAAATTTGTGGGGGCAATTACAAGAGATTGTGTCGGGAGCGAACGGAGATTAAACCGCCATGTGCAATGCTGACGGCAGAATCAATTTGTTTGGTTGGATTGCATTGCATCTACTTTTAATGGCCACTACTACAATAGGTTATTCGGCCAGCTTACGGCAAGTGTGAACATAATACCCTAAAAGGGTCTGGACCAATCCATCATCTTCCAAGTTGATTAACATATACAAAAACAATTAAACGTGATTCAAAAATCTTGAACCAATGACAAAAAACGGCCTCCTTCCCTCCCCTAAGAAACATCCGGGCCCATCCGGCGTGGACGAGAAAAAACGGCGGGATCGACAACGATTATAACTTTAAAACAATCGCAAAATACTCAGGAAAAAAAACACTCCACTTTTGGAACCGATGTAAAAAATTTAAGGACGATTGCAACGGTTTCTGTCGGGAGCGAATCGAGGTTAAACCACCATGTGCAATGTCACAGACAGAATCAGTTTGTTTGGTTAATAACAACAATCCTCTTGGATTCTGTGGTGGAGCATTGCACGCGGCGGTCTAACCTCCGTCCGCTCCTAGCAGAATCCGCTGAATTCGTTCGAAAAACCTTTGGTATCGGTCTTCAATTTGTGTGACTCTGTTTCGGCAGTGTTTGGTGTTTGTTTTAAGTGTAAAAGTTCCGCCGGCCCCGTTGTTTTAACCGTTCACGCCGGTATGGAGGCCGGATAGGCCCGGATGGTCCGCGGTGGAAGCGGGGGGGCGTCGGTTTTTTTGGTATCGGTCAAAATTGTTTTTTGCTAGTTGAGCAAATATTGGTTATATGTCTTCTTTGTACGTGTTGGTCCATGATCAAAAGCGAAGATCCTCGACGGAAGTCGGCAATGGGCGAATGATCCTAGCAGTCGAGCCCAACATTTTTTTGTGAAACGCATAATTGAACTTTGAATTGAACAATCCTCTTCTTTTTTCATCTGTTATTTTAGGTAGCTTTTATTCGTAAAATTAAATAAAAAGTAGACAATGTGTTTCATTTGGCTTTTATAAACCTCTCATCTTAAATTATTTGGCATTTGCGAAAAGGAAGGCGAGCGTAGACGATTTTGAAGCCCAGAGGAAATATTTGCGTTTCTTCACAGGAAAACTTGCCAAAACCCCAACGTCATAGAAAAACATGAAGAAATGTCGCCATACACTTTAATGAACATAATTTTAATCGTTTATTAGATGCAAGAAACAGGAACGGTTGCAGCTGAAATTAATGGCGCGATTGCTTCCCATACCAATTAAATGGCTCGAAAGCATTCGCTGTTTCATTATGTCGGTCCAAGACGTCGCTAACTTAACGCGTCTCGTCGACGCCGTACTTCGCCACCGGTAAAACGAGATTGCAACCCACCTACTCGACTGGCAACTTTTATAAGCTTTTGCTTTCAACCTCGACGCGGGCGAACCACAGTTGAGCGGGCAGACGGTTTGAGCGAGTCGCGATAGTCAAGTCGGCTGTGTCGCAGCGGTGGCGGGTGGTACGATTCCTTTCGATTTCGTTTTTCATTCGCGACGCATCCCCGGTGGGGTTCGCGCCGATAGTACTCTGCCTAAAACATGTAAGCCCCATATCCCGAACGAGTTTTTCGGATTGCACAGCGCGTTCGATCTTCGATAATATGAACAAGTGTTGTGAATCTGGTGGTTTGGTCGCACACGAAAAGTCTACGTAAATTATTCAGTGGATAATTGTTATATTTCGGTGCGCTGCTGTATTTGGGAGAAACGTGTGGCCGACCTCAAGATGAAGGTAAGCAGACGAATTAGCTATATTCGAACTCGATTGGAACGTTGCGCAACGAACCTTGTAAACATTGCGTTGGTCCGGTTAAGGTTTTGCAGCCGTTGCTATTAAAGGTAAGCGTGTCGGGGCGACGTAAACAATTTTTGAATGTAGAATTTTCATAGTAAACAATCGAATCTTTCTTTTGGCCTTGGTCAGTCACTATTTTTGAGAGCCCCGTTACAGATTAAAATGCATAAATTAAAACAAATATCGAAAATAATTTTAATGCATTGTCACTGTTAGTCAGTGCGGAGTTTGTCAAATATGTTGAGAAATTTCCGAAAAACAAACGTATTGTATTAATATTCGCGAACAAAGTGGATCCGGAGACTTCGACGTTACGTTAGGACAGAAAACCGCGTAGATTGAAACAATGATCACATATAAAACTCCACTCCAAAATTTAATGAAAAATATACTTGGCGTTCCTGTTAATATGACCTTATAATTCATTCAACCTGTAAACTGGTCGAGTTTGCTATCACAGAATTATTGATTAATTCCTAAAAGGCTTCGTTATTATTTATTTTGATTTTCGATATATGGCAAGTGTGATGCTTTTTGTTGAGATATTTAGGTGCCGATTTGACACAATTTCAAGGAGCACTTGACTTAACCAACTTTGCGTAAAATTGTTTAAACAGTCTGTATAGTGTAGTATAGTTATTATGCTTAGATGTATTTTGATTTCGACCACAGTTTTGATGCGAATATTGGCAAGGGGCGAGTTGGATGAGGTATGTTGTCACACTTTTAGAAATAATGCAAACCCCATGTGATGTGTTTGAGAGTTCTTTGTAAACGCGTCTTTGATTTGTTTAAGTATACACAACGATATAATCACCGAATTTAAACCTGCAAGTTCGTTGCTAACTTCTCAGTTTTGCTATCAGTCTTTGTAATAGAAATATTCAAAAATTCCTTTTGGCTTTCAAAAGATCACTTTTTTCACAAAAAAAGCAGCAAAATAAGCAGACGGCTTTAATTCGTTGTAATGTTGCCACATTAAAAAAGATATTTCTTATAAAACATATGGCTATTGTTAAAAAAGAGAACTATTTGTTATTTTATTGCAAATGTTTAACGAAATATTAGCAATACATTTTGCCAACATATATTGTGTTAATTTTCTAATGGATAAAAAACCGCTGCAACATAGACTCCCCGTGAAGATCTTTGCACCACGGTAAATGGAAACAATTCCATCTCTCTTGATTATATATCTACAAACTCTCGCGAGTCTCTGGTTCGTAGGGCTTTGTGAAGTTTTTTCGATTAATTAATGTAAGTCGAGACTTCTTGGTAAATAAATTATAAAAAGTTCAAAATTCCTGTATTCGATTTATTTATAACCTTAAACGAAGGGATCACGTCATAAACTTCACGATGTAAAACGGTTAAATATATTGAGTCGAGAAGAATTACATTTTGCTTGTTTTCTTCATAAACTGCAACAGGATGACTCTCATATTTACTAAAAAACATGTTTTAAATGTATATTTGAAATTCCTAAAATTAAGAAATCGATGATTAAAAGGTGCCATAGAACCTCTTTGCGCTTTTAAATTTCATATAAAAAATATCTTCTGCAGATAATTAAACACTTCGTATGTATATATACACTAAATTGTTACATGCTCCCGAGATGGTTTTATATTATTTTATTTATTTTTATTTTATTTTATTTTGTCGTTTATCCCGAATTACTACAATTCCAGACCGCGCGTTCTTCCAAAAACGGATCTCCAAATCCTGTTCGCGACCCACGCGGCAAGCGATGACGTAGAAACGCGTCAAGGCTGTCGGGGTGTATATTTCTTTCTTTTTTTCAGAGCGCTCCAAGACTGAAATGCAACCGCTCATCGGAGGGAAATTTGGCACCGCTGCGTTGGCTCGCGCTTATCTCCTTACTGGTAAGTACAGGCTTTCCTCCAGGCAGTCGGTTTACCCTAAAACGAACGCAACTAAAAAAAAAAGATACAAATTGACACCGTCGTTCCCCGTGGAATATGTTAACTGTAGCCAAGGTTGCGCCTACGTCTATACCGGCAACGAGGTTGCTCGCCCGACCTACGCCGCATCGAAGTATGGCGTGAGTAATTCGCACGGGCCCACAGAACACAGAAAAAAAAGACGACGGCCTGAAAATATGCTACGGCTTTGTTCGTTTTTTTTTTTGTTTTAAGCGGAGGCCGCGCGTGAGGTTGCCAAAAAGTCAAGGACTTGGGACGAGGCAGACGGGCGCGTACATCGATAATTATAGTATTTTTTCGTGACGTCATCAAAATAAAATTTACTTCGTTGCCTATACAGGACGCTTTGTATCAAAATATTTCGATTTGTCGAATAAACCTTTGTCCAAAGGTCAAAACTTCCTGAGATACAGGGTGATAAAAATATAATTTTGAAAATATATTGGCACAAAAATTCGCATGCAGATTTTCGGAGATAGTGCAACTAGTTTTGCAATAAGTTTGTTTTGTTTTGTATACTCTCAGATTTAATTTCTATTTTCTAAGTAAAACAAGAATTATTGTTTAATATCTGGATTTTAAGGCGTTTTCAAGATATTTGCATTTTTAATTCACTGTGTAACCCTATGTGTACCAAAAAATAGTCGATTATTATTTTATTATTACAAATATTACTCTTAAAGAAATTCACTAATAGTTGCTAGAGGATACCGAAAAAAAAAATTTTGGTTAAATGGTCCTGGTATGGTCTGTTCATAGATATAAGAAAGTGAGCAATTACTTTTGAATGGGATTATCCAAGGGTGGTCATTAACATACAATGCAACAAGATTGTTACCCAAAGTTTCGGAATTTAAATTCAGGTAAAATTGTGGTCCGTAATAGAAAATAATTTTATACCTACCTGTGTTTAATATTCTTTGGTTTGGTATACTACTTAGTTTAGGTTTATTAGTAATTATTCTTATTTCGTGTGTAATACAGCGTGTGTTGAATCGTGTGCGAATTAAGCAAAATATTTGCCGGTCTATCTCAGGAGATGCTCCCGCCCAAATGTAGAAAACACTATTTATTCTATTGAGACTAAGGAAGTTATAAACAATGTTTATTTGACTCTCATTGAATGTGGTGGCAGCAAGCAAACATTTTTAGAAGAAACGGCCACATTGACGAAAATTCCGACATTAACTGTATGGAAAATTATGAATAATCCCATTTCAGCGAGGAAAAAAAGAAGGGATGCTGACATTTTCCCGAGTGTAGATGAAAGTGATCAAGATATAATACGGCATCAAAGTCTTGACTGGAATCTTCGGCACTGTACTAACACACAATAACGCGTTTTACCACAAACCGAAACTCAATTTTACATACTCGACGCGCGTTTCGCCAATCAGAAGGTGCCAACTTGGTTGAGTTTCGGTTTGTGGTAAAACGCATTATTGTGTGTTGATATAATACGGCGTAACGTTTACCAGTTATACGAGGAACAAAGCGTGCCTACATTAGATATCTTAATTAGGGGGCTTGAAAAAGTTGAAACCGGTGTTAAATGTGGCAGAACTACCTTACCTACGTAATAGCGTCATTGTAATGGACAATGCAAGTTATCACAGTAGACAGTTGACTAAAATCCGATTGCTTCCCAAACCCGTGTGTATAATTAGGCATTTTAAAGAGGGGAGTAAAAAAATAATAATAAAAACATTCTCGTTTCATTTTAAATACTGACGCAGAACTTTAGTAGCAGCGCTTAACCGAGCTATGCTTGTTTGTGGATCATCAGCTACACGGACCTGGATTTTTTCTTTCTGTTATAGTGCAGTATTTTTTGGACGTCCTCCATCGTGGTCTATTTGACGAACAGATCGTGAACCTCCAAAACGGTGATAAATGTTACAAAAAATCTTCCAGTCTGGATGGTATCTTTCAGGGAACATCACTACATACTGACATAGTGGCTTATTATGCCTGGGCTTTTGTAACAGAAATTATAGAAAGAAAAATAAATACAAATAATAACTTTCAAATATCACATAACTGTCAAAATTATAACGTACTATGCCTCCTAAGATTTTAATATTTTACTGAAAAAAAAAACGACCAAAACCTAATTTAATTTTATAAGATAGAAAACCAACTGAAAAGTAAAATAGCGTATCTAGTTTTCGAAATAAAAATATCTGGTAATAAATTAATAATAATTTCCAGGAATCGTAATAAAGTTTCAAGAAACGGAAAAAAAAGGCAAAAAACGAATTCACGAATCACATTGCTAGGTAAAAAGTAAGTATCTTGAAAGCGGCTTAAAATATAGATATGAAACAATAATACCTTTTTACTTAGAAAATTCCAGAAAATGATTCTGTCTTACCAGAAATTAAATTAGACAATATAAAAAAAAATATGATGGTACTTTTGCGAAATCATGTGTGCAGGTGGCGTCATCTACAAATTATGGCAAAACTGGTTATACCATGTAACTTTTCTCTACCGAAAATTCCCGCATGCGAATTTTTGTGCATGTATTTTAAAAATTGTATTATATTATTAGGACATCGGTTTATTTGACAAATCCAAATATTTTGGTAGAAAGAATATGCTACTATTCTGTGACCCATTCGTTTTGAAACAAGTACAAAGGAATGGCTGTTTGATTAGTAACTAACTTAATACCCAGAACAGTGGAAATTTCCCAAAAAAATTCAATCAATGAAGTGAGCACCTTTTGTGTAGTAATTAACAATAAAACAAAAAGTCGTATTGTCGGAAAAAAAATTAAAAAGATGACAGAATCTATTTGACTTGCAGTTGACAGGCCTATATTATAGCATACTTGGGTTTTGATATCATTATGTAAAAAATTGTTTAGTTTAATGAAACAAAAAATAAGTGAACTAAAAGAAGGGCAGATTCGCCTCTATCGGTAGAGGATGAAATTGATCCTCGAAATGCAAAATAGTGAAGGAAATCAATGCCAGGTGTTACATCCAAGTATATATAATAATGATAATAATATGTTTTATTGCTCAAAAGTATACACCAATACAAGACCATAAAAAGAAACAATCCAAACATTTGAACCTAAAAGATATGGATGTCGCTTTCCGTTTATTTATATTTTTTTTCATAGATGCTTGGCATTATCAGCATAGGCTGGGGCTCTATATCTCCAATGGCCCTATGGTCGCTTCTTAATCTACAAAACTACTATAAAAATAATAATAATTTTTAGTTTTCTTAATTTATATTCATGTCCCATAGTTAGGTTGGTAACCCTCTAATCAGCTGATTGAAAAGCTACTAGCCTTACTGTTTTGTGAATGTTCCATTATCTGTCCTGCTAAAATTTGGGTAAATTCTCAACTACCCTCAATAAATCAGAGTTGTAATGGAATTAAACGCGAGTGTATGTAAGTGATTGGTGTTGCGTGTACATGTGCAGTGGAGACTACTATCCACTTCAACTAATATTTTCCGTATAATTTCAGGTTTCCGCAGTCGACGCCGCCAATTTACCTGCGCCCTCAAGTAAGTACTCATTTTTTTGTAATATCTTTAGCGTTTTATTTTTTCTTGCTGCCACCGACCCTTCAAAAAGTTTAACGGTTTTAAAAATTTTGAGAAAATCACAACACATGTGCAAACTTGTGTTGTGTAATAAGCGCAATTAGATATCGGTTCATCGGTTTTATTACCACGATAATTGTTGTTTATACTTGGCTGTGAAGGTATTATCACAGTAATGAGACCAGTTATGATAATTGCAATTTTACGTAATCCCTAGCGAAGTATAAATAAAGCTTCATTGTTTTTCTGTGGATTTAAAGAAATCGCCGTGTTTTTTTTTTAAAGTAGACGCCACTGATTGACTGTTTGATTATTTGCAAAAATGTTTCGTAAGGGAAGAAACGTATTTTCATTTTTTTGTTAATACATTTCTCTACGACTAGGCACACGATTTAGGTTACATTTTAAGGGGGCATTTGTTTTATGCGCCATCTTATACACGACAACTTTAATTACAAGTCGCTTTCTCTTTAAAATTATTTCTTGGTACGGCTATAGGATTTATAATACCGATTTTTTACGTTTTCACTGTAGGAGTTGGTCAGTGGTGGTGCAACAAGAATGAAAACAAACATTTTTTTATGCTTTATTGCATGCTTTTTTGCAAGTCAAAGTGACTCTTACCTTGACACACATCAGTTCTATATTTTTCCTTTGGAGTTTTACTAGGTCGTGATTTTCATTCTTTTGAAGTTGTTTTACTTGTAAGAGGCTGACCCTGTTAGGGGACGTCAAGAGTTGAATAAAAGTGGTGAGCATATTCCACAAAGAAATGTGTATAAGTGAACTTCTTGACTAATTTGGTTGAAAATTTTGTAGCAATTTCTTTCCATACTTTCCAAATGTTTTTTTTTTGCACAAATAATCTTTGATCTAATTCGAAATTTAAAAAGGATATATAAAAAGAACTCTTTCCCATCTGCTATGCCTGGTTTCGGAAACTGTTTTGTCGGGAAGCGATTTGATAGTCGAACCGGTTGAAACAAAAAAACGATCTTTTTTTCCTTGTCACGTTTATAGAAATATTAATAAGCGGAATGGGACTTTAATTTTACCGTTAACGGGTAATCGTCAGTCACGCTATCGGAGAACTTTTTTGGTAGGTATTATAGATGCGACGGCCATATTGAACGTTTAATAACTGTTTTATTTGCGAGACCGCGTTTAATTCGCTTGCGGAAATGTTTTCGTCCCAAAATGGACACGGTCGAATATAAAATTTGTCAGATAGTCTTTTCATTTCACCAAACTTTGCCATATATAATATTTTTCAATGAACACTCAACTTACACGAAGTCTATTTATTCATCTCGTAAAAAATAGAAACTACGGTTTCAGTTTTTACTTTTAAAATTAATTTCTTACAAATCAATCGTAGTACGCGCAAGATGGCAACGTCGCTTTACAGATTCTTAGGATACGCAAACATTTCGGGCTTAATACGTTTCAGATTTTAATTATGCGTTTTGGCGCAAGTCATTGCAGTCATTTGTAAGTGTTTGTAATTTTTTAAACATTTAAATTAATTTATTAGGTACTCATGAGAATATTCTTATCAGTTCGCAACTAGAAACGCACCCTGCCGGTAGAGTTTCGAAAAATCTGAGTTGCAGTGATTTTACTGAACATTTTGTCACAGAAAACTTTATCAGAAATTAGCCACTGTTAATAAGTAAACAAATTAATTTTGCGTAACGGGAAAATTTCTTTAAATTACGCTAGAGGAGCAATTTACGAGAATATCCCACGAGCGTTGACAATTTTGTATTATTAAAACGTAATTATACATATAGATGCCCACTGAGTTCTCACAAATAAGTTACACGAATGAAATGAAACATGTCTGGAACTTTTCGAGGACTTGAAAATATCAATGTTATATAAAGTAATCCCATTAAAAGAAGCAAATCGACACCTTGTGTATAATATATATTACAATATTGTATATGTATGCCCCCTCCCCCAGCATAAATCCGAATTTTCCAGGATTTTGCTAAAATCTATTCCGAAAAGTGCAAAGTTATAAAACTTCATTAGGAATGAAAAGGGACCACAGTTACTACAGGAATACTTTAGCCATTATCATTGTTTGACATTTATTGTATTGTAAATTTCTTTCTTTTTATCGAATGCATGCTTTGGGTCTATTTTTGGGTTTTGCTTATTGTTATCCATTCACCAAACCGGAAATACTGGAAATAATACTCGTAGAAAGAAAAAATTTTCAATTATGTATATACATTCAAATCATTACATCCTTCGTTATCTGAGAAACTATCACCTCCTCTTGACTTAGAATTAACGGGTGCAATCGATCCATGTGATTATCCCAAATTTTCTCATCTTCAATGCTGAAATGTTTTTTGCCACTTATCCAGTGTCACTTCCTCAATTTGATGATCAAACATTAGCTTAAGGGCTCTTATTTTGAATTTTGTTGTTCTTGTTACAAATGCTGTCACTTGCGCCCGTACAATTGCAATAAGATTTCGTTAGCAACGATATGGCTACAGATGTCCAACTAAAAGAGACCGCATAACATAAGTCATTCATAAAATCCTCTTTGTTGTGATGACAGAATATGCATTTAGGCAAGGAACGAGTGTGGTAAGTTGTTGCCTAATTATGAATAGTTCCTATTGTTACCATGGTAGGTGGGAGAAAATAACTTCCGAGAGGGAGTAGAAATCATTGGCGTGCGCGACTTAAATTGTCATAGTCGTTTTACAAATCTTTTGTGAATTAATAAAAGTACGCATAATCTGCTAGTTGAATTTACAACCCAAGTATCAAGTTCATAACTACTTTAATTTCATATGAAATATCTTTACAAACAACTATTATTTCTTGTTCTATTTTGGATAAACTATGAGCTGAATGAAACCATATTTTAAATTCTATTTTATTTTAAAACAACAAAAGTCGTAGTGAGATTATTATAATAATTAAACTAAAAAGAATTGTTTTTTAAATAATTTGACCTTTGTGTGGAGGCCATCATTTAATATTGTGGATGGCATTAGTAATGTTTGTGCAATTAGAAAAGCCCAGCAGTTTGTCGAGTTTATTGCATATAATTCACACATTGACACATTGTTTTCAAGAGTTTATCACAAATCCGGAAATGTTTCGATTTTTTATTGGGATTCCTCGAATCTCTAAGAGAGTTATAGGTAAATTGGACATCATAAACGCACAATAATTTATTATACAATACATATTATTATTAAATAATGATTGATCAATGCTTTTTTATACCTAAACATTTGTGTACGTACTAATCCTTTAGAAACTGATGATCAACACTGGCAACATTGTCTCAGCCCTTTAACAGTTGATTGTGGACATGGTGATCTCTGCAGCACAGTTACACTATGTTTTTTTGCCACATCTTCCACGGTATGTTTCATAAAACGTAAATTTACTAAATGTAATAGATCCTTATTTATTAAATTATCTCCAAATTCTCGTCGTAAATGATAGCTTGTTACTGATTACTACCGGAAAATATTTCATCAAAATAGTGATGGAGTATGACATGACTCAAAAGTTGAAAAATATGAACGATGGTCGGTCTTCTTCCTTTTCCTGAAGGTACCTTAATACCCGATGACAGGCCTTCTATGAAAGTTTGGCCGGCACTGGTCACTATACGACTTGCACCAATTAAGATTAAAAATTACAACAAAGTATTGCAATAGTGATCAAACATTTTTTTTTCACAAAGTTTACCTACTTCTATGGGCGACACCGAAATTGAGCGGGACTGGGCGGATTTTCCAATTTCAAATTTATGCAAATTCATTTTTCATTATTAATGTAATTTACTCAATTATTATATAATTTATTTAAATTAGAATGTGAGCTCTGTGAAATCCGTCAAATATTTGTTATCTATGAAATCAATTCAATCAATCAAAACAACGTTTAAATAATAAACAAATTAAAATAACAATATGCCAATATGTAATTATTAAATAAACATTTGAAAGTTACTTTTCTATTCCCGTCTGTAAATTGCCTAATTACACACCGATCTAGTGAAGTTATAAACATGCCTAATTTAATAATAAGAAAAATTGTTTTGTTTGATATAAGCCAGTTGACACTACACTTCTGGTATAACTGCAATTGTCGACATCCTCAAAATGTCACCTCATTAGAGCATAATCTCAAATTTTCCAATTTAAGTTGGTTATGGTATGGTTATAAGGAAACATACCTGGAGTACTCATAAAAGCTTTCTTTTATTTATTAAACTTCTATCGCAATTAAGTTTTCTAAATCTGAAGAGAAAGCAAAATAATTAAGACACAGAATTAAAAAAAAAAGTGAAAATGAAAATAAAATATATTTAATAATTGATTTTATTATTTTTTTATTTTAATACTGACACTGAGACAACCCATGATATTTTTTGAAAAGAGGTTTTAAAATGTAACAATTTTTAATGTATTAATTATTTTTCAAAATCAGTCAAATCCGTAAAATAAAAATCTGGTGTACCAGTTTTGGATGGTGATTTGCCCGTCGTTAATATATTACTTGAGTTGTAGTCACCTATCAACTTCAATCTCCATCTTTAATTTTAATAAATTCCATTACGAAAGCGTTGTCAGGTCCATTCACGTAAACGTTGGGATTTTTCTCCTCATCTTTTTGGTTGTCCGTATTCGAGTATTGCAAATGGACGGTCGATAAAGTAATCGTTATGGTAGGTGTATCTATATTTCGTAAACCTTATTTCGGCTCAGTTATGCAATTAATAGGTCACGTGACGTAAAAAAAACGCTCGTCGTTTCTGTATACGCTCGGAATAATAACGTCGAGGAACAAAAATGGACGCAATAGAACCCGTGGGCGCGGTCTTGGTTACTTTCGTTCTCGCCAATTCGCTTTCGTTTTATTGTATATACAAAGCGGTTCGTACATTCTTATACCGATCTCGGATATCATTTTAT